CAAAAAACAGATTAGAAATATATTTTGAGCTTTCATAATACTGACTCACCCTAGTGTATTGCAAGAACTAGATTTTATCATTTATACAAGAGGGGACGTGTCATGATATTTTAGGCCAAGGTCAAGGGGAGGGTTAGCAAATTTCACTCCCATTGCAGGGATGGGTCACCTGATTTCGGAACCCAAATTTAAAATCCCCCCCCCCCCCCCCCCTTCCTTCCTCTGCTAATTTCTGACAAGTCCCTCCTCATACTAAATTTCCTCAGTTCCCACGCAGTTCCTTCAGCCTCCCACGCAGGCGTTTTTAGGGGAGCTCGTTTGTGAGGAGGGATGAAAAACGAGCTCCCCTAAAAACGCCTGCGTGGGAGGCTACCTGATCACAAATTCATCAAAATTTACCCCGATAACTCGAATTCTGGTTCTCGTAACTCCACTCGGATCAGCCACTTCATTGATTCCTCTTGTTGTTTTAGGGGTGAAAACACTAAAACTAACACTAGTCAACGCTACTGTAAATACAGCAAATTTGATTTTAATTGACAGTGCAACGAACAGATCACGTTTTATCACTAAAAATGGTTAATCATTTTACCGTTTCTGGTGAAATAAAATAGATTTGCACTACACTATACATTGAACCCGATAACTCAGTCGAACCCTCGCTTAAACTCGAACTGTTTTTCGCTTCCCTTCAGAGTTTGAGTTAGCAGGGTTTATAAAAGAAAATAGATTAATAAATTATTAAAAAGAAAAGTTAACTCCCCCTAAAAAGAGATTTATAGTAGATTACAAAGTATGGTAGGATTCGTTTGGATTAATAGTAAAACTGTTTTAACAAAATGATCATAATGATCATGATGGAGGATCATCAAGAACAATGGTTTACGAAGTCTTAATTTTTCTTCTCTAGAATCCTTCGAAAATGAAATAATATAGTTTTTTTTTTACAAATGAAAGGGTCTACAACATTGAAAAGAAACAATGTTTTATCTATTGTATTTAGATTAGTAAAGTTCGGATATTTAAAGATAATATCAAGCTATATCATCATATAATTTTTCTCTTGCGTTGCTGTAACCTGCGAACAGAGACTCCTTTGATCTTCCTCCTTCCCGACTCATCTAGAAAAGATCGAAGCGACTCTGCTTGCAGGGTAGCGTTGCTGTGGAGACTAAAACTGATATACGGCTGCGTTTGCAGGCTAACTTCGTTGTGGTAGAGAATTAATTGTGGGGAAGGGGGTAAGAACACGCTAAAATTAATTAATACACAGTCCTCATGTTAACTGTTAACGGCTTTTATTTTCATACTCAAACTTCAATTAATGCCTGACTGACATAGAGCTAAACGCAATATTCAATTGTTTTTCCTTGACTACCGACTTTTATAATCACACCCATTAAATCACTTGCTTATTAAATAATCACCGACTGTATTTTTGCACCGTCTGAACTTCTTTTTCTTTTCACATTTCTCAAGTCACCTCAGTTAATGGAATCTCTTAATTAAACTTCTTTTTATTTACTTTTGTATGCATTTTTTCGCTCACCTTTCTGAATAAGAACATATTTATATTTCTCACTGCTGTAAAAACCATTTACAGCCTTTTCTGTTTCTTTACAAAACGGTATTTATTTACAACCTTCATTATAAAATTAATTCAAATTATACAAATTCTATCCCAAATTTATTAGACTCTTCTATATTGTTCCTAACATAAACTCCTCAAATTCCTTTTGTTTTTGTGCTTGTGTAATTCAAGCTAGGGCGCATTATTTCAGCTATTTTCAAGTTGCGTAGCATCATTTACAGAATTGAAAGTCGCGCTGCTTTTAGAGATTCGGTATTCTACAACAAAAAAAAAGAGCAAGATGCAAAAGAAATTGTTGGCAACTGTCGTTCCTTACTAATCTGCAGTTTTATTCAGTTTTACAAGATGACTTTAAAGTGAAAGTAAACTACTAATTTTTGACAGGTAACAAGGAAGCCCAAGATTGGCAGATCTGGTACTTTACGAAGCACACATCAAGGCTTCACCTATGGATTCTCGAGATTAACCCCTATAGAGCAAACATCATTCAACTGAAGGCTATCGGCAAAAGTTTTCTTCATTTCAACTTGGTGAATTGGTCCCTCTCGTCATAGACTACAGGTTAGTCACTAATTTCCCTTAAAAAAGAGGACGAGCAAGAGAAATATATAGGCGCGCGAAAATCGACTCCCCCAAGCAATCGAAAGGAGGGACAGAAATGGAGGTACAGAGGTAGCCAGCGAGCAAGTTCTACATTTCGAGTGGCGAGCGAAGCGAGCCGCGAGAGAACGCGCGAGCGAGGGGCGAAGCCGACAGTGACGGAGGTCTCCACCCCTCGCACTCGCGTCTCCTTTCCCGTGTGGCTATTGAGTGACCTCTCGCGATTCCCCCAAAGGTAGAGCTTGCTCACAGGCTAAGACAGAGGAAAAGATTTTCTCTCTTCTCTGCTCGTGACATCTCCACTCGCGTGTGGAGACTTTTAAGGGTGATGACGTATTTCTTTCGCTCGGTATTCCTTTAAAAGAAATCAAGGCCTAAATATGGTCTACTCTTGAGGAGGGAGAAGATTAAGGGAACACAGCTGGATTTAAACACGAGTCAAATCCTTTGCCAACTGTCCAATGGCACTCGTTTTGATGTCTGATACACAAGTTATGCCTTGCTCCACAATCCCTGGACGGCTCCCGGAAGTTACGTAATTCCCAAGCACATTGGGAAGGAACCTGCAACCTGTCACAGAAGCCTGGTACGCAAAACTGGATCCCGCAATAGCAGTTTTCTGCGTATTTTCCGTGAAGACCGTGTTTTTCTTCTTTAGATAGATCTTCCCACTTCTCCATCCAGCAACCGCTGTTGGGAAGAAGCAGCTCGTTATTCATGATTTTGCCGGAAAGCATATACGCAACACCAGCCTCCAATTCCTGACCATGATAAGGGGAAAAGTAGATTCTGGCGAAAAATCTCCTTGGGTTAGCAGCATCGATAAATGTTCCTTTTGTATTTCGCACTTTATCACCACCCTTGAATACTTTCTTGATTAGGACGTCGTAATACATCATTCCCTTATCTCTACCCCGTCTACTGAAAGGACGATTGTAGAGGTTGGACGCTGGGGGAGGGGGTGGAGCACCACGTATTCCAAGCCCTAAACTTCGCCTGTGTCGGCCCAGTAGTGAGTGAAGTACAGACATCGAAGGCTTTACAGACGGTTTCTCAGTAATGTCTTCACCAGGTGGCATATCAACAGGCTTTTGAAAGCTTAGAGGTATAGAACTTTTCTTTCCCACGGGTGGGGTAGTTGAGTCCTCTGTAGAAGAGTCATCCGCGTTGTCTGGAGAAGTCGGCAGGGATGGTGAATTGATGAAGGAATCACCAAGGACTATTGCCGGTGGTGGCGTCCTTATATCTTTCTTAACTTTACCAAGTATTTTTACTCTAACAACTGTAGAGATAAAAAAGAAAAAGAGAGGTTAAAATGACTCTCATAATCATGTTTTATCGCTCGCTTCTTCATTTCAGTAAGCCGACCATAACTTGTTACCTAAGAATGGCTCTAGTTAACCAAATAGAAATATCCGTCGTAAAGGGCGATATGCTACTAAAGTATGTTTCTAAGTTTATACAGTGCCAGGCAGACATAGACAATTTATTGGAGGCGGGTAACAAGGGTGCTGGCCTGTAAAAGAAGAGGAATATTTTCTTTCCATATACATTCTCCGCTTTAGAAACTTAAGTTTTGTGAAAAACTCAGTTAAGTTACTCTAATACAAATTAAGCGTGTCGTGCCTTAAATTCCTTAGTTACGTCTTTCCAATTCAGATCAGGGGAAACAGAAATCTCCCGCAATGTAAACTGTCTTACTCTACGCGCATTTCTTAGCCTGAAGACTGCCTATGAGCCAGTCTTTGAAAACGTCCGACGTTCGTGAAGAAAGAACGAAAAAGCCGCTTGTATCTTCCTTTTACTCCCTTCGCGCGTTGCGTGCAAAGCAAAGCGCGAGAAAACATTCAGGGTGCAAAGTTTCCATTTTTTTACAGCTGCACAGTAGAAGAATCATCCAGAAATTACAAGATTACTGAGGAAAATCCGTTACGGAAAAAATAGATGAGAAATAAGCTTTCCTGTTACAACCGAACCTTGCATATTTACTTTTTGAGAGGGACGGAACTTATTTAGCCGCAGATAAATCCGTTTCCCCGTAAGACAAGAATGGTTGTGGGTTTGCCAAAATATATTATCTTTGTTCACTTCTCGTTTACTTGTTTAATACTTTTACGTCGGCGCGGAAATCCAGTGTTATGATATTCACAGCAGGGCAAGACGTGACCTTTCTCAGATCATTAATGTTGTTGTCAATCTTTTTGTTTTTCTTTCCGTGTTGCTATTATTTCTTCCTGCGTTGCTTTTTCAATTCAGTGTACCACGCACATCAAGCATTCGCCTTCCGACTAAGAACTTGTTGGTACTACGCATGTAACTGATTAAGAACGACAAGGAGGCCTTTGACAAGACAGGAAGCCCCATGTTCTCCCACGGTGCGGGCACAAATTAATATAACCGCAGGGTTTGTTTCGTGAAATGGCGGAAATTGAAGAGAAACTCTAATAATTACCGGTAAAAAGAATCTCAAGGAGTTAATTCTGATATTAAAAAAGCGAAAGAGCTCAAAGAGCAAATTAACTCTGGCCTAAAAGGTTGATACAGCTCACGTTGAGCTCTGTGCAGTGGCTTAAACGTCAAACGTGTAAAACGAAGCATCCAACGAATATCGCAAAAAAGGAAAAAATCCACTCATAATCCCTCTATTGTCTAACGTTACAAAGACAGTTTACTTAACGAATAAGTTTCCATTGTGTTAAGCCTACTAAGATTAGTGCGGAATACTATGAGCCAGCCGCTAAAGAATACATGTTGCTATTACTATTCCATATGCTTCTAGAACTTTACGAAATTGTTATGCACGAAGAAGCCCATTTCGGAATCTCAAGAAAAAAAAATGATTGAACACTGTTCTTTAGTGTTTTTAGAGTACAAACTATTCAAAATCTCTTAAAATTAGAGACGTTGACTATAGTAAAACGAAACAAATATATCTAAAACAGGAGGTATCAAGTTGCTAAGGATAATAAACGTACCAAAATCTGCCTTGCAAAAAGCAGTCTGTGGATGCTCTGGAATCATAGAGCCCTCACAAGACTGCGTTAGCAACGTCGCCATGAGCAAACCAGCTAAGAAGAACACGTTCTTCATGTCGTTAAGATGCTTTGCTTTAACACTCGATCTCTAGTAGTCTGCGAGTAATTGGTCATCGATCAAAGAACGAAGACTCACTATATATGAGCTGTGCGTGGGCTGGAGCGATGTTACGTATTTCCGCCTAGCATCGCGCGTGACATAATAGACAAATATCACTGACCTTTTTAGACGTAAACACTCAACTTATGTAAGAATATTGCATACTGGCACTATCGCATCGCTCCAAAGAAAGGTGTAACTTGTATCCATCAATAACACTGATATTTCGGAAAATGCCAGAAGAGTTGCACGGATCTACTTATCATACTCCAGGATATTATCTGAATTTCAGTGAAATATTTTAGTATTAGGGAAAGTTCATTTAATATGACAAGGGGGGTGGATGAAGATATTGAAACTCAAAGCTTGAAATTTTAGCAGCCCCCCTCGCTAGGGGTTCAATTTTTTAGGAGCCCCCTCCTTGGTAGTCGAAAAAATTTCAGAGCCCCCCCCCCCTCCTCCTTCAATTCCTTTGCTCCCCTGAAAAAAGATCGCTAGACTGTATTAAATATATTTACCGTTATTGTCTTCAATGGTTTATACTATGACAAACTTGAGATACAGTTGTGATACAATTTTCTAAAGCATTTTTGGGATGAACAAGAGTGTAATAATTACTGAGACTACATTTGTTATATCTGTAAACCACGTGATATAGCTGAGTTGCACAGGTCATTAAATTGTTGAGTNCCCCCCCCCTTGTCATATTAAATGAACTTTCCCTTAAACAGTAAAAAGTCTAAAAACATGTGACAGCTGACTGAAGGACCCCAATTTCCAAAAAAACCATTACTAAGAACCTTACATTTAGCTTACGGATAAGCCAAAGGGGAGGTGACATTTGAATAATTCAAATAAACAGTTTTCCGATTTCTGAGAAAATCGGCATTGCAAGACAGAGTGAAATCAAGTTTTCAATCTCCGTCTCCGGAGTATCGGAAGTTTCAAACTTACAATCTCCATAACTCAAATATCACTTTTGTTCCAGTTTTGTTTACAGTGGGCCGGCCAAGCGTAGTTACTACTACCGTGGAACCCGATACAAAGGCGCGGCAAATTACGCAACTTTACAGAGGGCAACTTCCGGTGCAGATAAGGTCCTTTGAGCGGTTCCGGTTTATTGGATTCAGCTCTTTTTGGTGTCCAAGTAATTCCCCAGAAATAGAAGTAAGATATACAAACGATTTCCTATCGCCAACTTAAGCGTGTTGGATCTCAAAGAATCTGTCATGTTATTAAAACCGTCTGCGTGGGAAGACTGTCTGCTCTCACGCCACCCTGTCGCGCTGAAGTCATCGTTGTTTTACGTTTGGCTTCTGTAGCTCTCCCTCGCAGCCGTTTTTTGGATGTGACACAACGTTCCCCCAAACACCGCTGCGTGACATCCAAAAAACGACTTCGAGGGAAACTAGTAGCTGACCAGCCTTTTCGAAGTCTTATGTTGGAATAATCCAAGATAACAACTTGGCTTCTTGTATATACACCTCAGCCACTTAATTTTCCTATTGAAAACTAGTCCCAAAATAATAACTAAATCGTAAAAGAAAAAGAAAACTCACCACTGTGAAAAACAGCTACAACTTGACCATCCGCCAGTCTTCTACAGATCGTTCACCGCCACTTTTACCGCAAACTGCGCGCGCTCTATTTTTTTTTTTCGTATTTTTAAAAATACATGTACGAGAAAATAGAGAGAGATATCTAATACTTTGGTGAAACTAACGGAATGACACACGTTATTACATCAAAATAGCAGTAAGAAGTTAAAAATTCAGTCTCCTGCAGAAACACGGCAGTGGATGCAGTGTAACAACTGCAACATCAAGCAACCATTTTTACCCTGTTTTATTCCTAAGGTTCTATAATTTTTATTTTCTCGTGATTTAAATCTGCTTTTGTGTGTTACTTAGAAGTAGTATTACAAAATGTAGATGCAGGCTTATTAATGTAGGTACAACCGGGCTCGAATGAGCTCTGGATTTAGATTTTTGCCTGTTGGGATACAGCCGGCTTTCCACTTGTCGTCCCGGGGAAATCTTGCCTCAAAACGTCTCCAGGGACGAGGAGCGATGAGCGGCTGTATTCCGGCAGGTTTGCACAGTTAACAATAAAGCAAAACACAGAAATGGTTATGATCTGATGGACTTGTTTTTACGGATAACTCCTAAGCACCCCGCCATCCACCCCCCCCCCCCCACCCCCTCCCCACAAAAAAAGACGATGAAAAACACTTGGCTTCCGTCATCCAAGTCATCTGAGGAGAAAATCATTGTAGACCCGGAGGCGGTTTTATCAACAAGACATTGTCAACTGGAGCCAAATTTCTGTATGCAAATTTCTAAAATTGCTGGCCAAAGTCAGGAGAATTTCTCCCGTTCTTCCAATAAACTTAGACTTTCCTATCGGGTTGCTCTGAACCTTGTTGCCAAGAAGATGTTTGTCTGTGTATTTGGATCATGTTTACAAACATAATGAAGTCCCAAGGGGCTAGTTTTAGCAATTTTTGGTGGGTGTGTGCCGCCCGGTTCTCCAAATCCTGACCCTATTTCAGACTGAAAAATCTTATTTTCCACACTTCTTTTCAGACCCGGTCTCTTAAATCCATACCCGTTTTCAGACCTGGTATAGGTAGAGATTAGGTCATCATTTTTAGATCAGAGCTCAAACAAAAAGATTTCTTAAAATCATTTCGAATTCGCTTATTACCCTTTCTTTCTGATTCATTTGGAATTGTCATACACTCCCGTAGTTTCCACGAAAACCATACCCGATTCCAGACCAAAATGGGCAAAATCTATACCCGTTCAGACCGAAAAGGCGCAAAAACTATTCCCTTTGGGGTGGGAGGGGGACACATACCTATATAGCTTACATAAGGGAGTACCCCACCCCCCTCCCGTCAGGGATAGCGGGAGTTTATTTCAGGAAAACGTCTGTAATTTATCTTGGCTGGGATTTAGCTGTTGTCCGTATTTTCGGAGTGTCCGCAAGGCGAGAGTTGATTGTAGCCGATGGTGATGCTGCACTGGTGATCGATGACATTGTTGCCAAACTGAAAGATGATGACAACAAATATGACGCAGCATTTTCAATCATTATCATCACCGTCAAGTAACTACTTTTTCGAAGAGCAACTTTTACCGGCTGCTTATAATCTGAAACTGAAATCATATTATTTCTAGACATTAGGATCCCATAACCCTATGTAGACATGTAGTTTCCCTTTCACAGCACTAAACTTCCGGATCATTAGTCCGTGTAAATGTAAGCATTGAACACTGCGGAATGTTTTCCTTTTTAGGCCAACTAACCCTAAAAAATGTTGAACTGCAACGTTGCTCACACTATGAAGCCTAGGCCTGTGCCAGTTACGAAAGGAATGTCCGTTTACGAAGAAACGCTTTATGTTTCAATTACGGATTAGGAACGATTAATTAGGTGTAGATAAATTGAAGTGTGTTAGATATGATTATAATTGCAAAATCGGGGCGATTTTAACCTCATATCGATATCAACAGACATCACGTACAATGGGTAAATACCACATTTTTTTAGAAAGCGTTTCGCAAGACGTCGGGGAATGAAAAGTTGTTTAATCCTTCTACGAATGAAAGATGCACTGATGTATTTCCGTATTCAGTGTACAGAATTCCAAGTATACTGTGGGTGAAACATTCCGCTTAAGTTCCCCCTTTAACGAGAGAGACAAACAGCAAATTTTAATTTTGTGTGGGTTGAATTCATTGCGCACAGTTCAGCAGGAGTAAAGAAATGTAAAAATAACATATAGGTCTGCGAAACTCTTTCCCAGTATACCAAAGGATTTACTGAATGGTTCGCTCTCATGCATCTGGTAGAAGCCAAAAAAACCCTACCATTTGAAGTATCGTCAAAGCTTACATTGAAGAGAAAAGATTGGAGTTTTGAATTTTTACTTCATTAACGGTATAAGTGAAAGGCCTCATTTGAACTTCAACTGCAGGACAATATACAAGGAAGGGAAAAGAACGTTCGGTAGCAATATTGCCCGACAACATTTTTTCATTTCAAGATAAGATCGTTGAAAATATAATAAGCTAACATGCCGTATAAAAGTATAAAATAGTAACTCTAGGTAAATTGTAAATGGAAGAATGAAGAGAGAAAGAGGGCTAAAGAGAACCTTGACCTTTATAAAGAAGAAGTTAATCCGGAGGGATCTTGAGTTTCTTTTCCTATTTCGCCTAAAGGTGAAGAAATAATAAAGGGTGCTCGTACACTAACTAAAGGAGAAGGGATCAGATACAAAATCATGCGTTTTTCACTAAAAGGTGCGCGAGAGTTGAAATAGTTCACTAAAAGGCACAAGTTGAAAAAGGTAGAAATAGGCTGCGTTTCGTCACCCCCTAGTAAAACAAAAACTACCTACGTGAAAGAGTAACACGGTAAACTAGCCACTCCATTCGACTAGTAAACACTTTCCGATGTAAAATAGCAACACCGGCTGTCTCAATTAGTGACAAAAGCGATGTATTTTTAGTGTTTTTATTTTTAGTTCAGTATTTAATATCGGTCGAATTTTTTTTACCTTACCGAAAAGGTTTCCGTCCAGTGGCAATATTAAAAATGTTATACCTCGAGGCTTAATGTTAAATATTGATAGGCTTCCTCTGTAATTAGCTGGACGGATATGATCATATATCTTTTAGTCTTATGAAACTCAATTAAAAACGTGGCCTGTGCTTCCGACGGAACGAGCCACGCCTTGACAAAAATAAACCCAAATATGGCTATTCATCTGAAATTTTTCACTTATACTATTTTCAAAAATAACATCATCAAAGTTCAACCTCTAACAACAACAAAAACTTTAGGGCAACGATTTGGCAGCCTGAACCATATTACATAATTTTTTCCTAGCAATTTCAGTGGGTAGAAACCCTAAGCCGCAATCAGGAGCAACAATTAAACGTTCAGGTGGCAAAACTGTTAAAACTTCCTGAAGACGTTGGCGAATCTCCTCTACACTTTCCACCCGGCTACTGGCAATCTTAACACTTCCAAGCACAATCTGTGGATTAAGAGGGTTATAAGAAATGTCACTTCACTCCGTATATACGTTGAAAAAGCGCCAGGCTGCTGAGCGGGATCGGAGCTCGCGGGTTCTATAATCCCGGCCGGACCACCAACCAGGGTCTTGTAAAAATCCCAGCCTCTCTATGGGTACTTCAGACAAAATCAAAGTCTCGACGATCGTAATTATTGATGAAACGATCTTTGAGATCAAAGCGACGATTCCGTTGCCATTCCGATCAAGACTGACAAGGTTAGTTGTGCACGTTCAGAGTTTTCTGTTGTTTTGCTTTGCTTTTTTTATCTTCTCGTTTCCTTTGTCGTCGTCGCTCGAGCTCGTTAGTAACGGTACCTAGCAAACAATTCTTCATATGCGACGATTTCGTCGAAAAACCGACGATTTGATGGAAAACGTGAGACCAAAACGACGTTCTCATGTGCCCAGAGAGAGGTTCAAATCTCGTAAGATCATGCATGTAATCATGTAGGGGACTTAAGATCATCACGTGATTGGGCACGGACGTTAAGCCGTTGGCCTTGGCTCCTTCATTTCTCCTTGTCGATTCGAAGACAAATAAGAACACGTACTACTGTTCGAAAAAAAGTAGGCGGCTGAAGAGGACCGTCCGCTAAAGTGATCTACCTTTTATGGGAAAATGGACTGCTTCGGGCCGCAGTAATTGGCCAAGAATTGGCTTACTTAGTAAATTAGAAATTGTAATAATAACTTAAACTTGTTAACTGTTGAATAAAAAGAACGAAATTTATCTGGACCCCCAAACCTGAGGAACTTTTTCATAGACTTCTAGAACTCATAATGATGATGATGGGTTTTCATATAATTGATGCTCGAGGTTTCGCCTCAGGTTTCAAATCAAATCGCATGTAACAGTACTGGGGGCTAAATAGTACGTGAAATTTTGTTTTGTTACCAAAATATTGTATTTTAAACTTCCCAACAGGAAATTAGATAACCTACAATGTATTTCACAAGAATACTGTAAAAAGATACATTACTACATTGGTATAAGAATTTTGAAAATTCGACAAAGACGACAAATAATTAAAGTTAGCCGACAAATTTGAATACACAAAAAGATATTAAAAAACAGGAAACTGCGGAGGACTAAAATGCGTCGCTTGCAATTAGGGTCTTCATAACCACAGACTGTCCAACACTGATTTTTTGAGTACGCAAGATTGGGATATTTCTAATTACCGACGAATCACAAGAGCGCCGATGGCGCGAGTCGGAGGGCGGTCTAGGGGCATCTTCCACCGGAAAGTTTTGAAATCTTGATGCTCTGAGATGTGTTCTGAGAGGATAATTTCTGTCCAAATTTTAGTTAAGTATATTCAGTCAGGTGTTCTTGCAAAAGTATCATAAGAATTTATCTGAAAATAACAGGGTGAGAGCAGATGTAAAATCGGGATCTTTCCTATGCCGATAGCATATTCGGTCTTTTACTATGAGACAACCAATGGCATCGCGGCTAATTTGTCTATAAGGTGAAAACCAGTGTTAAACACCCTTAACTCAACAAACAATCACTTTGACCTTGAAGACGACTTGACTGCACAGGTTGTCCAAACGTCAATCATCGTTAATCACAGTCCTTTTAAGGCCTACACTCACTCGTAACTACCCTTCTAGCAGAGGTTTCTTTCCGGCATAATTTGCCGTTCGCGTCGCTGAAATTCACGTACTTGGCTTTTTTTTTCCCCGAAAGGTAAAAGCAAGCCGATTAAGCGAATGTCAGCAACGCGAACGACTCAGTTCGTAAATGCTAAAAATCACGTATGCCTGAAAGAACTGCGATCTGCTTACAGTGAAAAGGCACCACTTACGAATACCTTTCTTTAAAAAATGGTAACCCTTTTACACACTTTATTTAGAACTTTACTTCTCTTTTAACCGCTGTAAGTGCAGTATCTATAAAATATCAATTAATCTCAAAACCAGGAAATTTTCTCGACTTTTTCACAACCATAAAATCCTTCTGTTAGCCCTTTCAGCTGCCCTTAGAGTCCAAAACGACAAATTTCCCTACCCTTTTATATTCTTCAAAAAATTAAATCCCTACTCCTTCATGTTCATATACATGAAGTCGAAAAAGGTACCCCTTTCGGGCAGACCCTCCCCGTCTAGGCCATCATAAGGAGTCCCCTTCCAGTAACCTATGCCAGGACCTATGACATGACAAACAGGTTTAAACCATTTACCCCCCGAGAGACAAACGATCAAACAGTTACCTTGCTTGTCTTAAAATGCTTAAATAAAGTCAAGTTGTTGTGCCTGTGAGCATCCTCAATAGAGATTTCATCAAACCCTGCAGCATCCAGCTTATGAGCCAGTCTCATACAGACGTCCTTGTCGGCCTTCTTGTAGTCCTCTTGATCCTAAGAAAACAGCAAATTCATGCAACATCTTAGGCTACGTTATGGGCTCCTTCTTAAGCATAGTTTACATATGGAAAACTGTTCCAAGTAGAAGGGTCAACCCCCCCCCCCCAAAGAAAAGTCAGCTTTAGCAAGCATTTAAATGAGTAAAAAGTCGACCCCTTCAGTCGCTCGAACCGACAGCACTCATGCATGCTCTGATTGGCTGGGTGAGCCAAAGAGTTTATATGGAGAAAAGTTGAACGCGCTCGGAGGGTGACTCTACCATCACAAGGTGACTGCTTCTAGCCGAGCCAACTTTTCGTTTGTCACATACTGCGGGTGCATCGAGACACCCAAGGTTGGAGACTGAGCCTCTAAATATACTGTTTACCAAATCTCCCTAAGTCTTTATCTCCAATAGGGCATAGACTTCCACTGACTATTCTAAAATTTTGTTTGAATTCTTCACCATAAAATTATAGTTAGCAGACTTTCTTACCAGGTAGTTTGGGTAACCACAGCACAAATGAACAGTCTTCACAACATCTGGAGCTGAAACTCCATCAAAACAGGATGACAGCTGATCAATTCCATATTCTAGTGCTTGGTCAGGATATCGCATCATTACAGGCTCATCCACCTATACCATTATGAGTGTCGGACATTACTTAAATTGAAAATTACATAATATATTGACAGTTAACAAACAGTACTCTAAAACCTTTTAATCTTGTGCTTTTAGCAATGTCTGGCTCATGTCTGGTCCCAGTTGTTCAAAAGATCTAAGTGGATAATAGGCACTGGTTAATCCAGTTGCTGTTTCAAATTCTTATCAGATGCACTGGGTAGTTATTTATCCAATGTATAGCACTATCCACATGTTGGACAACTTATAAGTGGCCAAAAGTATTGGCTCTGACTTAAACTGCTAGTGTGTGGTCCCTTTTCATTCACTCAAGAGATCCCAGAAATTGTTGCTCTGGAAGTTTGCCGGGGGCAGGCAGGGGGGGGGGGAGGTGGGGGGGGGGGGGGGGGGGGGGGGGGGGGGGGGGGGGGGTACTTCCTAGTAATAGGCTAATGGGGATGTGCCGCTGGATGGGGTCACATTTTCACTGCTGGATTGACAATAATCGGGTTGCATTTTCATTAGAGTTACTAGAATGGGATTGCACATTTTCCAGATTTGGGGGATCAGAAAATTCAGGTAAGTAGGGATTTACATTGGGGAAGATTTTCACCACATTAACCAATGTGTCAATTCATTTCAGGGTGACCTAATTAAAAGGCTTTATAAAGTAGATGCATAAACAGAAAGTTACTAAGCTGGGATCGTGAAAATTACATTTTCCAAAAGTGACTAAGATGGGGTCTATGGTTGGCCACAGAAAAGACTATAATGGGGTAGGGGTTCTAAGAGGAAAGTGGCATATGCCCAGCAAAAATTAACCCAAGTAACCTCCCCCCCCCCATAGCCTTAATTAAGTTCCAATATTTTTATGAGTATTCAACATTTACGAGATTCTCAGTCTCACATGGACTTCCAATTGCACAAGGGATACTTTACCCTAAACTGGTGACAGATCGACTAATTTTTATCCACCCCTCCCTACTAACTCATAACTTAGCTGAATATATTTACAGCCCGCTGACTCAAGCGCCTTGATTTCCCTATTTATAATTTTTGCTAAAACATTGCCTAAAATCTTGCTGTTATGATAGTACTGATCTGCAGCCGTGTCAACAATTGTCATGGGGCCCGGGAGGGTAACTTTCATAGGCAAATCCTTGAATGAATCCTGTGTATTTCTCCACTCTTCACATACCCAGGGTTGATTTTCTTCGGGTAAAACTTCTCCGATTATTCTAGGGACAAGAATGGTGGTAGCATCCGAGCGAATTTCTTTTGAAAACAAGGTGTGAAAATCAAAACCTTTGAGCTTCCTACAGAAATGATTAATGTAATTTTCTCGCCTCATGATGAGATGATAATAGATAATCGGAATACATAGACCACAAAATCAAAAAGGGTTAAAGCCGCCAGCGACCGCTATAAAGCTCGTCACGAGCGACGATCATACCGTTAATCGCAGGTCAGTTGTGTGACTGATCCTATGACAGCTGAGTCGCCCATTGCGTGACGACCGAACTGCCCTTTTATCCTCAGATACCCAGGATTTTAATACAATTTTTTTTTTAAAAAAATCTTTTTTCTATACATGAATATTTTTACATCCAGCATGTACAATAGCCTGAATCTCGCTGTTAATTATCCTAGCCAGAACTCTGCCCAGAAGCTTTTCGTCTCCATAAAACTGATCCTCAGTAGAGTTGATTATTGTCATAGGACCCGGTAGGGTGATTTTCATGGGCACACTCGCCAAATCCTGCGAGGCTCTCCACTCTTTCCACACCCAGGGATCTCCCTGACGCAGCGACACTTCCCCGACAATACGAGGGACATCGGTTGTAATAGCACCGTCACGACAGACCTTCGAAAACAAATTATGAAAATCAAACCCGTTCAGGCCTCTGCAAAAATGAAGGATGTACGACTCACGGCGAATTTCACCGTCGGTGATCACATCGATTCCTGCTTCGGTTTGTATCCCAACTATATCTTTGGTAGCTCTTTTAATTGCTTCCTCTCTGTCATATTCCGACGACTGCTGCAGAAAAAGATTATGTTGTTCTGTGAAAGGGCCTGAATAAGTCGTCCGAAACCAGTCTGGAATCTTAAGATAAACAGGTTTTGGGAAACTTCCAATAACTGTTGTAGAAAGAGGCATTTTGGCAAGCGTTTTGTTCGGGTCGCCGAGTTGTACTAACCTCTGGACAGAAAATCGATTCTCATTCAAAAGTCTGTCACGCAATCCCTCGGGTTTTTAAAAGCGGGTCTAGGCTTCGTCCACACTATGCCGAATAGCTTATCGTAAGCCACGAAAAGCGACCGGTGTAGCGTGAACACCTATCCGATATGTACAGGCCTTCAGGGTTCTAGTGACTCAATCCGAATTGAAACTGGTGCTGGAGACGACTTGCTTCAGGTTACTGGGTTGCTCTGCAATAAGCTGGAACTGAAAGCAGATTAGTGCTTTTCTGTTTATCTTGGTACAGGTATCAACACAATGTCATTTCAAGGCCTGAACCCGAACAAAACGTCTCAGCAACCATAGCCGTATTAGCTACGACCGTCATTCCGGTTCCGTTGGGATTGGTTTCTTTCCCATAAAAGTCATACACAAAGCGGACTACAAAATCAAAACTAGTATGAGGGCATTGGCACCCTTATGAATGAACTCTTTAGCTAATAAGGTGCGAAAACTTTTGAGGAAAGAATAAAAAAACAAGAAGGATGAAAGGATTAAATATTTTGTGGATGGAGCACAGAAAGAATGAATTGATTAGTGAAAAACTTAAAAGTGGAAGAAACTTCGTAATAAGGAGACAAAGGAAGGGAGGGGTTGGGGAAGATCATTTTAGAGGGAAAGATAGGTGGAAAAATAGAAAGCGGTAGACAAAAAAGGAATTGGGAAAGGACATACATGACGCTTTTGACAAGCCAACAACAGCAAATGCTACAATACAAGACGAGATCAGATTATTTCCGAGCTTACTGCTAATGATCTTACAGACGCCCGGGGCATAAATTTAACTTTAGGGGCCCAAGTGGAAGCGTTTAATAGATAGGAGACGTTTAAAAGAGAAAGGCATCACTCTCGTAACTGTAGCAAGCTCAACAAAACTAATATGATTTCGGAGAAAATGTCAACCGAGTTTATAAAGAGCAAAATATCCAGTCCATCCATTGGTGCGTCTAGGCCATCTAGAAATCCATATCGCTCTTTCAGAATTCTTATTCAGGGCAGAGCTGTGATCGTTAGCCAATCCTTTCTTTGAACTTGACATTGAACAAGATACAAGGCGCAAATCTTTGTTAATCAAGCAAGAAACTGACAAAACTGGACGATCTTGCTCCTTCGTGCTATTTCCTTGAATTTTGGATATGGGTGGCGGAAGGGAGGGGGGCGTCTATTAGACATGGGGTGCCGGTTTCTTAGTGAGGGGCGTCTAATACAAACTTAAAATTATAAGGGAGGCATTTATTAGACAAGAGGCGTTTATTTGGCTGGGTGCGTCAATAAGATCACATACGGTTACTCATAACCAAGAATCTCAAGGGAAGCTGAGAAGGAGGTGGCGTGGCCGAGCGGTTAGAGTGCCGGACTTCTAATTCAGAGGCCCCGAGTTCAAGTCCCCCCTGACCGCTAGCTGGATTTGTTCTCGGTAGTCCCGAGTTCAAATCCTCGGCCACGATAGCTTGTAAAATATCCAACTGGTTCGCCTCTCGCCAGTTGGAATTTTTAACCATATTATGTTCCATTTAAATTACTTGTTTCATTATCCTTGACAAGCCTCATAGAGGGTTAAGGATAATTACAGTATTACAATTACTATTATTAAACTGCCAAGGACAAGATTGACAAAACATTTAAGCAACCTTTATAACAAGGAAGATTTTAAATTTCATTACACATCCAATCAAATATCAGCTGATGACTTAAATACAAGGCATTTGTCATGTGTGACTATTGCAAATAAAATGAGACTTACAACTCCTTTTCCAAACCAGTTTCTTCTGGTAAAACGTTGTTTTGCACTGTAGAATACTTAAATAAATATATTTTGTTCAAATAGATGATTAATTTTTGATTTCAAGGTTGAGGCGTATGGCTCACACAAGACGCACAACATCAAAACGTTCCCTGTTACCATCAAGACATTACAAAAAAGAACAAAAGATCTGAGTGGTGTGGGTTTTTAACTGCACCTTTTTTTTAGGTGTTCCATTGGGTTTTAAAGAGCTCATACATTAGCTTGTGGCTTATAAAGTTCACTCTGCATTACCAGAGTGAGCCAAAACATGTTGACCTCTACCTTGAATGTAATAAATTCCTTTTTTTTTCCTTTGTTATACAAGAAAAGTAAATTTTATATACAATTTAACAATGTACAACATAATATTTCTACACAATCACATGCTTGTAGGGGTCGAAGACTGTGAAGATGCACCGGGTATTTCCCTTAGTGCATTGTCACACGATGCAAGTCTTTTATGAAGTTTGTCAACTTCAATATCACATCTCTTTCGTTTCAGTTTAAGTGAGGAAACTTCAAGCTTCATTCTTTCAATTTCTTTCAGTTTTGTATTAATTTGTGCATCTACCTCTGCAACAGAAAAAGAACATAATACATTATTTTCTATTTATTTATTTACTTAAGCAACAACAACAACAATAACAACCAACCATTTTATTTTGTAAACTTAAAACATTTACAAGAACAGCATAACTTAAAATTTATCAGGAAAACAACCTACTCAGAATAGCAAAAAGAACTAAACGAGCTGAGTAGTTACAATAGTTAAATTACATTTTATAGGGTTGCAACACACGAAAGATAGAGAGGAAAAATATCATAAATTTTGAAGAAGAAAAAAGTGATAGAAAATAAATAAATTAATTAAATTAATTAAGATAAATAGAACAACATAAAAGGAAAAACAAACAAACATAAACAAAAACAAAAAGTTAGGCAATTCTTGGCAGTGTCACCGCAACAGTGCATGGCACTAATTACTGCTTGACAATAACAGTCTCTATACCCTTGAGAGATAACCACATCACCAGGGAGCAAGACCCCTACTCATTACGAACAGTGTGTGGGTTCTTTAATGTCCCACATAAATAATATGTGCAAGGGTTGTGAGATGCGGTCCACAGTTTAGCCATAGTAGACTAGAAAGTCTAATTGTCTATTTTATTGCAACTTTTGTTTGAGTTGTTTTGGAGTTGAGAGGGGGGTGTGCAGTCTTATATACGCATGCTTATACATGTATGCAGTGTAATACTGACTACTGTCGCTAAAATCCACTGATACCTTTAGCTTGGGCTTGCAATTTCCGAAGGTTGCCTTCATCTCTACTCCGTGCACGAGCAAGTAATGCTGACACATCATTCAAAAGCCCTGCCTCTCCAAGATGTTTGAGCAATGGTGAGTTACCACAAAGATCTGAAACGTTCATTTCACACAAAATTATCTCAAAACTACTCAGATAAAACATGTCAAATTGAAGACAGCTCTAGGCTATTTTACAACATCAGAAATTATAAAACAACAATACAGACATTAAATAAAATATCTTTGAAAAACATATACCGCAAACTTCCGCTTATAAGCCTGGGCATATACAACTTCGTCGTAAGGAGGGTTTAGGAGGTTTTAACAGGGGGCTTAATTAACTGGACTGATATAAACGTTTCAAAGCAAGCTACATAGCAGTGCTGATCAAAAAACCTTTTCTACTTTACTAGCTTAATTAAACTTCAAAAAAACTGAATTTATTCCAATACAAGATAGAGGGGGGCTTATATCTTGTGGGGGCTTATAACCAGATGTATTTATCGTTTACAGACACCAGTCAAGGAAGCATTTTGTCCAATGTTCACACATCATGAACTCCACCTAACAAAAGTTAGCTGTTTCTCTTTTTCTAAAGCCAGCTTCTTGGTGTCTGAATGCTATTGAAAACACTGCTGCACCACATGTTTGATAATCATATTACTTGTGCATCTCCAACAAATTCTTATCTGATGCAGCACTTACCTGAACTAGGTCCACTACTTGAAGCCTGCTCTTCTTGCAACTGCTGAATTTGCTGCAAAAATGATGACACACCACCTTTTAACTATAATAAGTGGAAAAGGTTAGGAAGAGATCAAGTCTACAAAAACATCATCCATCAAACCACCTGTTCCAGTCTTAAAGCTACACACTTACAAGCAGCTCCTTTGACAACAACAACAATAACAACAACAGAAAACAATAATAATATACTTCCAACTGGAATCTCTAAGGCTAATGTTTGATTTCCCTGGGCTTATCCAGCTTTGCAAGGGGTTTTAGGAGGGCACATAAATGAATATATCCCAGGGGTGGGGGTTTTGGGGGGCATATCAAAAAAAGTTTCAAAACAAGCTACATAGCAGTGCTGACTAAAACACTTTTTGAATTTACTTCTCTTTTTAAGCTTTAAAACGTCGTAAAAATTTGAATTCAGCTCAATCAAAAAATGCTAGAGGGGGCTTATAACTAGATGTATTTTTTGGTTTACAGGTTGATAGGCCTACAACTTGGGGAGCGTATAAGTGGAAGATTACGGTACTTGGTGTTACATAACACTTAATTCTTGCTAATTCTACAATTATCCTTTCCCAATCCCCAGCCATATTCTCATCCTTAGGATTGCTTTGACTTAATACCTGATCAGGATCTTCATTGTCATCAAGAGGCTCCACCTTAATGTTGACTGACTGCACATGGGCAATGCGAGGATATATAGAATCCTCATCTTCATTGTCCATTGTTGTAGCACTCACTGGTGAGTGACTGTGTCCATCTATACTAAGAGGAGGTGATGGGGTCACAAGGCCAGAGTATCCCAGCTCTCCTGTGCTCTCAGCAGCAGACATGTTATCCAGTACAGATTCATCTGTTTCAACTACCTGGTGGTATGAATGAAGGCATGGATGGAATTTACTCCAAAAAATCTAAACCTTTTTTTTACTATCAAGTTCAGAATCAAAGCACTCCTTTCATTTCTGCTTTTATTGATGAGTAAGGCACAAAACCCCCGAACATGGTTGGAATGCACTGCATAAGCCCACAGCAAGCCCAAACAACTGGCAGGAGCAAATTGGCCCATTAAAGCTACCACTTGCCCTTTAAAAACAAAGGCATTGCCCAAAAGTTCATTGTACACAAAGACTCGTGTACTAATTCTGTCATAATGCCCCAGTTTCTTAGTCACCTTTGGTAAAAAGAAAACCACCCTAACTTTGTTCATTGAAAGTCCATATAGGCACCTTAAGGTATGGTAGTCATGAAAGGATTATTGGCATTGTAAGGTATACGTATTAGAGCTCTTCTTCAATAAATCATTCAGGACTGATTAGTTTTGGTTTCAATCGACTGCAATGTATATACTGACAGTCAGGTGTAGGTAGCCATAGTATATGACACATACCCTGATAAGCTCCTCAACAATAGATTCTGATCCACCAGCGAGGGCAATATCTAAAGCTGTCTGTCCTTCATTATTTCTGATACTCCTATCTGCACCAGCGACAATGAGAGTCCTAATGGCCTGAGTGCAGTATTCCACCTTATGTCTTTCACCGCGAGCTAAAACATGTAGGGCTGTTTCACCAGAATCATTAACAGAGTTTAAAATAGCATCTGCATAATCTCCCATCTTCTTTCCTTTGTTAACAATCACTTCACAACAAGACAGGAAGAAATTAGGCTTATGCTCTCCATGAACCAGCATATTAGCAGCTGTATGGAGAGGAGTTTCTCCATGAGCCTCATCTTTGATCAACAGTGTCTCCTTCAACAGTGCAACCATTTTTGAAAACTTTGGATTGAGTTCTTTAACAGTAAACTTTGGTCTTGACTTGTGCAGCCACTGAATAGCACGGTGTAAGGCTGTTTCACCATTTCCAGATGATTTTGCCACTGGGGAAAATCCACTGGCGAGCATCCACTCTAAAGCATTGCACTTTCCAAGAGCTGCTGCCCAATGGATGAGAGGAAATCGATTATCCGACACAGCATCTGGGACATCATCATCTTTTCCCCATCCACCCTTGGTGTACTTATCTACACACTCTTTAAGGTTGTCGAGATTTGACAATGAACCCAGCATATCTGTGCAGTTCACAATAGCTACTAATAACTCATGATGCTCTGGGCATTCCTTGTTTTTTTCACAGAATGGCGTACATCTGCGCAGCACAGGTTCTTGATTTATTTTGGTGAAGTCTTGATATGCTGTGGCCATGGAAGCCATCACGCAATGAAGACGTCTTTTGTTCTCTGCTGAATAAAATGCCTAAGGAATATGAGAATAATAAAATTAAAAGTAATACTAGATCATCATTAAAATGGAAATGAAAAAAACAAAAACAAAACCAAAAAAAGGTAAAATCCCTATCATTGAAATTATCATTTTTAAATTCATTTATTAAGGAGACATCAATGTTTACAAAAATTGTTTTAGTTATTCAAATTAAAATGAGTGAAATAAAAAATGTTTTGTTTCAAGAACCAATGCGCTTCATAAAATCAATAAGTGATGTCAGCATATCACTATATCTTACTGCAACATGTTCTACATGCAAGAAGAAAAGGCAGAAAGATATAAATAGTTATCACAAAAATTTAACAAGGTTTCAATCAAACATTTAGTAAGATGACTTTATACTTCACATATGATCCAATCCAATTGAAGAGGGCTTTAGAGGAACAATAACCTCCATTTCAAACTTTAAATGGTCACATGACCTCTTAATATAAATTTACTATAGGGTCAGCTGATATTACTAAATGGTCTTGTAAAGGACAAGTAATGTAAAGTACTTCAATAATTAGTTTAGTATGCATTTTAATCTTGTAGAGGCGAAATACAGTTATTCATATAACCTTAAAAATTCAAACAAACTAATGTTGTCTAGAATTGGATCATTTTGTCTCTTTCGTTTCGATTATTTTGTCTTACTGTCAACATGTGGGTTTGACTAGACTGCATTTGAATCGCCTTGACGCACAACAGAAAATCAAAGTGCACATATGTAATTAAAAACATAATATATGCCTCGCTACATGTCTAATATATTTCTTTGTCTCTTTCGTTTCGATTATTTTGTCTTCCTTTCCAAATGAATTTGACTGCATTTCCTCATCTCAAAAAATGTTCGCCCGAATTTCAAATGAAAACAACAAAAAATCGACTTCACGCGCCGCAGATAATCAAAGTGCACAAATGTAAGCTTAATTAAAAAAGATAATATATTTCCCACTTTACGTGGAATACATTCTATTTAATTCTCTTCCAGTTCATTGCTGTAAACAGTGATTTTCAACGATGATTATTTCCCTTTCGCGACCCGCGGTGGGAAAATTTAAAGACTGCTCTGTTTACGTCAAGGGCTAAAAATACCCGTTGACATGAGGTATTCAGGCTCGACCCCCGACGGAGGCAAATCGCAGCTGAACGGCGAGATTTCGAAATATTTCATTAGAATGACAAAATTTCTCCTTCGTCTTTCTAACACTCGGATGGGATAATTTAAATTGTATTGTACAGTCGTGGTGATCCTTGAAAGTCCTAGGTCGTTTTGATGAGACATTCGGAGTTTGCGACTTGGCCGTCATGCCACGAGGTCCGTCGCCAGATCGCTTTCTCCTTCTTCATCAAATCCCTCAAATTTTCAAGATTTTTCAAACGTCTAGCCGCCTTTCCTTGATGGTCGCTTTTTGGCCTTCAAAATGCTTTCTGTAAGCGCAGATAAAAAAGCAAGAAGCTTCACAAAGAGTTGTTCGGAAAGCAGTCTCCCGGTGAAGAAGAAAGAGTCATTTCCGACAAACAAAGACACCTCCATATTCCGGCGATGCTGACGGACAAAACAGCATTGTTTTCCGAGTCAACTCTTCATCGTCCTCTTGATTTCACCTCGCTTAAATACCTCTTTTTTATTTTAAAAAAAATTACACCAGTAGGTAGGTAGTGCTGTTTAGCCATTTCGTTGTCGATGATAACTTCGTTCGTACACTTCCTTCGCGGTACACCGTAGGACTGCCGGCATCAGAAAGGTCTTACCATGGTAATGAAGACAAGGACAACGATGTATTAGGAGCTAGACCGATGGAGTTTTCAGATTGGAACTTAAAAGATTTCTCAATCCCGCCTAGCTTTTGAAAAAGACAGCTACCATCGGCAACAAAACGAGCGAAAGAAGACGCGTCAATCTGAGGAATAGGTCGACAGCTGGTATGAACCGAACCACGAAGATGCCCCTCACAAATGAATTTTCTCACCACTTTGGCGGCTCAGAGACCGTTTCCAAGGAAAAGGACTACTTTTATACTTACTCTAAGACGATTATTTCTAAGAAGGACGGGTTCTTCGTTCAGTAGGGATCTGTGTTGATGCCGACTTGTAAGATATGGTGATTCGACTACGCGGCAGTGTTCAGCAGACACCCGTGAGAGCTCTTAGGGCGGCAGCCGTGGTTGTCAATCAAAACCTGCCACCACGGAAGGACGTGAAAACATTACGTATTATCTTCCTTAGACCTCATAGGCTGCTACCGGAGTTTTGAATTTCAAATGTCGTCGACTTTGGCACCACAAACAAAAGGCTTTTGAACATCTGCGGTGGTGTCTTAACACTTGTTCAGGGTTGCTCAACCAATCCGTGGTCTCGCCGTCTGCCGATTTCTTGTTTTGCGTGTGAAACCTGCCGAGCTTCAATAGAATAGAGCTGGAGGCAGCCGAATGACTCATTCATTTACCATGATTTACTCTCTCTCCCCCACATGTGAGAATAATAAAGTTTTCTAGTACCTGACGGGATTGTTCATGCCTTTAGCTCGCTAGTTTGCCGGCTGCCGCCAAAAAATATCATCATTTGAGATGATAAATATTAAATGTTGATTCAGGGGCTCGCTAGTCGCACCACATGCCTCTTCAAATGACGCGTGTGATCAAAGACAGGTACCTTCGAGCCTGCAGCTTTTTTGGCAGATGATTTTTACCGAGGTTACTATGTAATTAGCAAAGTTTCAATAAAGCTCATTGACGCAACGGAATGGAAGGACAAAAGGTAAGGCAGTGCCATTCACGCCAGCCATTCAAGTGCCGGAAACATGCACTATACAGGCTACGTCTTTCAGTATCTCCTTTCAGTATCTGTTCTTGCGGTCAGTCATCCGAAAAATCGGGCCATCTAACCCCGGAATTAGAATATTTGTCATCTGTTTTAAAAAGTCATGGCAACTAACCATTGATGCGATATTTTGCTTAACTTACTTATGAACCGAACCGCTCCCTAAGGAGCGTGACCGGGTCACGAGACTTTCGGTACGGTAAAGTTTTGTCCTTAGGCCGGAAACTTCTGACTTGTCCCTTAGATCAGGCATGGCGGGCCTCACGGATTGAGTTAAATCGCCGAGAGAGAAAGCGACTGATAAAGTTTCCTCTAAACTATAAAGAGACTTGGGTATTTTTACACTGTCCATCTGATGATCTGGCCTTGGATCGTCAGAAGTACAGTCTTCTGGGATAAAAATGTGATCAGGTTTATAAGTAACTGAATAAACCTTCGGAGCTTGAGTACGGACTTGGTCAAGTGTCCTCGCTCGTGGAAGGCACGCGAAGATTTGGGACTAAGGCCTAGAGGCGGTGGTAAAGGTGGCAGCGCCTTTCCTCTCCCCAGTTTCCATTCATTTTATATTTGGAACAGGCTAAAATCAATAGTATAGTACGCAGCTAGATGTTGGCAACGAGCATAAGACCAACTTAGAACTACCACTATGCGTTAGAATAAACATTAACGGCGGATGTCTACGTGAGCTAATTATAATCCGTAAGGGATGCATTCTATTTGTGACTCTCCTTCAATAAATGACTTACTATAATCCAATCCAAAACTTGCAAAGACTAGCCTTCCTTCAAAACTGATCCCCCTAAAGAAGGACGGCTTGTCTGTCGAAATATCGGGCAAACTCAAGTCGCGTTCATTGGGGGCTACGGTAGGCGGCAGAGGAAAGAGCGGGAGGAATTGGATCTAAAATAGCGGAAAGTGGGAGAAATAAAGGGAAATTAAGCAACAATACTTAATCCTTCGCAATCGAAAAAGGGCTTAGCGGAGGAAGCGAAGAAAAATCTGAAAAATTGGGCGGAACAAGGGAATGACAGGTACAGGGGCCTGTTTCTCGAAGGGCCCAGAAACTTTTCGAGCCCGAAGGAAAATTTTGAAATCAAACCTGCTGAATAGTAGCACAGTTCCTAGCACACAAACCAGTCAATTTTCTTGTTAACTGATAGTTTTATTGCACCGTTTTTAACTCGTGGGTACGCGCGAGCGTACCACGAGTTATTGCAGGGACAGGGATATGCAAATGAGTCACTCGCTCACTCGTAGTAGACGCACTTCGTAATTAATCGGGTCCTAACTCGAGAGCGCGAAGATCTATCGTCTCCAAAGAAGCACGCGCTCGCGGAAGTTCGGTGGCATCATATTCCTCGCTGAGAGCGTGCATCGTGCGTTACAGCACGGTTAGAGGATAGAGGTCTTACCAAATTGAAGACATGCAGGAATCTTTCAGATTAATACGATTCAAGAGCCTTTGACTCGTCCAGGCGTTTAACTTGACGAGAAGATGAACATTTACTCTTCGACTCCTTCAACTTCGACGCTGGCTTGATCTCCTACCTTGTAGTAATGTAGTAGGTTATGTGTATGAATGAATGTATGGTAAATAAAGGCACTTCTTCTTTTTCTTCTTAAGGACTCCCCGAGATTACGGGGGGAAATGGATGTGATTTTGAGCATTAGCTTTAAAATGACAGCGGAAATCGAGATAAGAAAACATAAGGTTATGTTTTGCGTTCTATTTTGCGGAGGAGTTGTGTCGGCTTTGTATCGCATATGTTCTTTCATTGCCATGAAATGCGTTTACATTGTTTATTACTGTCAGTAGCCTGGTTTCAATTAGCCTTAATTTCATCCGATTGCTTCGAGTCGATTTTTCAATTGGTTGAGTGTGGCTCGATCGTTTGCCGGCGGAAGTTCCATGGAAAAGGCATTAATTTTGAGACTTTTCACGAACTCATGTGATCATCCTCAATAGCGTTGTGGCCATGTGAAGTCGGATCGACCCGAGGGTACGGGGTTCAAAATCTGCTAAGAACCTTCTTTTTTCCATCTTCCTTTTTTTATTATTTTTTGTTTTGTTTTGTTTGCTTATTTGTTTTGCTTTGTTTTGTTTTTTTTGTTTTTAAATATATACCTAAATAGCTGTTAATAAAGTGCAATAAACAGCAAGAAAAGTATTGTGTTTCCAGAACAAGGATAGTCAGGATAGTATATTTATAATTTCAATTTCTATCATTTCCTAAAATTTACTGTGGGAAAACCAGAGGTGATAACTAATTGATTATTTTCTAAACAACGTACCCACGAGTTGACGATAGTCTTTCTTTGATTAAAATTATTGAAACTTTGATAGTGAATAGGAACATGACGAACACAAAACAGACTTCCGGGCCCGAAACGTTCTCAGGACTCTCGAGAAACAGGCCCCTGAGACGGAAGGTCGGATCCCCCACCACCCCACCTTGAGGATTTAAATGTCGTCATAATAATAAAAGGTTACCCCCATTTTAATAAACATCTAGTCGAAATGTCGCTTTCATTTAATTTAGTAGTCCACGTTCGATATAATAAAATTCTAACATGACTTCGACGCTTTCTGGCCATTTTTCTATATTTGGTTTGGCGTTCGTTGTGCTCAAATCTCTTCTGGGAATTGCGAGACAATGGAGTCCAAAAGGGAAATTGCAATTTTCACCCTAAAGCCTCGGAGCCATGTCAAAATTTTAATACAGTACAGCGAACGTGGGCTATTGTCTCACTCGCAGCATGTGTTCGACCGTTTCCATTGCACGGCCTCCCTCCCCTTCCTTTATCCCCCCCCCCCCGACCCTTTTCAACGAAGAGAAGCTCCTACCTTGAGAAAATTCAACGGTAGTTGTATTAACCAATTATTTTAAACTTCCTTTGCCATGTTTTTATTTTTATAATGGTAAATGAAATGCCACTAAATAAAACAAACACCCCTTCAGACCTTTGCCCGTTTTAGAGTCCCGAGATAATCCAGCCGCAAGCTAAATCAGATGTCTGATTCACGGTCTGTGCGCGTGACAGAACACAATTACCATTTCCTGACGACTTCGGCATCGTCACAGTAACTAACTCTGCAAAGCCCACTCGGGTTCCCCCGTAAACTGGTCCTGAATCTACCAGTCTACAAGTAATGGTTTCGAAATTCGCGCAAGAATTAGACCTGTGGTGAAAAACACGTTTCCTATGACAATTCCCACAGTACCTCTCAACTCTTGAAGGTCATGGCGGCAGCATCATATCCCGGCTATTTCCGCCATCGTGCAGCGACATGCACGAAACAGGTTTTCTAGAAAATGAGGATCGAGGATGGGGGATAGGGGATGAAGCCCATGAATTATTGCCCGTTGCAACAACCAAACAAGAAATCGAAAACAAAGGGAAACATCTGGTTTATTCAGTAAGGAAGTACAATATACAGTATATGTGGTACAGTAGTCAATATATATACATTTTAAATCAGGCATTAACAACAATAAACATTCACAAGGCTCCTACGTTGCAAGTCTGTGTGTAGACGCAACGGGTGGATAGAAACTTGTTCACTTCTAAAACTTGAGCGTCGTGAACCTTGACCAAAAATACAATTTAAATAAAATTGACGACAATAAAATTTGAAAAATACTTTCTCAATTCAAGACCTCACATCCAATTCACAATCCAAACTTCGCCTATTTACAGCACAAGGAAACTTCTAATGCTCAATTTGTACAAGGGCTGGGAAGGTGCGCATACGCAATCGTTCCACTTCAGCCCGGAGCACGGCTACTTCCTGCGCCTGCGCTTTGGCAAGGTCCACCAACTTGCGTCGTGCCACAATATCCTGTAGGCGTCGCTCGGCCCCAGTGTCAGAGCGACCAGCCGCTATTAAGAGGAAAAGTAAAGAAACAAATCTGTCATGTGTTGGTCAAGTTCATGTACTCATTTCGTGGAATCGAATTCCGCATCGTTTAGAGATGTATAGAATGCAAAGAAAACCCTCACCCCTTCCCATCAAAGTAAAGAAAGGAAGAAAATGTGGCACATTAGAGGTTCCCACATTGGACTTCGCTCAATATGTCTGTTCTTTCTGGTTTTATTACGTGGAAGCACTATGTGCCTATGAGAAGCGGTAAACCCTAATCAAGTACGAAGGTTTAAAATTCTTGACCATTGGGCACTGACGACGTTAACTTTTTCACACCGCATGAAGTAGAAAGAAAGAGACATATTCGATGTTACGATCAAGAGTAACAAGATTTACAGAAATCAAATTCATGATGGTTAACGAGTTCATCTTACTAAGTTGGCAAGCTCGTACCCAGGGCTCTTCCCTTAGAAAATGAGAGGGGCGTGAGGTTGTTTAGTGGGATACCCAGTCTGTCTGTCTGTCAATCCCGTCTACGTTCAAACAACTAGTTCTATTAAGTACAGTCAATTCTCTCCTTAGCGACCGCTTCTCGTAAGCGATTACTTTTTAAATCATTTTCCGAAACAGTTCATTTCGTTACCTTGTATGACACAAGAAACCTTATTTCGACCCTTATCCATTTTGTTTCGCATACAGTGTTAAGTAATTTTTTGAATTAAGGTCAAGGAATACAATTTTTCTGGAAAAAAAAATTGTGGGTACAGTGGACACACGATATAACGAACCTCTAAAAACGAAGTCCTCGGCTAACAAACGATTTTCTTTACCCCAGAAAAAGTAAAAAAAGAACAAACCTTGATAAAACGAAACCTCGTTACAGCGAACAAATTTTGCCCGTTCCTTGGCCGTTCGTTATATCGAGGTTCCACTGAACAGAAATAAAGATCACTCATCGTCAACTTTAACACTCTTTAAAAGGCCTCCAGTTCAAAAAGACATCTTGATCAAGACGCTAAATAGTGAACATGTGAACGCTGTCTAAGACTCAAGACCCTGAAGACGATACCCTGTTCGGTGAACACATTCTGCTTACCATTTGCTTCGTTCACATTCCTTCGCTCAGCAACGGACAAGGCAAGTTCCTCTAGATCAGCATCGAGCTGTTCATTATCTTTTTCTTTTCGTCGGATCAACCTCTTGATGTTCTTTATGGTTTCCTTGCGATCATTAACATTGCCATGATGCATCTTCTCTTGAAAGGTAAGCGTTTGTTCTAGAGTAGCGATTTCTTGCTGCTGCCTCGCTTGTTGGTCTCCCTCCGAGAGAAACTGGGCAGAAAAAAAAAGGAAAAAGTCCCTTAAATACTCCAAAATTGAACGATGCATGTCTTGTCAGATGGTTCTAACTATTGAGTCTGAGGGTAAAATCCTACGACGTCACCATTTTTAAAAAGAAAATTTTGGAAATTTTGCCGCATTTTGTCGCATTGTAGACGCAACTTTGTACTTTGAATCCCCCCAAAACGTTTCTTTCCGGTCAATGAACAGAAGAATTTACTACCCCGATAGTAAAATCCATTTACCCCGGGCAGGGCTTATAGTGGCTAATTGTCACTCCTACTACTCTTTATTGATTTCCATGAAACATGCTAAAGTTTAAATTGGTTTCGTTTACAAACTTGGGTCCAACACGAGGAATTATTATCGTATCACATCAACGGCAGGTTCCGCATGCTTAGTCAAATCCTTAGTAATCAGAGAAAGAGTAAACACTGAGTTACTGAAAACACGTCCCTACCTGCTGCAACTCCTTGGTAACTCTTAGAAGCTGGATGTCACGAATCTTGGCCTGAAGATCCTCGCACTGCATGTCCATCTTCTTGTGTTCCCTAGCAAGAAAAAGGCGTGCTTTATTTATGCTGTGTTACTACCACATTTCACAAATCTTTATACGATAACATGCTGCGTTGCTTTCGCTCCAGTCGCCGCAAATAAATTGCCAAGGCGACTTCCAAACTTTTAAAGAATCAATTTTAATCAGGAAATCAACATCATGTTTACCATTCCAGTCGATGAATTCCTTTCCTAAACTCTTTACTGTCTTCCATTGTGGCAATCTTTCCTTTCCCCAAGGTCTAAAGAAGGTCATACGAGATTAGAAATAAGCTCAGGAAAAAAACGATTCAATTCTCTTTGGCTAAGGACACCACAAGCTTGAACAGAAACCTACAGGAAGAGCCTAAGGGCCGCATCCTTAGCAGATCCGGCTGCGTTAGTGGAGTATAGGCGAAAACCAGTTTGGGCTGCGGAAAACAGTGAATCACGGAACAGCTTTTTATGGGAATTATCTGGAGCATTTTATATTCCAGCAACTCTGATCGCTATTTCGCGTGAACGGTCCAACTGAGCGTGAAATGGAACACTAGATATGAAACAAAACATCGCCGTCGACAAAATTAAGGAAGGAGAAAAAAATAGTTTACCGTGATCTGAGCGTTAAGATCCTCAACAACAGAGCGGTGTATCAATGCACTGTCTGTGTAATCGGTGATGAACGAGCCCGGAGAGACCTCCACCTGTAATAAACAATCCAACACTTGTTAGAAAATAGAATGTAATGTCAACCTGTAACACACCGAGGAAGTCTCTAACGACTGAACCTGAGCGGTCACCGATCTAAAACTAAAGTCAGCATTAATTTGGTAAGCGAAGGGAGCAAACACCAACCTGTCCTTGTTTTAGCAACAACTGTACTTCTAAATTAATAAGAAACCTCATTTTTTCATCTCTCAACCTTCAAAAACAATCAAACAAACAAACAATCAAAACAAGAAGAACTGCATCAGATTATTTCACTGATTAAAGAGTTCCAGTTGAACGTTTCTGGTAGAGAAAGGAAGGAAAATATCCCACAATCCGTCGTACATTACTGGACGCCAGGATTCCACAATTTTTGAAGTTTTGGTGGGGTATAAAAGTGTCATCATACGGAAACGGTTTCTTTTAAGTCAAACTGTTTGCTAGAACACTAACATTTATCATCAACAGGATTGATAGCGTAAGTAGCCGATTGTACAGGGACTCAAGCCTGAGAAGTTCTTATGGAGCGTCTTAGCGATCGATGGCCTTTCTCCTAAACCGCTAAGAGGAAACTCGAACACGCAGCTTAGCCTTCGCTTCCAACAGGAATGCCTGAGGCCATTTGGTGACCTCATAAATTCTCGCGCGACAAAGAGCAGTAAGGAACAGTTACGTGTGAAGAGGGAACTGCTTCCAATACCTCTGAAGTTCCTGAAGAGTGATTTCCAACTCTCTGTTGACTTTTTCATCTTCTTCAGTTCGTTTTTGCAGGAAGGAATTCATTTCAGCCAATGTCAAAGCCTTAGCTTTAACCTGTGCCCCGAATAAAAAAACAACATAGATTAAAATGTTCTCACATGTATTTTACAGCTGTTCTTAAGTATATGCAGACCAAAGCACCCACTCAGTAGGGACGAAAAGCCGTAACTTGAACTACATTCACTTCTTGCTTGTTCTCTGTAATTACACATTATCTCCAAACCTGTTGCTCGCTCTCGACTTTCTGCCTCCTGGCTTGAACAAGTCTCTGCCAGACAGCAGGTTCCACACCTTCGGGCATGTGCTGTTCGTCATCTAACTCGTCCATTGCGCGCTCCAAGCTTCGCACCGCCTCAGAATTTGCGCGCGAGGACGAAGGTCTGGGACCAAATGGGCTTCCGCTCTCTGGAAGATCACCGTGCGATTCGGTCGCAGCCTTGAGCTGCTTCTGTCCCCTGAGGAAAAAAATCCCATTCTGAAATCATAGCTTTATCACCACTTACAAACTGCCAGATTGTTACTTATTTTGACTAACTTGACTTTTTCAGTTCAGTAAAATTGCTGGTAGTACTGCGTTCCACACAATTTAACAGTTAAACAGTTCTGCATATCTTATACATGTCTCAAGCGGCTAGTCATCTACAGCTATCCGTACGGTATCTCCAAGGGCACCTCTTGAGCAATCTCGCTTCCAGGACATTTTCTGCTCAATCCCAAAAAGAAGGAAGGTCCTGGGAACGAGATTGCCTCTTGAGGAACATAATCCAATCAGAGCTCCCTAACCCTTCTCCGCACCATGCCTCTGGACTCCCTTGACCTTGTTGAGCACAACCAAGACTACTTGAGGGACATTATGCCCAACCTTTAACGTACCAACCCCGTAGCCCCGTAGACTCCTTGACCTTATTGAGCACTGTCAAGACTACGAGCTGCATTACTGTTCCATTTTAACCAACGCACCTGGGCCTTCGCTTGAAGAGTTTATAAAGCTGTTCCACGGTATGCATATCTTGGTCTGCAAACTCCTTTTTGAAGGCTTTATCCAGAGCCTTGTCCTCAGCCAACACAATCTCGTAGGAATCACGGAACTGATCCACTTCTCGTTTGGCTTCAGCTAAAGCTCCCGCAGTCTGCGTCTTTTTATCTTTGGTGTCGTTCATGCGGCGAGTCAACTCTGTCTCCTGAATTTCCAGCTCTCCTTCCGTTAATACTGACACCATCAAGCGAAGGATCTTGAGTTCTTCCTGCAAAAAAAATGGAGGGGATAATTGCATCGTTAAATTAAGCGTATGAGAAGAATTTGCGCCAGTTATTCAACGAAACCTTACAGTAAGGATTAGCCTGTGAAAACAACCGACATTTCGCGACGCCACTACTGATTTCCCCGCCAAATGGACGTCTGAAGCGCTACTGCAGAAATCAATACTAATAACGTGATTCTGATTGGTTGAAGAAAATTTCCCTCGCAGCACGACTGGCTGTTTTCTCAGGCTAGCACGAATGGCTGGCAGTGATTTACGACATAATAGCATTCATTCAACCATGGCTACAGAGCGTCCTTTAGTACATGTGTGACACCCCTGCTTACCAACTAACCAATCGACCGAGTAACCACCTACATTCTGACCAACCAAATGAGCTCCCTTGCTACACGGCGACCGTTTAACTGACCCTTTTATCCACCTACTCACAGATTGGTCACGATCCCTGTCTTACTGCCTTCGCATCGATTTACCGAGCAGCCTGCTTGGTGACCCACCAAGCTTAAAGAAAGAATTCGGAAACCCCTATCTACCTGCTCACCAACTGATCCACCTATCTGTCAATATACCTGGTAGATAACCATCTCGGTCTTGACTTTCCTCTGAAACAACTGGCCCAGTTTCTCATCAAACACAGCAGTCGCTTCAGAGATGCCACTCTGCAATTTCTTGAGCTCAGTCTCTAGTGATTTGCGATACTTCTCACGATCCTCCTGCAGTTGTTGCTTCTTTTTCTCAAACTCCTTGGCAGCTTTTTGGTCGTCTTCACTCCATTCCTCTTGAGGTTTGTTGATCATGAAGTCAGGCGGAACCAGATCCTTCTTTAGTTCGTCTTCAGGGTTGGCCTCCAGTCGCCCCTGCATCATCATCATCAGTGCACGCTCACGTGCGTTATCCCCTTTCTCAGCTAGCCTTCGCTCTACATGGAAAAGAAATGTTGCATAATAATCATTGTTAAACTCGTCAGAACAATCGCCGTGCAAACTTGTTCTCAAAAAACCTGTGCTCCTTTTTTATAATCACTTCAAATTTTACCCGATCGTCCCAATAGAACTCAATTCCATCCAATGCAATCGAGGTCGTCTCAGTCGTCAGGGTTGTTTACGATCGTCCTGGTAGCGTTTCCACATGATCGTCCCGATCGCCTGAAAATTATTTGAGACGACTGCATGGGCCGATCGGGACGCCAGCCAGGCGGACATTTTAAAAATGAAATGTTAGTCTTTCCGCAAACGTTTAGCAAAACCCATTTATTCCGTGCCTACTACCTGGCTGGATAGTACTGATTAATAGTGTAATTCTCTCTCTGACTGGGGTAGTCTCTCCGGACGGTTCTGACAAATGGGAAGCGCCCTAAACTAATATTCATTGGGTCTATTTTCAGTGACAACGTCCGATTTTTCTGAATTTGGGTGGTGTTTTCACCAACTCTACAATGACTTCTTTGACGCCCCACTGAAAATAAATGTCTGGTACGAGGGGCCCATTATTTGACCGTGGCGGTCTACCAGAAGTCTCCATCACGCGCGAAAGTCTCTAAGGTGTACAGTTAAATGTTGATGAGTTTTCGATCACGTTAGAGCCTGCTAGCCAGCTTTCCATTTCAAGTGGCGTGGAAGCGACCCGCAAGAGAAGGCTTCAGCGAGTAACAAAGCCCATCGCTCTCGATTCTCCTTTCGCATGTCGCTCGCACGTGACTTCCCACGATATCCCCAAATGGAGAGCTCGCTTCGGCTTGTAACTCGGCTTCAATTACTTGTAACAAACCTTCATCAATCCGGGCTTGTTCTTCGAGTTTCGCCTGCTCTTCAGGACTGATGTACTTCTCAAACGGAACCTCGTCATCTTTGACTTCTAACAGCAGCTCTGGCTTCTCGTCCACGCTCATGACCGGTGTAAAAACCTTCTCGACAAGCTCCAGGTCACCGAGTATCTTCCTTATTCGGTCGTTCTTTTCGCTGACTCGTTTGATCTCTGCTTCTTTTTGTTTGAAAACATCGTCAAACTCCTTGTTGAAGGCCACCTTGATTCTGTAAATGGCATCCTGCCATAGAGTAAAGCATATAAATATACTTGCTTTGACGATGGAAAGAGAGATTTTTAAAACATGAACTTTTTTTTTCATTATTTAACTAAAAATCATAAGCAGATTTGTTTGGGTGGCATACTTTAAACCGAGTGGGAGAATGAAGTACCTACGAAGGACTTGAAACACGTTAAAAAAGTCACAATTAAATCAAACTGCACAGCCCAGTGGTACTTGATCTTTCTACCAACTTTTGCAATCCATGTTTGAAACAGTTCTATTGTTTCTTCAAAGTAAAAAATCTTTAACGTTGACGAGATATTAAGGGCACTTTCCATTTGTCAGAACTGGCCGGACGGATCATTGCCGGACCAGTCATTTTGACTATGAAATCGGCTTTTTCCAAGGGTTTTTGCTGAAAAACCATTTCCTTCCGGCACACTATCTAGGATTTTACCCATCTGGCTGGATAGTTTTGATTGATAGTGAAATTCTCATTACGAAGGAAAAGGTCTGGCCGGTCAGTTCTGACAAATGGAAAAAGCCCTAAATTGTGGCTTTCTTAAGGTCTGGAAACCATCATATCCCCTCCTTTTCTCGCTCTCTTTTGAACCAGACTAGCACTAGGATTCATTTTTTGATTCATGCTTACCTGTAACAAGACAATTTGGTTGAGCTTCTGCTGAACCGTGTGAAGCTGAAATTGGCTCTGGAAAAGCTCGTTCCCTCCCCCATATGCTGAGCCACGACTCCCAGATGTAGCAGGGTTGTCTCCAGACGTCTCTCCGTCATCGTCAGCTAGGGCATCCTCGTCCTCAAACTCGTGGCGTTCATCTGTAGAGAAATCAAATACAAAATTGTTGGAATAAGCTATGGAATGTCCTATTGCGATGATTAAATTATAATTTCCTCAAAACCCTGTAGATAAGTCGTTTAGAATTCTCGGTCAAAGCACTATCGGACGAAACTGAAGATTTTCGACACTTCCTGTCTGACTCTCTATCTATGTGTTTATTCGTCCGGCCGGCCGTCCGTCGTTTTGTCTATCTGTCTGTCTGTCCGTCTCTTCGTCCGTCCGTCTGTCTATCTCCCCTTTTATCTGCCTGTCTACCTGTTGAACAGGTCGAAGTGTTCTTACCAACAAGTGGAGTGTTCCTGGCGGAAGTGGGACCTGAAGCCACCTTTTTACTGGAGTCAGCTTCCGCTTCTTCTATTTTCCTCTGGTTAGTGACGTATTGAACCTCTTCGAGTTTAGCTTTGGTTCGCTCTTTCATCGGGTAGTTCGACACTGATAAAGACAGATGAAATGCGTTTACAGACCGTCCTTTGACAGCCATAGCGGTCCAGCACTCCTTCTTAATCATGTCCCGTAGGTATTGGTTAGCTAGATTGGCCAGTTGTATCTCCTCACGAACCTGTAATTTAAAAGGTAATAAATACGTTACTGACCAAGCGAAAGGTTAAGATAGCTGAATATTGGCCACGTTGTCTTTTGAGGTTTTACGGACAGAGTCGAGGTCAATAAAACCGCAAAAAAGAACGAGACCGATACCCAGCCATCTTGACCAAACAAGCTTGGTCAATAAAGGATTTATTAAACGGCCAAAAAGAGAACTGTTTCTGCGGAACCAACGCGAGAAATCCCGAGCGGGCAAGATGAGCTCGGGTAGCCAATCAGAACACAGGATTCGCATCATCTTGCCCGCTGGCGGATTCACCCGTATAAAAAACCTTGTTCCCAAATGTAAGCAATGTTAAAAAACCACCAATATTTTTCTGTGTTTAAACACAGAACCAGAACTTGTTTTTGCGATTTAAAGTTAGACGCCCAAACCTGTTTAATTTTCTCTTCTCCTTCTAAAACCAGTTTCTGTCGCTGATCCACGTCCAAATTGTACTCATGCCTGTCGAGTCTTTCTAGTTCCGGTGCTTCCTGGTTTTCCCTCATCATCTGCAGAACAGTCTCACGTAATTCGTGTATCTCCAGACGCAACTTCCGTTTAATTTCGGCGAATTTTTTGGCCTCTTCACGTTGACTCTAAGAAAGAAGGAAATTGCGATGTGAACTCAATCGACATAGAAACAAACCGGCCGTCCTCATGTTCATTGAAGCTTTCTTTACTTGTATAAGGCAGTGGCGGATCCAGGGAAGGGCCCCGGGAAGCCCGGGTCCCCCACTTATTTTAAGTCCACTTTGCGCAGAGGAAAAGGTTGGCTGTCTTCTGACTCCCAAAGGGGGCCAAAATTAAACTTCATTACGAAAAACAAAACAGAAAAAGACAGAAAAACAAACAACAAAAATTAAGCACTTAATTCAACAAGTGTCAACTGATGAAAAACACGGCTTTAACGTCTCTTACTTGAAGACGGAACCGCCATTTCTACGTGGTCATCCGAGCCACGCGAAGCTCTTGCCGTTTGTGGGACAAAGGAGAACAACCAGTACGATAAAAAAAAAAACCCTCTCGCTCTTAGAGCATTGAGTGGAAAAACCGTACAATCCAGGAAATTTTACCCACAGAAAAGAGATACTCTTTACAGGAAAGTACTGTTGAGTAGCTTTCACCTCAGCAGTCTAATTTTACTGTTTGATTCACAGACTCAAAGGTTAGAACCGCCGATAGATATAATATTAATAATGCTCAGTTATTAGCTCTTGTGATTTCGGTCGTAGAAAATGTTTGAAAGAACAGGTACAATGAAGCAAACAGTATCACAACAAAATAGTGTTTAAAAGCTGATCCAAGCTGAAGAGTTCGACTTACATCGAAAGACTCAGTGTTCGTCTATGCACCAAAAAAATCTAGTCTAGATTGAGTCTAAAAGCACCACTTTTACGTTAAAACATCTCTTTTTTTACCTCACTGACGGCCTTCTCAAGCCACGTAGCATCTTCTGAGGGGGTGGGAGTGGGGGTCGTGTAGATTCCGTCTTTGACAATCTTCTGTTGTTTCTCACTCGCCTCAGTGTTTGCCTTCTCAACTGGTGAAAGAGGTCTGGGAATGTAATCTCCCCTCTGAGCCGCCAGACTGTCCTCTTCCTTTCTGGTGGTGGCCAATAGTGAGGTACGTGCGCGCGCAGCATCTATGGCGGCAGTAGCTTTTCCTCTTCCTACAAATAAATTTGGTCATGATACATGGCGGTGATGTTAAGATGGTGATGACAGCCAGGGGCTAAATTAACCCAAGTACCCCCCCCCCCCCCCCACCTGGGGACAACGACGACAACGACGACGACGGTGGTGAAATCGTCGCTTAAAACGTGAGTTCACACTGTTTAAAAATTCATCGCTCTTATTCCATGTCGTTCAATTTGTCAAGTGTTTATGAATTTCTCTGGAGATGAATTGTTAAGGACTGTATCTATGTTTAAGAAAAGAATTGCAAAATCACTATCTTGTATTCACGTCCTCCACAAAACGTGAATTTAGGCAGTTTCACGTCGAGGTCGCGCAACGACGCCAAAGAAATGTACAGAGACGCGTGATGCACGTGCAGAGTTGTTGTTTTGCTAATATAGACCTATTGCTTTTTTGACGTTCTCGTTGCCGTCATCTTCGTCGTTGCTTAAGCTCCCTAGCGACGGTGGTGGCGAAGACAATAGGGATAGATAATGGTTGTGGCGCTGGTGATTATGTTGGACATCGGTATTAGTAGAGAGTTTAAGAGTCATGCTTACGCCAAAAGTGAATTTTAACCACGAGACCTAGTTTTCACCTTAATTGACGCTTACTGTTTATTACTTCTACTTAAAAATAAGTAGTTTCACGCCAGTTTTATCCATAAGAATTGTTCTAGACAATGATAATAATGATCGCGGTGGCAATAATAGCGGCAATGATAGTGATGGTACTGCTCGTTATGATAATGATGGTGGTAAGGATGGCAACGATGATAATGATCGCAGTGGCAATAATAGTGACAATGGTAGTGATAGTACTGGTCGTTCGGGTAATGATGGTGGTAAGAGTGGAAACGATCATAATGACCGCGGTGGCAATAATAGTGGCAATGATAGCCGGATGGTACTGGTCGTTATGAGAATGATGGTGGTAAAGGTGATAACAATGACAATGATCGCGGTTGCAATAATAGTGGCAATGATAGTGATGGTACTGGTCGTTATGATAATGCTGGTGGTGAAAGTATTTGTCGTCCGCGGCCATGTCATTGTAATAAATTTTCAAAATAGTAGCGCCAAGTTGATCATTACAATTTTATTTCCCTTTATTACCTGTTGATGAGTAGTTCCAGACCCAGCAAGCCAGAACTCCATCCGCACCTGTGCTCAACACACGCTGTGAATCGCCAGTGAAGCAAATATGAGTGGCTCCACCACGCTTGTAATGATGCGCTGGCACACGCAATGTACGGTCCTACAATGAATGGCATGACACGTTTGAGATCACCAAAAAAGCAACAACAACAGCGAAAAGCAAAACCAAAAATAAAATGTCCGGACGCACGGTCAATGGACCGATTCATTTTTAAACAGATTTTAGTGCAATTTGTCTTGAGAAAGTGGAAGAAACAGTCCCTCTAAAAGCGCATTCAAAGGATAAGAGATCATCAAACGGAAAAATATGTCAATAAAATGTCATAAATTCCTTTTTTAAGTTTGTAGGTTTTGCTTACTGGTTTGGGGGAGTTCACAGATATTCCAAATTCAAGCCAAAATCGTCCGAAAATAAACAGGTCTGTAAAAACGCCGAGACACGAGTACAAGTTGCGCACTCCCGGTTATGGGCACCTCGCAAATTTAGCAGAGACAACAGGACGACATTAGGGAGTTTAAGCGGCGACGTTTTTGAGCGACGCATGTCAACCGGAAGTGAGCCTTTTTCTCTTTTAATAAACCTTGACACTACCAAATTTGTGTTGCTAAGTGTCTTTACCCTTAAAGAGATGATTTGTCCAAGAATTTGGTCAAAATCACGGCCGAAGAGTGTAAAACGTCCACTGCCGGTTGACATCTGTCGCTCAAAAACGTCGTTGCTTAAACTCCCTACAGCGCGCAGATCCAAATACCAACTTGACCAATGGCAGAGCGGCAAATTGAGCACCGGAAGTCGGGTAACGTCAGTTGCGTTGCATTGTCTTTGGCCGGAAATAGGAAAATGAAGCAAATCTTACCAGTGCACCCACTGCTCTGAGGAGGAGTTTGCCATCAGCAGCACAACTAGCCAACCATCTTAAATGTGGGGATAAGGTCACGCGACCACCATGCAACTCATGGCCTGGGTAAGAACCGGATGGCTTCAGCTTGGTGTCCGGTGGAGCCACCTGAGGGTTGAGAGTGTCATCTCAATACAAGAAGGGAAAAACAAGCAAATACACTGGCAGCCTTAGAAACCGACGGCTAATGTTCCGTACTACCGTATTTGTTCAATTAAACGCCGCCCTCGATTAAACGCCGCAGATGTAAGCAAAATTACCAATAAACGCCGCACCTAATCGAAAGACTGCGGCATCTATTTGAGGATAATAAGAAAGAACTCGGTACAACTTGGTAATTTACACCATCCAGACATTTACGATTCCATCTCAGCAAAATAAGAGAGACATTAAGACCTTTATTTTACAAAATATTAACAAACGATTTTCAGTAACTGTTGTCAGTGATTTAAGAAAAGTGATTTCGAAATAAACGTCGCCCTTGAATAAACGCCGCCCTTGAATAAAAGCCGCATCGGAAACGCTGAAAATTTAATAAACGCCGCGGCGTTTAATCGAATAAATACGGTATTCCCCAAAATTGTTAATGCACTCTGAACCCTTAACAGAGTGACTCACTGAAAATTCTTCCGCCAGGATTTTGGTATCTTGCCGCTGAATAGTGGGAAGCCGTTTAATGGCAGACCACTTAATAGAACCTCGACAGTAGTCGTTCTATTAGAGACCTTAGGATACACAGTTTCTGACCACAGGTATGGGTAGGAGAACATGATTACCATGTGTTTATTTGCTGTTTATTTTGAAGGGAATCATAATTTCCTCGCCCAACCCGCTAGCCTAGCTGTGTCTCTAGGATAAGGGGCAGCCTAACCGTATTTACGGCAAAGCGGGGTATTGTCAATTTACCCGCCCCCTTACTCCTGAAACGGTTTATCGTAAGGTATGAACTGTTTCATCTCGTTTAGGAGGTTTAGTCTTTTGAGATACGACCGTATCCACCCCAACCTTGTCAGCTTTAACTTGTGCTCATTTGACATCTCAATTCTCTCCTCCCAACCTCTAACAGCTTTACGTTTGGCCCCATCTATCCCTCCCTTGGTACTACTACTTACCTTGCCCTCCCCTGTAAGTGCCAGTTTGACCATCTCTTTTCTGGCATGTGCCACTGATAGAACGGTCTGTGGACTTGTCAGCACCAGACTGTAACACGGAGCAGCTAGCTGATGAATGGCCTTTTTTACTGCTTCATCTCTGTACAGAAGCGTCTTATTGAGGAACGCTTCCTGTGCACCTGATCAATCAGAAATCATTCACAAGACAGTTCCTTTTTAGGCACGTTGAGTGGGCCATGTAACGAGGACATTGCTGTTTTAGATCAATTCTGTTCTGACGTCATTACTTAGTGCCTTTAACGCATACACAAAATGTTCTTGTAGAGTTATGAAGACATCATGAAGAAAATATCACACAAAATTTATCAGGAAGAACCAACCATAATAATTTTCTTGGTGATTTTTGGAGGCATAGCATAAAAACTTGAAAAAGTTGGCCCAACTTTTTCAAGTTTCAATCCATGTCCATCCTTGCCATCCGTGGCAACAGAAGACAGGAAACAGTTTCAATACCTAAATATAGTCTAAAATAGCAATGCTGGACCATTATATTTGGAATTCATTTGATGCCAAAAAAGTTTTAGCTTTTTAAAAAGAGAGCAAGTAGCATGATGTCGCTCCTTTGAATTTTTCAATTTAAGGTTGTACATGAGAATGGATCGTTGTTGTGTCGACTTCTATTATTGGACTGTTTAGGGAAGGCTAGTGATTGTTTTATTGGCTAACACAAGTATTATGAAAAGTGTCCCCTAAGCAGTCCAATGGAAGAATTCACCCTTACCATGATTTCACAATGGCAAATGCCTACCAAGAATTTTAAGCACGCAAGCTTCGCATTTGGAACTGGAAGTGTCTTATCCTTGTAGAGTCAGAGTCAGAGACAGGGAGTCAAGAGAGAATAATCCTAATATTCTCTCTTGCCAGAGCAAATTCACATTTGCTATAGCAACAACATTGCCTGTTGCTCTTTAGTGTTGGTGCCACATAAAAGCTGTAGGAAGGTGAGTAAGGGAGATTATAACAAATCTACCGTGAGATTCACTTTAGCACTATTGACCGAATAGGATGAAACACAATTAACTATAGAAATCGATTGTTTAAGAATCTATGCACACCGTACCATCTGAAATCTGGCTTCCATACAAGATGTATTTAGCATTCTAGTAATTGCAAAATACAGATAGGAGGGATTTTGAACGAGCTCTCTGTGAATTCTTAGTCTAAAAAATAGGATCAATTGAACAGATGTTCACTTTGCTAAAATATATTTAACTTACCATTTAAAATATCCATAGTGACTTCAAATTCTAAAAGGTTCGTTGCTAAAGGGCTTTTTTCACTTGTACGGTAAGCCACTGCAATTTTCCAAGGGCCTTGGGAATCCTTTTCACGGCTATTTATTGTGGCAACTGAGCATACTGTGCCTGGTAAATCTTTGTGAAGAAAGAACCAAACAAACAACAACAATTTCAATTTGCAACAACACATAATTTTCAATCAGTGTCCTGTAAACAAGTCCCAGTATCAAGGAAAGAAGTACATTCCCCTCTGGAAGCTAATTTGGTCGTTTTCCCATCGAGCGTCAAAAGTACCATTTTCATAACCAGTAGTCATTTGAATTTCCATCCCAAACGGATAAGTAAGTGAAATATCATCGACCGGGTGAATGCGGTTTGACAGTTGGACAGTGACTGACGTTTCGACAAACTTTTCGGTAGTCATCTTCAGAGTCAGAGTGTACAGGTTGTCGAAATCTCAGTTACTGTCAACAACAGTCCTATTCGGGACTACATTCACCCGGACGATCATATTCCACCTACGTATGAAATGTCTCCCGGGTTCAATACATTTATTATGCTCCTAAAGTGAAAAAGGCACGAGAAGTAGGGGCTTGAGATGGCATTCGACCCAAAAGGAACCGAATTCTACCCATGGCTTAGCTTCACCTTGATCGTGTTCTCCCCTTATTGCGCAGTCTTTAAGTTTTGTGACTGGCTAAAAATCTCGCGCCACTCTCTTCAGCCAATAAGCACAATAAAAACCAAAATCGATTTCGACATGTGCGCACATATTACCTCTCTTTTCTTGTATTTTTTTTTTACGGTTTCTGATTGGCTGATTGGATTGTTTGTGCCTGTATGTTGTGATTGGCCATAGTAATTACATCTGTACTTTTGTGTTCGTTTGAGCTCAAAGGCTCAGGCGATAATAATGAATCTTGCTCGAGGTCTCCGTTGTATTTTGACTCGAATTACACACCAGTCAAACCTATATATTTGGAGTTGTCAACGGTGTTAGCTTTGTTTCGGAAACTCAGCTATCAGAGAAGGGTAGTAGAGGGTAGTAGAGGAAGCTAACAATAAACAATAGACCAGTTCTGACCTAAATGTCCGAGAACTTTAAAGTTGTTACTGACTCTCGCATCACACACAAACACGTGACCATCATTTGATCCAGTGACAAACATCTGTCCACCCCAGTCGTAACTGAAAAAGTGATACACGCAAAGGTCAACAGTAGAAAAAGCGATAGGACAAAGTGGCATACATGTTGCAGGCAAACTCAGAACACTTGTACTGTCGACAGGCTTTTTGCTGAGGACAAGACTCCGGGGTTACTTTGGAGACTCAATTTATAGCCCTTGCAACGGTTTTTACAATAACCCCAGAAGACGAGAACATGTGATAGTAGTATAGGGTGGCATGATTTGTACCTTTTTTGAGGGGATGAGTCTCATAAATTAGGGATGAGCGTTGTGTGACGAGACAAAAACGGCTGCGAGGGATACTAGAGTCTCATTTACTGGAGAAGGAACACACCTACATTAATGCGATTCCTGCTCAAAAGGAGGGTGTGAACATGCGTTCTATACTACTCTCCACATTTTGCATTAACTAGTACATCCAACACTCTAATGAATAACTCCTAGTCGCTTGGTGCAACGCCTAAAACCTGGATTAGAAAAAAAAACTACTTCATACCGGCATCACCGAAAAATAATATCGTGATTTTATCGCCCAATTTATTGTCAGAAAAGATCTGGCGACGGGGGTGCAACCCAAAATCGCGCGTCTACGAAATGGTGATTTCAGCGAGAAATATCGCAGTCAAGTTGCCAAAATTCTTCTGCCGTCTGCATTTATTAACCAATTATAACTACATGCATTTCTTAGATGCCTTTTTTTGGTCATGGGTTGCAAATCAAATCATCTCGAACTGATGCCAATGAAGCATTTTCAGGTAATGATATCACATAGAGTGAACATATACAGCGCACCTTAGTTGTAACACTGGTCCATTATGAAAGTGACTTCTGTAAATAAGTCGTGGCTTCTCCACATTAGTGATCTCAACAAAGTAGATATGGCCAGTAAGAGTTCCAATAGCCACTGTACTAGAGGATGGACTGCACTGCATACATGAGGCCTGTACAGGGAAGATGATAGAACGATTTTCGTATGACCTTAAAATAAAAACGCGCGAACAAAACAGAAACAACAAACGAACGGAAATAGAGCGTTTTGATTGATTTAGCGAACGCTCAGGTGAAAAAACTTCATGCCGGAGAACTTTCTAGAAATCAACTGATACTTCGCTGCGACGTCATACTGTAACACGATTGGCCAATCGAACAAGGCCTACTCCATATTAGGGTTTTGTTTGGCGGGAAAACGAAGCGTCCATGAATGTTTTGTTCTCTTCATCCATTGGCTGATAAAACAAATAAAACGAACACTTACCGAAACCATTTTTCAAGGTAATACAAAAATCGCTCTAACTCCACCTAAGGCTACGCTCAAAGAGTACCGGACGAAGTTTCGTCCAGTTGAAAATTGGGGAAATTGAGGCAAAATTTTACGCCGATACGGTCAAAAATTTGACAGGCGCGGTGTGAACACCTTGACCATCAACATTCTTGTACGGCAAACGCGTGGTTGAATGGATGCGCGGGAACTCAGCTGGGAGACGCCTTTTTGGATTTGCACGTTGGCAGATGAAAAAACAACTGAAAAAAGTTGAAATTCAACCTGGTTTGTCAGTTCCCTGTGAACAGGGCAAAAATATTGAGCTGTAGAACTGTATGAACAAAATGTCCAGTCAATTTTTCTTAGCCGGTCGAAAATTCGTTCGGTACAATTTGACCGCAGTCTTAGTGAACCTGTTAGGAAAAAAGGTTGTGAATGAATGACGTTGAGAATCAAACTAGATTTATCCACTTAACTTGCATTCAACTACAGCATATACAGACAGAAAATTGGTCTCAGAGTTTCCACAATAGAAGTCTATTTAATTACCTGACAGTCCAAATTGATTTTGCTTACTAAGCTGCTAGTTTGTATGTCCCACACCTGCAAGAGGCCATCGGATTTGCAACTCTGGAAAACAGTAGATTAAAATTGTTTTAAAACAAATGATTCTCAACTGATGTGACACTTCTTGGTAATTAAATATAGCGCCTTCATTGTTTAGGGAAGGGCTCGCCCCATGTAATGTAATCTGAATTCCGATTACGGGAAATTTTTGCTCACGGAATCCAGAATCCAAGACAGTTTTTCTTACCGAATCAGGAATACTGAGCTTTGGAATCCAGAATTCAGCCCTAGAAATGCTGAATCCCCCCAACGGATGGAATCGAGAATCTAAGTTCCACTCAGAAGGAACATATATGGCAACTCTCCCGGATACGGCATTGACCTCCCGCTCTCCCATACAGGTCACCAAATCTCCCGCATAAAATAGACTTTTGAGCTTTTCTGTCCTTCAGTTTGAAATTTTGCACATTTTTCCCTCAAAATTTGAACTTTTTTACTCATTGTACGGTTTCTGGTACTTTTTGTGCACGTATCTTGATAGCAAAACATGTACTACATGTAAGAGCTCATATAATATCCTAAGCCATGGTGGCTAGGGCCAATTTGTGGGTGAGGGGTGGGATTGACATTTGGCGAGGTGGGTGTAGTGCAAAATAGCGAGTCTCCGGATTCTAGATCCCCGGAGGTTGGCATCTCTGAGGGAATGTGTACCCTAGAATCTGGAATCCACAGCTTGGAATCTAGAATCCAGGACTGTCTTGAATTATCTCACATGGGATGACAGAGCCATTCTCTTACCACGCAGTATTGGGTTCCAGCTGTCAAACAGTCAATGCCAACAAAGTCTGCATTGTGAATATCTAACAACTCTGCAATAGATCCTTCAGAATCATACAGATAAACACATCCCTGAGAAAAATAATAGAAGGAACAGTCAACGGCGAAATCAATCTCCTTCAAAATCGCTCAAAAAACCGCTTTTGAGGTAAAATGACGACTATATACCACAGGTAAGGTAATTCAACATTTATTTATCATTTATTTATATACATAGTTAGCGATATATCGCTATAGGTTAAGCAAACGGTAAATCCAGGACATTTACTATAAAATAACAATCGGCTACACAAACAGATTGTGTGGGCTCCCTGTGATATAACGAAGGGCAAAGGGACTGGAAAAAAAAAGTTCACAATAACGAGGTTCTTTTTATTATGTTTTACTATTACTGGGGTAAAGAAAATCGTTCGTTATATCAAGGGCATCCTTATATCGAGGTTCGTTATATCGAAGTTCCACTGTAAATAATTACTGGAGAGTTTGATCTTCACGTGTACAGCAAACGTCAGATTCATGTTGAGAATTTCTCAAAATAGAAAATGGGTGGATAATAACAGCTTAGAAAATTCTTATGCATAAAAAATTGCCTGAAACTACTAATATATGAGTAGACATAATGAAAAGTAGGTGACAAGCAAAGGGGAAACTTGGTCCCGTGGAAAATATTCACGATTGCCGTTTGAGGTAAACGTGATGCTTAACCTCTCTACTGTCAAAGCAATAAAACTGTGAACACACCTGGAACAGGTAATGTAACTTGACACAGGGCTGGAACACCAGACTGTTAAGTCCAATGGTATAAAAGGTTACTACATCACAACTATAAATGGACCAGTTATTTACATTACCTTGGGGCTGCCAAGAGCCATGGTTCGGTAGTTGGGTGACCACATGAGACTTGACACAGCACAGCCAATGTCAATCTGCTCCACAATTTTAAGCTCGGAGGAAGAAACATCCAAACACCTCAACAAACCATTCTAAAAGTCATAATATAATGAAGAATTCATCAGTAAAGAGAGGAAGTGAGCTTTGCTAAATTAACTACAGGACTGGTAGGTTTTATACATGACAGAAGAGTTATTGTGCACGAAACAACCCTAGCTCAGAAAGCCTGACTCCCATGCATGAGTCTACCTAATATAACAGGCCAGGGATTTGAGCATTGGAGATGCCTACTTCTCACAAGGAGAACTTGGACATTATATGCTACTTATTAACCGAGAGTGCAGTCAAAATACAGGGAAATCGCAGACCGAGGCCTTGATGCTGTATTGACCGATTGATAGTGAGGTCAATACATCAAGGCCGAGGTCTGAGATTTCCCTGAAATGAGCGAACGGATGAGGTTAATAGGTTATCTATTATATGGCCTGTTTAGCGCTATTCTTAAAATGAATACAATAGAAAACACTGAAAGTAATTTTCAACATCTGCAGAATCTGCGTTTAAGAGGTCATTCAGGGTCACTTTTATTGAACCAAAATGAACCTGGCGATACGATCAAAACCACAAGACACAGTTTCTTTGACAATGAGAAATTTTGGACCTGAACCTGCGATCAATTAAAACCAAGAGTGCGCGTACTATTGTAGCCTTATAATGATCTTATAAGGATCCTTATGATGATATGATCTTATGATCATTTTTATTAGCCAGAGTAGCTGGTCATTATGGCACACTTCTAAGAAAAAAACTTGCTGTCAAACGCAAAACCTTTGCAGGTCGCTTACAAAAACCTAAAGGAACAACAACAAAAATATCTGATTGAAACTCAACATTGGGGTTTATAACCACAGAACAGCAAAGATTTTGTTTCACTTTAGAATTCTTTTGGTATAATGATGTGATTTTGATGGCACAAAACATACTTCACATAATCCACTTCTTTGGAAAATACCTAATAATAATTATTTGATATGTCCAAAAAAAGGAATGGGGTCCACTGTAGACAGTCACCGATCAGGTTTCAACCCAAAAGACTGTTTAAAATGGCCCTGAGATGAACAGGGTAACAGCTTACCTGGCCAGCAACATAAAGGCCTTTCTTATGTAGGGCTAGACAGTCTACTGAGCCTGGGCCTACATCTGCCACGTCAGCTGTCTTGGGCTTCTCTTCATTATCAGCAGCTTCATCTACGTGTAACATGTTCAATTAAAAAATAATATTAAAAGAGTGTTCATTTATCTCATAGTGTAGATGTATCTTCTGCAAATCAAACTCCAAGTTTTCTCTGTTCACATTTTAGTACAAGCTTGAACTGCACATTGTATCTTCACTGGTATGTACCAAAAAATACATCATTAGAGAACTGGATCTACTGTAGTTGCTTTCTTAACACAGACCACTAAGTAGTAAGTGTTAAGAAAGCAAGGAAATCTTGTTCTCTATAAGTCTTAAAAGTCTTCTCTTTATAAGTCTCATCACTTAAACTTATTGCTTGTTGACCAATGCTTATTTACACAGGAATATCAATAGCTCATTAATGGCTTTCAGAGACAGTTATGCATTCAGTTCTTTTGTTACAAGATTATGCATACATATATATTGAATATCTATTCTAAGGAAAGGACCATTCGGAGAGAATGAGAAATACCTTTTACTTCATCCATTTCTGCTATGGATTCCATAGTTCCCTTCCTTAGCAATGATAAAGTTTCTGTTCTGTCTCGCCCTGATTCTTGGAATCTTGGATTGAGAACCATGGTAACATGATTGGTCTCGGCATCAATACTGATAACTTGGCCTCCTTTACAGCCACAGTACAACTTACTATCTGGGGTCCAGCTGTGACTTACTGGCTGACATCTCTCCTTCTTCTCACCTAAAAAATATAAAAAAATTTCATTGTATTTACTTGAATAAGCATCACCCTTGATTAAGTGCCTCCCTCAAATAAGCGCAACATTTGGGAGAAAAATGTTAATAAGCACCGCCCCAATTTAAGCACTGCAGCCCTGCATATCAAAATCAAAGGACGTTGATTCTGTTAGTTTAATATAGAAAATAATATCATAGCTAATATGTCATCCCCAACTTCCAAATAAGCGCCGTCCTTATTTAACAAGTGCCACAGCGGTTATTCTAGTAAACACAGTAAGGCAGTTAAGCATGCACAAAATCAGCCCAATGGTTGAGGTGTTGCTAATAAGATCTGGCATCTATGAGTATCCATCTGCACACAGGAAAACCAATATGTTATTAATGGCAAACTTACCCAGACAAGTTATGACATATTTAAATACATGTAAGAAAATGATGCTATCACTCTCTTATGAAGTGGTATACACCATCCACACCATGGCTGATTGACAAGTATCAGAATGGGGCACTCACTGACAAAATGACCAATAATACAGGCTCACAGCTACATATGTATGTGGTGTTGCATAATTTTTTTACAGCACGCAAGCAAAAAGAAAATAAATACTTCATGAACAACAACACTGGCTATTATTGTTATTACCTAAATGTTACAAAAGTCTTCTCTAACCTGGTTCATATCCTTTGGCTGTGTCGCCAACTAACCCAGCAATAGCTGCTTTTGTTATCCTATATCCTTCTGGATGACTCATTCGACTTACAGAATGATCTAAGTCCTCAAACTCATCATCGTCTGGGCTGCCATCAATTGGGGGTAGCCTTATAGAACTGAAACAGGGTTGAAAAAATTAGCAAAACTTAGCTGCATCTTTGTTGTTTCTTGATAGCAGTAGCTCATTAGCTACTCTTCCATAATCTTGCTCCATTGATCTTGCTTTCATCTACTGTGTATCACCTTTAACATTTTTGATCAATTTAAAAATATTTTAGGTTTCTGGGAAACTGCCCACCCACTCCCCCCCCCCCCAAGCCAACATTATCACTTACTTCTCACTTAGGGCAAAATAGTGGCTTAGGGGAGGGGTAGGTAACCAGTTTCCCAGACACCTAAATTGATCCAACATTTTTATACTTTTGATAGTGAACTCTGAGGAGATTTACAAATTCAACAGTCTAGTCACATGACAAGTTAGCGTGAGAAAACAGCCAATTTTTCGTGATACCATCACTGGTTTCTCTGCTAAATGACTTCTGAGGAACAACTGCAGAAATTCCATACTGATGAAGTGTCACTACCCAGATTAGGGTAGTGCTTCTAATTGGTTGAAACACATTTCCCTTGCCTTATCGGTATGGAATTTGTGTGCTTTTACCATAAAATGTTGGCTGTTTTCTCAGGCTAATGTCAACTTAGCTCCAAAGTGAAAAGGGATATTAAGTAAGCTTGACAGAAACAGCTTTGATAAGGAAAGAACCTTAAATTTAGAAGTTACTCACCTTGACATTAAGGCATATTTTCTGTTAAGCTGACCCACATTCCAAAGAGTGAGTACATCATTTGACAAGGTGCAAAGCTGACGCCAGTTGGTTGGATTGAATGACAGTCCAGAACACAGCTGTCTTCCAACATCAACAGAACATAACTTCACCTTATCAAACCAGTTCCTGAAAGTTTTGATAAAAATTTAACATGCATATTTCACCTTTTAAAAAACAAAGGAAATCCTTAGGAGAGGGTTTGGAAATTGAACTTTTATTACCATAAAATTCTGCAAACTTTGACATTGAATTTCTGCAAAAATTACTGTTCACTGAGAGGTCCTAAGTCCAGTGCACTGGTAATGATCAACAACACTTGGTCCAATATTATAATTAGATTTGAAACCAAGGGTCTTAAAACTCGTTTCTGGCAATTATCATTCTTGGAATACAAAATTCATTGATCACCCCTTAGTATTAAAACATACCAGATAGTAAGCTGAAAGTCAGGAATGCCTGAATGTGTAGCTAGGATCGTACTGTTGTTTGCAAAAGCAATGCAGGTATAACTCAGTCTTGCTCCACCTAGCAAGGATATGATAAAGTATATTATAATTAAGTATTTCAGTCTTAAAAAAATGTACCCTGTCCAGTAAGTGTATTTGAAAATATTATTTTAAAGACCTGATGCATTAATTTTATTAAATTTCACTGTCCAGAGAAAAATTGAAGTCAGAGCACGATAAAAAAGGCCAAAATACTTTGTGGATAAAATTTCTCCTCAGGTTAAACCAGTCTTCCACCAAGTTCAGTAGTTGAATGGCTTGCAAAATGCTAACCCTACATGTAATACCCAGTAAGTTGAATTCTGCCACTTATAAGCCCTGGGATTTATACACCATTGTATTAAGGGGTTTTAGGAAGGCTATATGTAAACAGAGCGGCTTATTTCTGAGGGGGATTATAATTGGATGTATTTTTCATTTATACCATTCAATTACATCTGTATTTCCTTAAATTTATCTGTTTATTATTGTATTTCAGTCCGTAACAACATTTATAGAAATGGTAATACTGAATAAACTTGTTGTTGTTTACAGGCACACAAGTAGATGGGCCTATAACTGGGGGGGAAGGGCTTATAAGCGTCAGTTTACGGTAACAGATTTCTCTGTTAAAAAGCAGATACAAGTAACAGTCTTGCAACATTTGTGTAACATATGTTTCACTGAATTGAAAGCAAGAACTCACCTTCTAGGGTTGCTCTTGGTCTTGAGAAGTCAGGATAAACATAAACAAACAACTTGGGGTCACTTTTCAGCTCAGTAAAAGCAAGGCTACTATACAATGGATTAACAGCAAGAGTACCAATTCCATCACCAGGACTTGGAAGAACTGTCTCATTCTTATCTTTCGTATTTACAAACTTAACATTGTTTCCGCAGACAAAGCAGATGGTGTCCCTGTTAACAAATAAGGCTGGTGAACCATCATATCCTTGTGCCCACCTGGTGAGGAACAAGAAGAAATTAGAAAATGAGATGTATGGTCAAACCTCTATTAAGCAGCCACCCTTATGCAAGGGACAAGTTCCTGGATAACTTGGTGGGTGGGGGGGGGGGTACTCGACCAATATTTGGGTATAGCTGAGCCGCTGAGAGTTTGAAACCCTGACCCTGTCTGGGACAAAAAAATCCTACAATAAATACCCTGTTTAAGACAACACATTACCCAGTATAGGACAAGGAGTAAATGCACGCTGTCTTGTTTTAAAGTCATTGCGTTTGTATACTGGAGTACAGAAAACTTTCATCTAGCAAATCAAATTGATTGTGCAGGCAATACCCAATTTATAATTAGGACAGACTCGTACAAAATTACATACCCTGTTTTGGACAGGCTCGTGCATGTCAAATATGTTTTCAATGGGTAAGGCACAGTTAAAATGTTTAACTTTTCATGTACCAAGCGAAATTCCTTCAGTTAAGTACATGAAAAGATAGACATTTGAATCAATACCACTGTATGTCCGACTATCTTATTTGGGTCGAACCAAGAATTAAGTTCGCGTAGCCAGTCTTCAGGGAACGTCATCCGATTTTGCAGTAAAACCGTAGTTAAATACTTTCATAAGTCCTCAATCTTAACATCAGCTTCATAATACAAAAGAACAAGAGCTCTTGCAGGTTAAAAACAGCCAATCCAGATCGATTTCACAGCTTGTAAACACTATCCACTAGAATTATCTTGTGGACGTTTTTAATCAGCTGGGACATAATGCATTTCAGATGTGATCTTCTATATTTTTCATTTTTAAAGGCGTGTAACTCGTTTTTTTTTTTTGCTGCATTATAATTTAATTATTTTAATGATGAAATGTCAATCTAACACAGACAATTTTAAAGTAAAAAATAACAATTTTGGATCGATATAAGGCCCGTCAAGTTTAAGGTGACTCAGCTGCGCGCGAAGTATGTTGCAAGACCTTTACGAGCAATTGTAGATGTCAGATTTTCCCATTATGAGCAAACAGCTTACCACAGTGTCCCAGGAAATTAATAAATGATTCTTACCCGAGTTCAAGAGTACCAAACTGATCCATTTTTAGGTCAAAACCTGCAAAAAATTCACGGACCTTCCACACCACATTTCACCGCCATTTCTATTTTCCGATTTTGTTGCTATGGACGCAACTCCGCTGACCAATACTGTTATTCTCCTCAGTCTTTCCTCCACCTTGAAAGGCCGTGGGACTACGTCCACATAGTCGCCCAGAAGGCGAAATCCCGATCGAAGAGGCATCCATCCAAGTAACTCGCGCGAACCTTATTGGTACTTAATTTCGCGATTTAAGGAGACAGTATTTCGCGGGGTTATATTTTCGCGATTTCAGCACGTAAATATGAAAAAAGGGCATTAAATTTCGCGATTCAAGCGTTTTCAACTTCATTTTATTTTTAAAAAAAGTCTGAACCTTAAATAAAAAATTGATAAACTGGAACAATCAATGTGTGAGAAAAAAACCCTCTGGCACCCAGGGTAATTTCACAACGGAAGATACAAAATGAAGCTTACCAGTAAAACCTCGAAAAACCAGTTAGCAATTTGTCTTTGTGCCATTACATATACCTGTTACATGTAATTATTGCCATTTGAATTTTCTATTTAAGGGTATTAAATTTCTCGAGGATTTATTTTCGCGGGTCTTTAATTTTGCGATTTTTTTTACAATCGCGTACAATCGCCAAAACGCGAATTTAAAGGCCCGCGAATAGTTAAGTACCAACAAGGTATATATAGAAAAGTACGAATAACCACAAAGGACTGCAAAGCACAGCAGACGAATATGCCCAAGAACGTAGGATCTATAAACACCTGATCAGCAAAAATAACGAGCAGACATATTAAATTCTGCAAACAGAATACTGCAACGTTGATCGTACTAAGTGAAAATTAACTTTGCAAGACATCAACACTACACCGAAAGAACTCAAAAGGGATCGTAGCCATAGACGGTTGTTTTGAGTTCCTTCGGCTTTCCGCAAAATTTACCCAAATGAGCATGAAGCAACGTTAGCAGGTTAGCGAAGCTCACCGAGTGGTCATTGTCGGGACATCTATGGCTGAAGACCTAGCCAAGTATGGATAGGGCCCAGTCTCCAGCCTTGGGTGTCTCGATGCGCCAGCGGTACTCCCACGCGTCGACAGCCTCCTATCGAGTGACCAGCTCCAGCCCCCATCTGAAAGTGGCACAGACTCTCGTCATCATCGAAGATTCTGGTTTCGCGTAGAGTGTTCAATCAGGAAGGAAAGCAAATATTTTCATCCATAAAGGTGTTACTAGGGTCTTGCGTGAAGGAATATCCCGAAATAAGCGACACTTAAAGGATTATAACATAATTTCAAAAGGAAAGAAGATAATGATATTCGGAACAGCCAGACCAACTGTCAACTTGAGTTACACTTCAGTCTTATTTACTTTACAAGTTGGGTGAAATAGGACTGAATAGGCAGAAATAAATGGCTTTTTGCGGAAGTGGACAGTGGACAGAGGAGCAGAGCTTTCGAGCTGACCACCGCTTACAGGGAATATAAAATATGGACTAAGTCCCACGGCTAGCTAGAGAAGGTTAGTTACCTAAGCACGTTGCATGTTATTGTGAGATAAGGTAAAGAAACATCACTCGATACTTTTCGTTTGAATTTTTTATTTATTTTATTGAGTTTTTAAAGCCAGAGTTTCTGTACAGTTTACACATACGAGCAGGGAGATACAACGTGTTTGAATAAGAAAACTTAGTTATGACTTAGAGTGATTTTGCACTGTCAGTAATTGAGATTTGGTACCAATTAAATTAAACTGAAAAAAGAGAACCTTCCTGTAGACAACTAAACATATGCCGCTAACATGGCGCGTTTGACTGACCGAACGTTTTTCTTGTTATTTTAGTTTTTTCCCCTTTCCTTTTCTCTCTTTTCACTTCTCTAAAGACAACTCATACAGGATTCCAATGACTGAAAGATCCTCACAAGAAAATTGCAATAAGGTTCCTATGTGTTTTCAGTCCGCAAAAACAGTCAATCGAAAAACACATCCTTACTGAGAAAGCAAAGCGATCCTAAGAATGAGAATTTGAATAATTATACAGAAGCAATTTTCCCTAGTGCCCAAGATAAACGGACTAACTACATTACAAGAAAATAACGTTTCTTCTCCCAACCAACTACCCATTTAGTTATCCCATTGAAGTTTTGTGTTCACTTTCTTTTTTTTCCAATTAATCTAGAAACACCCTTGGAGCATTTTTAAATCAGTTTTGAAATAGTTACTCCCAAAGTTTAAATTCCAAGCCACAATTCGACGTTGTTCGCACTTAAACTCAGTAAGATGCTACGGCAGTTTTACGTGAAGCATATTAACGTAGGCAAGGCAATGATCCCTAACAACCTGTACAAAAACAGAGTATTTTTCACTTGGGCACAGGTTTAGGTTTTTATTTTAGCGGGTGCAAATACCGAAACTGAATTCATTCACGTACAAGCTTGCAGTAATATCCGGTCAATTCGCCACCTACGAAATCGCCACCAACAATTACATATCTTAATACTCATCGAAAGCACAGATCGACAGATTTGTACTGAGCTTGACGAACAAGTAAAAATCCTAGCTACTGTGTCAATTATTGCAGAATTATTATGTGTTGGCGAGTTGACATCTTGATGGCGATTTCGTTGTTGGTGAGATGGTTTGGTGGCGAGATGACCTTAAACCCTTGCAGTTCACTCTGGAATCAACTATTGTTTCAAACAAGGTAAATTGTAACAACGTGTGAGATGAAAATCCCTGATAAACGTTTCGTAGTGTCTTACCGAAAATTTGAAGAGAGGATAAGAGTAAGACCCGTTTCAAGCGTCGTGCTACTGCCGCGCCGAACTAAATTGATCGAATTAAATTCGACTTAGGCACAACAGTAGCTCCACTTGTTTTCGAACATCGCGCTACTGCCGTGCCGAACTCAATTCATAAATTATACACACGTTAGAATACATTTAAAAAGTTTGCTAAACCGTTTTACTTTTGTGTTTTGTTTTCGGCAACAGCCGTTCTATTCGACTGAATTAAATTTGATGTCTGAAACCAAGTCGTGCTAGCGTCGTGCTGCAGTCGGAGCTACAGTCGGCCCAGCTTAGCACGACGTTTGAAACAAGCCTGATTTAGAATGTGAAGAATAACGGGACCAGACCATCTATAACCTGCTCACATACGTTTCCTATTTACTTCATCAGTTTACTGCCCTTCAACCAGTTTGGGCAGACTTTCTCAAAATTCTATACTGATTCGAATCAAATAAGAAACGTCTGCACGCTGGTTTGACCAGACAGAGGACAATAATTTGATAAGGGGGCAATCCAATTTGCAGATCTGAATATTGGAAAAAACAGTAAGTGTCTACATTCCCAGTACTTAATTATCCCACACACCAATCAAACTAATTCAGAGGTCAGGTGCCGGCTTGTGACTATTATTTTAACCACGAAAGATCTCCCTGTTCTAAGAAGGCCTTGTTCATTTGCAGGTCTGGCTCATCAATTGCTCCTTGGGTGAACGGCTGCGTGAGTTATACCTTTACTAGTCCTCCATCACCCTCACTCACAAAGCGCTTGCGACCCCTGTCAATGCAAAACAGAAGAGGTTTCTTAAGGATTTCGAGGGGGCTTTGTCACGCTGATTGCTTTCTTTTCAGAAAACAAAGACGTGTCTTCGCATCAATTGAATTCCAAATGTAATGGTCCAGTTTTGTTATTCAAGACTAGATTTAGGCATCAACATAGTTTCCTGTCATGTGCTGCTACAGATAGCATCGAGGGACACAACATGGATTGAAACTTTAAAGACTTGGGCCAATTTTTACACGCTAAGACTGCCTAAAGCACCAAAAATTATTATCGTTAGTGCGCCCTGATAAAATTTGTTGGATAACTTACTGATAAGAGACAAATAACTTTATGACCAGGGAACGGTGAACAATATTTTGATATCGATTGTGTTTCATACCTGGATGGAACCTTCAAAGTCAGGGAAATTGGAATTATTCCATCACGAGCACACATGTCTGTAAATTTCTCCAGGGAAGTATGGGCATGTGGAACATCCAACTGGATATCAGCAAATGACTCAAACACCCGTTCAAAACCCTGAGAAAGTAGTTTAAGAAAACAAGAAGTTAAGCCTGGTTTGCTTTGCTAGTGCCACCATAACTCAACTGAATTCAGTAATATAAGGTATCTTGTCATGAGTCCAAAAGCTTACACTTTTCATTTGGACTGGGGTGACAAAGTTGGTCTTTGCGAAGAACTGAAACAAGTCTTTCATCAAGGACATCACTCGTTCATGGCCATCTTCCAGCATCATTACAATGGCCTGTCAATAGAACATACAGTAACATTGGCTTTAAAAGGAAATAATATCTGAAGATAATAATATTCTATAAAGGAACAGCACCAACTTAGATTTTAAAGGTATGCACTCAGGCGCGGATCTACACCAGTTTCCACCGTTTTACGGAAATCGGTCAGATTCTTCGTATAATAAATATATTTTTGATTTTAAAAAAAACTTTTTAAGATGAAATCTGGAAAATGGTGTGGACAGTCAGTGAATATCTTGTCTGAATTACTCAGAAACCCAGGAGAAGGGACTTTAGGGAGTCAAAATTCCAAAAAATTTCCCAAGGGAAATAGGTCAGTGTTTATCCTAGATCCGCTCCTGGCACTACATTTATCTATCATGGTTTGAGGTACAGACCATGCCTTTAATTTTTGCCTTCATTAATTCTGACTAGAACCAAAACATTGGATTGTTTATTTATATAATGTTTCTTTTAACCATGAAGTAATAAGAACTTTATAAATTTTTCTTCTTGATCTCTCTTTGAGGAGCATATACACAAATAGATGGTGAAGGCATGCCTATAAGCAAAGTCTCCCAACCGATAGTGAAACAAATTTGAAATTACTACAAGTATAATAATCTTGAAAATTGTTGCTTCCTCTCCATGGCTGCTATTGTAGAACTAGCCTGCGTAACTGGCAGGATAAGCCGGTGTTTTTTGGTGGTGGAGTTGCGAGAAGATTGGGATATATGTATTTAAGTGATGACAGTACTTCTGATTATCCATTAGTAGGGTGGTTAAAGCAACAAAAAAAAATATTACCTCATATATCAACTCATGGTGGAAATGTGGTACTTCCAGCTCACGGAGGCAGCGACTTGCCTTAAAAAAAATGATGGATTTATCATTCATCACGAGCTTTAATTTTCATTACATTACTCTTCTTAAAAATTACCAAGTCAGAGCTTGCAAGTCTTATTGTCTTATCTTCTTAGTGCCTTCTTTGCAATAAATAATTTATCAATATCAAACTGGAAAAGTTAGTCATGTTTTCAGTTTTTAAAATACATTCAGAATGTTGACTCACTTCTTCAACATCTTCTGAATTCAGATACTCCTTAAGTAGCAACAACATCTACAGGAGAAAAATACAGTTAATAATAAAAAATATTAATCTGATAATGATCTGGAATTTTGGGACCACTCATAAAGTGACTTGTTATACTGTATTATAGCAAAGCAAAGACATTGGGAAAATATGAACAGCATGGTCAAAATGTGGAAAACAGCGTCACAGCTTTTTCCACGTTGCCCAGTCAGACGCTTTTGGTGATATTGTTAGATGTCATCAAAAATAATTTCTGGCTTCCACTCCCATTTTGACAGGGATGCAGCATGGTATTTTAATCCCAAAACTGCAGCTGTGTTGGAAGCAGAAACACTCAAGCAATAGGAATTCATCCTCACCTTTTTAACAAGTTGCTTCACTGGGCGGCGTCCTCCAACAATACCCCACACACTGTCTAAGCGTACCATTCCATGCTTTAATCTCAACAGCAGATCTGCTTCAGTTAGTGCTTTCCTGTTAAAGTGTAAAATTATGTGGTTAACTCAAAGGTCACTCCTAGTAATGCCCGTTCTAATAACCTCCCTTTAGCAAAGACCCAAAATGCAATGATTTAGCGGTCACTTATGGGGGGTGGTCACTCACAAGAATCAACAAACAGGTGTCTCTAACAAGAAGAGGTTCCGCCACATCTAATTTTTGGAAGATGATTTATTGCATGGGATTTCTTAGTCACGTATATGTTACAGGTCAAATTTGAATTCAGCTTAAATATTTTCATCCTAGGTTGAATCCCAATTTTTTGTGTCTCTTAGGGAAAGGAGACAAAGAAAATTGATAGTCAACCTAGGTTAAATCAAAATTATTAAACTTGAAGTCAAATTTGACCTGTAACATATATAGTGAGCGGCATAGTGTATATACAGTGAACAGAGACCACATCATGCATCAGGTTGTTACAAGAGGACACAAACAATGAAAAATAATAAACCATCAGGCCAAAAAGTGGTTGCTGTCACTTATGGGAGGTGGTCATATTTTACGAGAGGTTCTGATTGTAGGCATTTGACTGGGAAAAGTTTGGTGTTACTGATAGGTGGTCGGTTATGGGAGGTGGTCACTTTCCAGAGGTGGATGCCCACGAAGGCATCAACTGTCTTGTGGCATTCAATTTTGTTATTCACCTCAAGTCAGCTATAGAATTCGGATTATCTGACTACAATTTTGATGATCTGTTCATGTCCCTTCAGGGCTCGATATTAAAAAAATCCTCAGGTCGCCTTTTGGTGACCCACTGAAGAAAAATAGTCGCCAAATGCAAATTTTTAGTTGCCAGTTTTTATAATGTAAATTACTCAGCTCATAGTTAGGCACAATCTATCAGATTTGATTGTTTGAAAATATCCGGACAGGAGTCAGTATACAATTGGAGGTAAACTGGCTTTGTTTATGCAACTTGGCATATTTTTTATGACAACAACAAAGCAAGAAAAGATGGAATGTTTGTTTTAACCTTAGTCTTTTAATTTAATCTAAATCATAGAGAAATCTGGACGCAAAAATGGTGACTAAACCAGAAGTTTTAGTTGCCAAGGAGAAAATGTTAGTCGCAGTGGCAACTGTATCAGTCGCAATTTCGAGCCTTGCACTTTACGCTTACCAGGTTCACAATGATATTAACTGTTAAATCAAAACGTCTCAAGATCAGAGGTGCTTGTCATTCCACACACTTACAAAAGCAGTTGCATGAGTTGCTTACCGTTGATTAGACTCTTCAGGAGTGTCACCCAAATTGGTGATAAAAGCTGGTGGTAGACAATCATCAGCAACAGCACGAGCAATAAACTTTCCAAGCACCTTCACATGCAAATCAAAGCCAAAAAATAATAATCGTAAGTAGGCCTCTCTCGCAATAGCATTATTATACTACAGCTACCAGCACTTTTAAGGGGTGGATCCAGGAACTCCACCACCCTACCCCTCATAAACCAGTTTTCAGCAAACTTCAAGTACACAGACTCGTGACTCTACAGTTATAAAATTATTAATTCATTATTAATGTGCAGGTTGGAACTAACCTCAGGGGCTTCTGGAGTGTCCAAGGACAGGTCATCAAGATCGTCAAGTAGCTGCTGAAATCCTAAAAGTTAAAAATTCCACAAAAATATCAGTCTTGTTTCACCAACTGATAACTACACCATAATAAAACATATTAAAATCACTTATCTGTGAACCCTTATTACATTGCAAGCTTGATTTTGATGTGTAATTTTCAACGAAGTCTTAAAAATATAAACTAAGTCATTTGGGGGTAATGAGTTGCTGTATAACGTTTAAGCTGCGTATAGCAAAGGAGAGAGGTGGGTCAAATTTTAAGAAATTAATAATTTACCACTAAATTACACCTCTGTGGAAGAAACTTATTTCTAAAACAAACACCTAAACGTGGCCTGACTGCCATTCTCCAGCCACACTACTTGGCTCTCTATAACAGCATTTATTTCAGCTCAGTGGGTAAGGGACCATTCATGGCCGGTAAGGCCAAACATATGGACCAGAGCGGCGTAATTTCATTCCTTGTGAGAATCGGATCAGATCACAACTTGCATATTTATTAAAACTATTTATTTAATTTTAGTCGACCTTCAAGTGGTTGCAGGTGGTAAGAAGTGTAGCTTCAGGCGGTAAATTTTATTGGTTACCGCCTGACAAGGACAACACTGCTATAAGATGGACTTATCTAAGATGGAACTTATTATTCCCTGCAGCCACCTTTTATCTTAAAGCTAATTGTACATAATATTGGAAAACATACCTTTTGCAATGTCATTTTGGGTAAGCTGTTTGCCATAAAGATCAGATATCAACACAGATGCCATTTCTCTTTGTGTTCCCTGTAACAAATCATGTTAATTCAAACTTAAGTGTTGCAGAACATAACAAGCCAAGTAATTAGTGTTTTGCAAAAAATCAACACAGAAAAACATTTTGTACAGCTTGTTCCTTTAAAATATGTGACACAACCCTATATTTCACATCTTTCAGCTATTCAGGCATTTGTTGGACATTAAAGGGCCAGCAAACTTTCAGGTGACACTCCCTTCCTGGAACAAACTATGAACTCTGAAAAGAAAAATACAGTAGAACCCCTAGCCAGTAACTCGAACTCTGAAGGGAAAGGAAAAATAGTTCGAGTTAGCGAAGGTTCGAGTGAAACGGGTCGATTGCAAAATTCAATGTGCCATGTCAAAAATTGATAGTTACTAATTTTCCAGCACTTCAGTGTATAGTGCAGTGCAAATTAAACTTACTTCATTAGAAATGGTAACATGTTTACCATTTTTTTATGATAAAACAAGATCTGTTTGTTGAACCAATTAAAACTGAATTGTTGTAGTGTTGACCAGTGTTAGATTTGGTGGTTTTACCCTTACACAACAAGATGAACTTATGGGATGGCATCCGAGTGGTGTTACAAGAACAGGAATTTGAGTTATTGAGGTAAATTTTAGTGAATCTTTGATCAAGGGAAAGGAAATTTAGTTCAACTTAGCGGGGAATTAGAGTTATCTGAGTTCTTGTTAACTGAGTAAACGTGACTGAAAAGTGGGGTGAAATCCAAGGGAAATTAGACTTAGTTTGAGTTAGAGGGGAGTTCAAGTTACCCGAGTGCAAGTTATTGGGTTTCTACTGTAGTTCTAAACCATAATGAATGTTAAAACTAATAGCATTTATTTACCTTCTTTTCCAGTGCAAGGCAAACAGCCAAAGCAGGAACCTGTGTTAATTTAAACATTATATCATTTTGTCAACTTAGGAGTAATTGTCCAGTTATGGTTGGGCTAATTAACAGAACAGCAACAAAACCTTGCCAGGCTTACAAGTGACTTAAAAGTAAGTAGGTTTGGAAACTAATAATAATAATAACTATTTATAAAAAACTTTTCAAAGTCAAAGTTTTCCTGGAAAATATGTTGATCACTTAAAAACTTCAAATCATAAACATCAGTTCTAACTTCTATTTTTTTACTGAGTGAAAGCTAGTAAATCTGCACTGACCTTATATTTCCTTGAAGAAATGTTAAGTTCTGCTAACGACATCTGCAGTTTGCAACACAAAAAAATCTCATGAACAGACATTTTAAAACAGACTACCACTTTAACATAACAGTGGACAAAAATATAGTTCAAAAACACAATTGACCTTACACCATTATAGCATCTAGAGAAAACTAAGTATACATAATGTAGGACGAAAATTGCAAGTAAAAAATCCTTGCAACTTTCAACTTACTGAGGTCGAAGTCACAAGAAAACCATTATTTTGTAGACTCGCAACTTATAAAATAGTCTAAGATCATCCAAAACTTTAAGCATCTAGTTATTTAGCAGCTTATAATATCACATCAAGTTTTGGTATGCAAACTCTTGTTGACATGAAATATATAAATTAAGGAGATGGCCAAAAATCAAGATGATGTATATATATTAACACTAGTTCTTGAGAATCCTTGGTAAATTATTACTAAGTAATAATTATTGATTATGGATCCATGTTCGTCTTATTCTACGGGCACGACATCTGCACGAAAATGAGACTAAAGCTGAAAGAAAACAAAAACGAGTCCAAAGCAGTGCAGTTTCCTGCGGCCGAGATGCCCTTGATAAAATTAGCAGGGCGGCAGTCACCAATGATAGCTTGAAAACTTCTGCCTTTGTGCCACAGGAACACTAGATTTGGATGTGTTGTCCTAATCAAGAGGAACAATCTCACCAGAATTAATTAAAAGATGCCTGCAGGTCAATGAACACAAGAACAGTACTTACCAAGACATCCTCAGTTTCACCATGCTCAAAGTATTCCTGGACAAAACAAGACAAACTGTCATACATTGCATTACAAGGTACTCAAAATTACTGAATTCACTAAAACTTGTGGCCTCACCTGAACAATAGGCGTGATATTTTTGCTAAACTCTTCCTCTGTAAGCTCTGGTTTACACATTTCAATCTCGTAAGGTTCCTATAGGGAAAATATAAAATACCTTCAAATGAGCAGACATTGCTTTACAATGTCAAGTTTCAGTTAAAAGTACTTAGTAAATGGCCTTATTACATTTTACTTCTTAGATTGTGCAGCCCTCACAGAAATATTTTAATGAAAAGACACCAAAAGAATACATTCTCAACTCCTAGGATTCTACTTTTAGCAATAAATATTTATTATTATTGTTTTTTGGTATTTCAAAAAAATTTCAAGCCTTTCTCTGTGTTTTTATTTTACTTACATTTTCATCTTCCTCTGATTCGTAGTTTGGATCATGCTGGTCTTGGATCTTGAAATAATCTTCATCCAAAACTTCACCAATGGCTCCCCAAGTACCCTTTCCTCCTGCTCCACCTTGTAAAAGAAAATCATGCTGTCCAGTGATTTTGTTACCTCTGCATCCCGCGTTGCTGATGCATAAAAATCCGCAAAAGCACAAAATAATTCATGGCATGCATCCCATAGGGCGCCAAGATCGATCAATCGATCGATCTAAACATGTGTATCTGTAGAAATATCGGGCCCGTTCACGTAATTTTCATGGCAGTTATTCATTGGCAGTTGTCTAACAATGCATATTTCTTTTAGCCTTTGTTGCGCTTTAAAATAGAAGGACTATATTTTAATTTCAGTATACTGTGATACAGAGTTTTGAAGTCTGTCTTCAGATTAACTGTCTGGTTACATAAAGGCCCAAGAATTTTCAATTTCAGACTCGTTTATTTTTTAACTAGGACTCACTGGTTCTGGACCGTCCGGGACTCACGATTTTTCACAAGATGAGTCCCAGGAGTCGCCATTAACTATTTGTAACAAAATCACCAGCTGTCAAGGTAAGTTACCACAAGAACAATTATTCAGTGGAACAATAAATTTGCCTGCTTCTGTCTTTAGGGAACACTGCTCTTTAGATACTTTCAAAGCCCATGTAAGCTGTCTAACTCACCTGCCATTTTATTAGCCTATTAAGTTGACCTTCTTTTTTTTTTTGCTGACTAACCCAGTCAATAATCCTCAAATGTGAGGAGTAGGCTGCACACAGTAAATATAAATGTTATGCCCCAAACCCCCTCTAAGATTACAGATGGTTAATTAAGGGGTCAAGAGCACCTTAAGATATGCCAGGGCAGGATCATGAAGGAGTTAATAGCACATTACATGATAAAAACTGTAGGTTTGAACTGAGAAACTGAAACACAAAGTTTGTTTTTCAATAGCCACTGTTTTGGCCTTCACCACTGACAAAGGGATATATTTTTAGTGAGAAATTATCTGAAAATGTTATTGTGACTACATATATATATCGAGGGAATTACAAATAACAGATAGCTTGATAATCTTCAAGTTCTTTTTGCTCCAGAGATGCATATGTACAGAAATGAATATTTTGATGACCAAAACAAACATCATTAACCCATAAATAAATATGTAAAATAGCAAGCATGTCAAGCTGAATTCTAAAAAAAATTGTACCAGCCAAGAAGCCCTGAACTCAAGAAATCAGTAACAACCCAGTATCTTCTATTAACTAAAACTAAGATATCTTTGACGCCTTATCAATGGCTACCCACCATTGCTGGAGGCTGAGGGCAGGGGTTCTACTTTTGTATATTTAACAACTGGGCTGCTATATAAAGTTTTGATAATTTTTAATACACTCAATCTTTCAGTTTCTTTTCTTTTTAAGGAAATCTGGGCAAAACTTTAGCATTTGTGCTTTCTATTCTGGGCGTAATAGTATAATATTGAAGATAAACTACAAGTGAATGGAATTTTAAAATAACCGTTTTTCCACCAGTCCACTTCCTTGATTCTAGCAATGTGATGAATGATAAATGAGTCATTACACACATAGTACCATTGTTCCTCAATTCACCCACGCTTGATGAGTTTGAAACACCTCTGTAAAGAACACTCGCCAGCTGAAACGTTTGGTCCTCTTTGCCGCGACAAGATAGGTGTAACAAACAACTCAAGCGCCAATCTTCAACCTGAAGCTTCAAGACGGCGGAAGATTCGTTTTTTTTTCTCTCAGGGAAGTGGTTATTAAATGTTTTATAAATTGATAACGGATGGAGCACTGTAAAGATTTTCTGTGATTAACAAAATTGTTCGAAACATCATGAACTTCTGCTATAAAGTCTAACATGCGCATGAAACGAACACCCGACATCGACAACCTCTAAATTAGCGAAACCGAAAAGACTTCTGCAGGGTTGTAGGAATCGTTCAAATGAAGGACCTTCTGCCTAGATTTACAGTTAAGCTTATAAGACGGCATTTAAACTCAAAACTTGCATTTCAGTTTTTAGTACAAAAGTTTGTACATTTGTACAAAAGCTAGCGAAGCATGAGCCCGAAATAGCAAGCAGGAACGCAGATCAGGTTTAATATAAAGAAGTGGAATGAACAATACTTCTTCGAAGAAGAGTATTTGAAGGTTTGTCTAGTTCAAAACACAATATTGTACACGTATTTAATATGCTAGGCTAGTTGTACAAGGAGCTAAAATTTGCATCTATGCGCAAAAGCTAAACTGTATTTGTTGCGACAAGAAAACATGCAAGCCTAGGAAGATGAACCGTTTGGTGTTCTGTTTATATAAGTTATATTATTACTTCCAAAACTACTACTGCTAACTTCCTAATACTTAAAGAGCAAATGAAGACTCCAGTTTTGAGTACATTCTCTCTATTATCGACCGCGTGGCATTGCGTAGATCAACCGCACCATATGCAATATTCATGAACTAGAAAGACGTGTTTTGATACGACGTCTTGCTTAACCGTCGAAAATAAGATTACAAGTCAACCACTAGTTCAACTTCACGGAGAGAGTTTATTTCGAACCAGAGCAGAGTTTACGATGAAAAATGTACTAAAGAACGCTTAAAATGGAGGTAGATGCTTACCCTTCTTTGGTAATCCTCTTCGTCCAGTACGGGATTTTCTGTCGTGGTGTTTGTCCTTCGGGGTTTTGACGAACAAGGATTCGGAACCGTTCTCTGTCCCGTTAAAACCATTCCTTAAGCTCGACTTAACACCATCGATGGCCCGCCTTTCGTTAGTCGTTTGGACTTCGTCTTTGACATCTTCAACCGCAGAGGTAGACTTGCTTCGAACTCGCATCTTCTTAGTGGAGGCAGTTGGAACTGTAGCTGCTGCAGCAGGCCCGGAGGAAGGGGAACTGGCCATTTTTCACGGTTCCAGAGCAAAAGAGAAAAAGTTTAGCATAGACAGCTATGCAGAAAAGCCTTGCTGGCAATCTCTGCACGCTATGGCGCCGAAAGCCAAACGTATGTAGACTAAAAAACAAAAACTTCTAAATCTCAACAACGACAAGACCTACAAAACTGCTGATTCCCTTCACGTTCTCAATCGAAAGTTTGTTGTTTTTATCTCTCTGGGTCAGGTGAGTAGATAGCGCCCTCTGATTGGCTATTGATAAACAAATGGGGAGGGAAGGGAGGTTTGGTCGTCACCCCCGAGGGGCCCGGGACGGTGGGAAGACTAAAACTTATGTTTTTTTTTTTTTAATTTTTCTTTTTTCAAACAATAAACACGTGCTTCAATCATCGAGTCGACACATTGGTGTAAAAGACGGCGCGCAAAACTCCCAACAACTTTGCGAATATTTGTGTTCCTTCTGTTAGATATTGGATTTCACATCATTAGCCAGCAGCCTGCAGTAATTCTGTAAGCAATTATAACTTGGAATATTGCCAAGCTAGTCACGCATTATATTAAATTGCCTGGATAGCACTTTTGTGCCACGTTGAACAGACAAAGTAAGTGTTTCCACTCAAGCGCAAAACAAAAACAAACTTTCCTAACACATCATTCGCACAGAAAATTCCTTCAGGCTATTAAATAAAATAATCATACACGATTTTTAGCACACCCAAGCAGTGGTGTATTTAGGTTCGCAGAAAAACAAAACAAAACAAAAACAAGAGGAAAGGAACTAACGAACTAACAAAGACGAAACGATGAAGGCGACGTCAGTTGTACTCACCGATTTTTAGAGCCTTGTTCCTTCTCCAAAATTGCCCTCACGAGAAAAATTGCAAACGTCTCGATGAAATGAGTTCAGAGATATTCCAAATGAATAACGTCCAGCTTTTAAAGAGTTAACGGATATTTTTGAACAAGTACAACGGCAGAATGAGAGATAGGGCTATATTATATTATGCCAGGCTTCTAAATTTACTATTATAAAAGTGAAAAATTTACTTGCAAAGCTAAAAACAAACACACCCTTTACCCCGATTGGCTGAATTTTATTTCTCTTTGTCTGTCCATTTCATCAGCAAAGTCACGTGTCACGCTAAAAACCGCAATGGACGCTACTTCGCACTACAGAAGTCACGTACTTTGCTAAAACAAAACTCCAACGACAAGAATCATTTCCCTGGTGAGAATTAACATACAAGGATTGAAAATGAAACCAGCTTTTTATCTTTTAGTAAATACCGGCTTACGATTCCCTTCTTTTTTGGAGAATCGGCAGAATCGGGTCACCCGTATTTCCGGTACGTGACAACTGACATACGTCCACTTTCCTTGCATGCGTGGCACAAACCCGTGACTTTTGAGAGATGATGCAATGTCAGTCAAGGGCAACCAAACGGTGAAACTAGTATTTTTGTTAAATAGAAGAAAGGAAAACAAAACAACTTAAAGGCAAAGAAAAGTAAATTGTATGAGAAGTTACTGTATTATTCGGTAGGAAAAACAAACAAACAAAAAAAAAGGGTTATGGTTTCGATTTCACAGAGGCTTTGCCTTCCTTTTCGATTTTTTAAAATATTGAAGCATCTTTCTTCAGTATCGAATATGTTTCTGTCATATAAATATATTCGTCTTTCCCTGATATTTGAGTTAAATTTATCATCGTTGCATTGTTACACAGAGTTAGGTGGTACCCGCACTACAATTGAGCTTGGAGGTTGTGGTTTTACTGCTATTTCAATCTCCGGGACAGGATTCGTGTAAGTTTTCCTCTAGCCCGCGAAAACATCCGTTTCTCCTCGCTCTTCGCCGCTGGGGACGTTTCGCGCGAAACGAAGAGCGAGAAAAAACGGATGTTTTCGCAGGCTAGTTTTTCTTTCGCATTACAATCTTAGTTTGCAAAAAAGTCGCAAATTCAAACTATAAAAAAAAAGCTCTTTCAAAGTCTCGATTTATTAAAACTCAGCATTATTTTTTTAAGTTTCTTTTTTACATGCAAGTGGGTTCTTAAGTGATTCTCTTCTCCTTCTTGAAAATCTCTGAAACGCAGTTTTATGTGGTTGGACTGCTACTTCAGTGAAGGATATAGGAGGACGCGAAGCGGGGCCGGAGAGGGGCGAAGACCAGTCTGTTTGTACGGTCTTCTACAGAGACTAAGACTGCAAAACAGTCATCAGTTTTTTTGTTCTCAAAATCGGTTTGGTGCAGCGCAAGAGTAGCTCAAGAGGCTCACACGCGCGAAGTGCGCGAGCCTCACACGCCCGGACTGTTTTGCACTCCAACAGCCTTTTCAAAGAGGGGGAATACCATCAAGGGTTACTTGAGGTACTGGTAGTACGATTCGACAATCTAACAGTTATACCCTAGAGAAGATGGATACGAAATAAGAGGGTGAACTCTAGAAAACGCCGGGAAGAAAAAGTTTGAAAAAATAGCTTAAAAAACAGCATTTTTCATAGTGTACTTGCACCTTGAAGGAATCATTCTAAGATGCTGGGCTAAGTTCCTTATATAAATCTTACAATTGAAATTATGTAAAATTGCCCTATATAACTTAATCCTTTAAGTCTTCACTTTAAGACTCCTCAGTTAAAGTGTTCACTTTAGGACTCATTTTTTAAGACTCCTTAAAGTCTTTATTTTAAGACCCCTTAAAGTGTTCACTTTAGGACGTCCAATTTCACACGTGAAAAGCCCATGCTAATGAGCGAGAAGAGGAGATTTTGATGAGGTTCGACGTTTGCCTGGGACTTCCTTTTGTTATTCAGTGGTCACTTTGTGTATATCGCCGAATGTATCCTCCCATGTCTAGCCTACAGTTTAAAGAAAAACTTGAGAGAATTTTCGGGCAGATACTACCACATCAGTATCATCAAAACAGGGTACACGTTGCAGCTATTTCGTGCTTTATAAAGTTCTGGGGTTTTAAGGCAGGTACGGTAAAACGGGCAACAAACTGAAAACGTAAAACTTATTTTGCGACTTTGCTGCAAACGAGTTGGAAAGCTTGGTTACGCTTTTTATCACCCACGAAAAAAAAACTTTGTAAGACAGGTTCGAAAGTGGGTGGAAAAACGTTCAACATCTCTAATCAACTCGTTTTGCGGAAATGTTGCAAATCAAGTTCCACATTTTTTTTAGCTTTATACAGAGACAGAAAGTCTCACCGTGTGGCACATTTTTTGTTATCGCGGGTTCTAATCTTTGCTATTTTAGTGGTTTCTTTCACGAACCACAAAAATAGTTAAGCCCTTCACCAGCCCCCAACCCGTAAAGGACAACGGTATTCAGATGTTGGTTCACATGTCTTTTTGTGTCCAATCATCGTAAGAATTTTGAATGCAATTTGCAAGAATCGTACAAATTGATTCACAGCGAGACAGCTAGGATGGTCCAACCGCAAAAATTGGTAACCGCAAAATAAAAAAAGTCATCGATTCGCACGATTTATCTGTTACAGAGCCACAAGGTCATAATTTTTTGTAGAGTTAAACCTCCGAGGAGATAAACCAACGACCCTCTCGCATCCGCTTGACCCAATTAAGTCTATTGCCATGTAACTTGAATCGCGTCCACACACAAATCTGTATACACGCGCACACGATAGGCACGTACACAAGTACATAAAAACAGCCCCAACGTAAAGCGCTGTTAGTGCTGTCGTGAAAACTAGTTCTGGTATTGGAAGACGAGGCCCACAAATCGTCCGTGTAGAATAGGGAGTGGCCGGTTTGCTCGGCTAAAAGCCACGTTCCTATGAGAGGAGCTAGGGTTTGTCCTGGCTTGGATAAAAGTGCTGACGTTCCAAATATTAGCGCTGAGATCGCTTGTTTTCGATTGTGAAGAACAAAGTCTTCGTCCACAAGATCACTGATTATCAGATTGAGGAGCTTGCATGTCCCCTCGGTGAAGACACGGTTGCTAAAAGATAATGAAAAAAAGAACGGTTATCTTGCAATTAAGTCTTAGTCATTTCAGAGTAAATAACGAATTTATCGTAAGTTCGCGATCACCCAAGTTGAAAAGAAGAAAAGAAAAGGATCAGAAGGAGTAGCAACAGGTTTGAACTTATAGGCATTGGGAAAAAAACGTAAAGGGAAACCAAAGAGAACTTTCGCCTTTTTTGAATGACCTTTGCAAACTTACTGTTTCCAAACTACTTCTTTGGGATCCAAAACATGGCAGACGCTCAAGGGGGCGCCCAGCAACAACATTAATTGACCAACTAGAGAGTGGCACTTGTCTTTCGAGGCAGGATCTTGCACCTGTCATGGCCAACAGACAGGAATGGGACAGACTTATAAAATCAGTGCGGGTGCGCCCGAAATAGATAGATAGATTTAACAGCAATGTAACAAACACTTCAGCCTTCCAGATGCTTTATAAAAGCAAAATCTTTTCTCTTATTCCATTCTGTTTCCACTCTTCAGCCGAAAATTAAAGCCTAGCTCGCGTGGTATAGTATGAAGTATGAAGTTTTCCATTCCATACAATTCAGCTCATAGTAATGACGTCAAATACTCGAAGCTCAACTTGAATCATTCGCCTCAGCGGCTCTTATGAACTAAGGCCCCACATGGAGAAAAGTTTTCTCGGGAGGCTCAATCTCCCAACCGCGTCAACTTCAGCGAGCGTTTATATGAGAAAACTTTGCCAGAGCCAAGTAATACACTCGCGCATGCTCTGATTGTCTCGCCTTGACCAAGTTCACCCGGCAGGGCGAGCCAAAAGTGTTTACAAGTAGACCCGGCTAGGACGGTGACAGCCTGCGAAAACAGCCGTTTCTCCTCGCTCCACAGCGGCGAAGAGCTAAGAGAAACGGCTATTTCCGCAGGCTAGGACGGTGATCCTACCATGGAAACGGTTCACCAAGTTTTGTAAGGCTATAACAGTGTTACGCTCATTAATTTCAGAACTCTATGATAATGAAACATACCTGGCTATATAAAAACACAGCAGCAAGGGCCAGTTCGGTCCAAACGTCAGCATAATGATACTAAGCAAGAGCTTTACACAAAACAACCACTTAATTACAGAGTATACTCCAAAACGACGACAAAGGTTTAAGAAATACAGATTGTTTATGTGGGGGGCCACGAAGGACACGCCCAGAAGAAACGACCCTGTCTCGGGTGAAATGGAATCTCCAAGGAGCTTATCCAGAAAAAGTGGGAAAAAATTACTGTTGAAGTGGCAATGAAACACCTGCAAAGAAATGGTAAAAATTTGCATAAGTGGATTCATTTAGTCATACGCGAAGCTAGCAACACACCTTATCTTTTTGATGTGTCAGACGGCGAGCATGACTAGAACGTTCTTCACATACAAGTAATCATCTACCTTATCTGAACATTATCACAACTAGTCTATTTTTTGAGTTTAACACTTACAAGAGTGGAATTAAAAATTGACAAGCTCGTGTGAAGCTTACACACGTTTTCCATTCTTGGCTAGAAAGAAGCAAGTTCTCTCTCAGTTCTCTTCTCCCAGTTCTGGGTCCCATCCATGCGTGAGCCAAGGGTAGTATAGAAATGTTTATAAAGCAAAGGCCATAAAAAAAGGCCTATACAGACTGGCAAAATATGTTCACTCTAACCGGGTTTCTTCATACTGAGGTTCTATTCCAAACATTTAAACTGGAGCCAAAAATAACGGTTTGTTATAACAAGGACTTTGTTAGAGTGGGCTACATTATTAAACTGAGGTTCCACTGAATTGATTACTCCTGGTGACACTGTCCCTTAAAAACGCTCTCATTAATGTCAACTTACTTGTACTAAGTTCATAACTGCAAACCACAAGAAATTAGAGTGTGTAACCAGTTGCTTGACAAATAACTTCAGCTCAAGGGATTGATCATCTTCTGGAGTTGTAGAGTGTATTTCTACCCTATGAGATGTTGGGAAAGGAAAATTGGCACTCAAAACTTCAGTTTTATAATTCACTAGGGTAAATGCCAAATCACCTCCTTGTGCATCTATCCCCCAACAACCTCTCAACAAATCTCTTTCTAGTGTGTCAGTTAAGCCAGTGTAATCTTAAAGGCCATTTTTTACAGTGAGAAGTGAGAAGAGGACTGTGGTGTAATGGGAGACCATTCTAAACAGTGGTCAGATTTAAACATGCAGTCAAACAACTGTAGTGTACTGTAGTACCTCTGAAAAGGTCAATCTGCAGACGTTTACCATTACATGACATATAATAAATAAACTTAAATAAAATAAAGACAAAAGAGAGAAAAATTCAGCATGGGAGGGAGGAGAAATTGAAATCCGCACAATATACTTTAACTTATATAGAAATTTCATCTAGTACTTGATTTGCAAAACGACAAATTTCACTTAAGGAGACATGTGAGATGGTTACTCAATATTACGGCTATCCAAAAAGTAAGTGATGCGAAAATTTACTCAACCCCAACACAATCAGAGCTGTCATTAAGGGCTGTAACCTGTAACACCTGTTACATTTGAGCTAACTTGGTGTTATGGGTAATCAATCGAAGCAGAAGCGGAAGAAGAAAACTAAAGCGTGGGAGTGTGCATTGTGATTGGTTGTGCTTCTGCTTCTGACTCTGACAAGCTGGTTTTCACTTGATCATATGCGACCTAGTCATAAGCGGAGTTGGAGGAAAATGGAAAAATTCTGATTATTCCAACTGTGACTCCGCATATGACTGCTCATGACTCTGACTTTTTAATTTCACAAGGTCATAGGTGCTCTGATGACTCCGCTTATGATTTCGACCCCGTCGGCAGTGAAAACCAGCCTTGGAGGGTGATTCTTCATCTGCTATGGCTACATCAAAATTTAATGACAACCTGGCAACTTATTAAATTTCTCACCTTTCTTCTTCATCAGGAGTATCCACCTTAATTTTCTTTGTAACAATATGTTGTTTGAGCAAAAGCGAGCTGACCAGAAATCCAACCAGTGAAAACGCAGCAAGGATTGTGCAGAATATATGAAATGAGTTCATGTTGTCTCTATTCCAAAATCTGTATGAGAGGAATACAGACAATGAACCACATCCGCTGAAAACCGAGCAGTACCAGTTGAGAGTTGCTCTATCATCACTTGACAATGCCAAGTCAGCAAGAAGAGCAAGGTGGTTTAAGTCTATCATTGTTAAAAATCCATCATATAAACAGAGACATAAGACAAATTGGATGGATGGGTGGCACCAGCGGAACCAGACACACAAGAAGGACAAGGTGAACAGTGGTCCATACTTCATAAGAGCTCTGCAATTGAAACAATAAGGTTACTGTCAGCACCATCTTTGGGGAGCAACAGTGGAGCAGTGGTGAGAGCACTCGCCTAGCTGCCACTAATGTGGCTCAGGTTCAAACTTTGATGTTGATACCATACACAGCTATTTCGAGAAAGGTTGTCCACAAAAAATTAGCACACGACAATCCCAAAAAGTAGTATGGAATATGATCAATACACTGTTCCTGAGACTGGAGCTGTCAAATCCACTTCTTGTTACTTTCCTTTAGCACTCGCAAATTACGTCCCTGGCCACTAGTGCCATTGTTTAAAATTTTTTTGAAATACAGTGAACTCAAAACTACCCACAATACCTTTTGGGATTGTCGCATGCACTTTTTCTAAAAACCATTCTTGAAACAGCTGTATTATGTGGGCTGAGTTTGTTGTTGGTTCTCTCTCTTGCTCTGAGAGGTTTTCCTCCAGGTACTCCAGTTTTCCCCTCTCCTCAAGAACCAACATTTTTAAATTCCAATTTGACGCCAGGAATGGTAGATGAAGAACCATTATGTGGATGTGCTACCTCCAAATCTTTGTATTTTATTTTAATTTATATTTATGTTTATAGATAATTTATACTTTCAGAAACCTCATTTGATTTTCATTTTATTCGAATTCCTTATCATTACAACTTATTTGACTTTAGAGCCATTTCTAACAAAAGCTTTAATACACATTGTGCCTTCAAGTAAAATTGCTTATTTGTGAAATATACCTGAAACGTTTTTGAACAATCTCTGCTTGAGTAAGGCTTGACCTGTTGGGAAAAGGAAAGGACAAAACAAAACTTATATTAACTCAAAAAATGACAACCAGAATGATTTTTTTAGTACACCTGGTATCTAAATTATGGTACAGGTACTAACGTGACTAACAGCCAATCATAAAATTGGCACAAGACAATCATCACCATAACAGATTTTAATACTAATACTACTTCTAATAAAAAAATAATACCATTTAATAATAATAAAAATATTAACAAAAAAAGAGTTACTTAATCCTGTCATAGTGATATGATACACAACGATTCAATTTACAGGATACTTTTTACAGTCACAAGCTTTCGATTCCTCGTGGAACTCAAGTGATGGATTTGAGCATTTTGTCACATGATTTGTACTGTGAATCACGAGACAAAAATTCTCTTTAGATTGAGAGGAGCTCACAACAAGCGTCTCTGTTCAATGTCGAAGCCTGACAAAATATTGAAAGCTTGTGTGTAAAAAGTTTTTTCCTATCCTGTAAATTGAATCGTCGTTTATCACAAAGATAATTATGAATTATTATTGTTATTATTATGATTATCACCATCTGAAAAAAAGAGTTAAGGTTAAGGTAAAGTCTGCTTTCGAGTCTCAAAGGGGCTCATTGGGCCAGAGCTTATCTAAGCCTCTGTGGTGGACATTGTAAAGGGAAAAGGAAGAGAATTATTGACACACCAAAAGTGGGAGAGGCACTCAAAGGAGAAGTAAGGGAATGCCTACAATGACTCTTTTGTGTTTTTCATTTGTGACGTCCATCAGAGAGATGAAAAAATCCTGATTGGTCAGAATTCCACAGGTGCCAATCACTGCCTTAATACCTTTGTCCCATTTGGTGACATCAACTTAACACTCTTTGAGTAACTTGTTTCATCTTTCAGTAAACAAATTTGGATGTGGCAAGTGAAGAAGGAAGAGATTTTGAGTTTTATGGGAATTTATCCCATCGCTGCCATAGTGAGATTGCTGTGTTTCCTTCTTAGACAGGAAGTGTTGAAAAGCATTGATGTTCACATTACTATACTGTTTCTTACCACAGTGATGAGTAGTTTACAGCATTTACAGCATTAGTTCCCCAGAGTGCTTTGCTTGTTATTAGTGTCACAGTCAGTCAGGTAAATAAAAACTTACTGGTTTTTTCCAAGTGCTCTGTGGTCACTTAACCAACCAAACAGAGGATCATTCAGTGAGTTCCATACCAAAAAAATTGCCTAGTGTGGAAGAAACGTACAGGTTTAATAAAAGAATATGAATGGCAAAAATTTTAAATCCTCTTTCTATATTTTATTTTAGTCCTAATCAATGAATGTACCTAAAAAAATCAGCCTCACCACAAAGGCATGCTACGTGTAGCAGCCAATGGGGCTCACACAGCAAGGGCTTATACAGATTTTAGGGCCTGTTTACATGAAAATGGGGGACCCCAGGTAGGTGGGGTAACCTGCCTACAGGTCCATATGGTCTCTAATTTCATTTCACCAAGTTTACATCATGATGGGCGAGGTGACAATATAAGAGATTATATGGACAGGTGGGTTACCTCACCTACCTCCTGGTAAACAGGCCCGCAGAAGCATGAACCACCTAGAAATAATATTGTTGCTACTCCTTGAATAGGATGCTAGTCCACTGCAAGGTTACAGTTGTACCTCCAGTAGCATGTTACAAATACACTTGGGCTTGGGAACAAAGAACTGAAACAAAGTTTGTTATCTACGGAATCCTCATTTCAAAATAGGAAGTGTATATTTACCCATTACCCAGTTATGTTCAAAGGATGATCATTGCATATCCAGGGTTGAGATTACAACTAGTAGGCCCTGCGGTGTACAGTAACTGGAGCTAAACAGGCTTTGAACAACTCAACCTAGGAGTCAGTTAAACTGGACATTTTTGCTTCTTTGTCTTTGGACTTGGATTTTTAACCCTTTAAGCCCCAAGATCCACATACAAATTCTCCAGACTGATCTCCATACATTTCTTTTAAGGACAGTTGAGAGAATTTGGTTTAAGATCAAAGCGTTTTTCCTTTGGTAATCAATTTAGTAATTCCCATAACCTTTACTCTTGATTATCTGCTGATGTTGTTAGGAGAAAATTGATGTTGGTCACTCTTGGGACCTAAAGGGTTAGGTTGTTTGAAATTTTCCTAACACTCAGAAAAATGCTTGTTTTTCCCCAAAGTTCTCAGAAAAATGCACTAAAACAATATACATGTACGTAAACCCACAGAAATTGTGTTTATGGTGTGTCTAAATAACTTAAGAATGTTTTGATTTTCTGCTACTTTTTTTGAGTCCTCAGAAAGTTTGATCTTCAGTCCTACAGTCTTTAGAAGTTCCAGTGTCTTAAGTTCATCTTAAGAAAATTTCGTCAACGGTGTTGGGGGAGGGGGTGTAAGCTCACATTAAATGGGATAGCCCAAAAAATGCTAATTTTTGTTTAAATGGTCATGAATGCTAAACGGTCTACTTCAAGCAGAACATTTGCGGATGACGTAATTTATAACACGTTCAAGTCAGTAGCAGAATGAGCTATTTCGTATGCAACATTACTACTATGACACGAAAGTCCAAAATAATCGGAAATCATTTTCATTAGCCGACAAATCGACTTGAATTTAGCAAGCCTCTGAGATTTATCGCGCGATTGTTTGTTTAAGCCATGGAGACAAGAGTTTCATCATTTCCCTTACAACGAAACCATATTTTCAAATAAACATGAATAAAATACACCACGTTTACGTCAAAATAAGGAGGGAATTCTAAACAAAATAAAACTGCTTACCTCTCCCAACCAAAAGGAATTCCTATCAATTTTGTACACAGAAACAAAAATGTCCACGTAATACAACAGGAAGACATTGTGTAGAATCGCTATGAACAGCGACATTGAGCCATAAGCTAGCCTAACCGCAATAGTCTTGTGAAACATATTTTCCTGTAACAAATTTGTGTTTTGTGTAGGGATCACATAAACTACAGGTGACCTTCTACCCAAAACATAAAATTTTCAGGAACGGGAAGAAAGATAATCTCTGTCAGTACTTCATGTAAGGCATAGCATATTGTCTCACAATAATGCTTTAAGTAACTACCCGGGGGTACCTTCAACTCCCCGTCCCCTACCAAGTAAGGACGCGTCGTTTCCTTAACCTCGCGTCCTTGGAAATTGCAATTCTAGAAATTTGGTTGGCATGTATTTTATATTTTGCCATCGTGGTATATGAGCCTTTACACCCGTGCTCTCCAAATATGGTCAGTGTATGCTTCACTTAAAGATGTGAGGCGAACTGTAGTTTTAACAAGGCATGAGAAACTTTATCGTAAAATAATCAAAGGGATACTATTGTAACACAATTTTAATTTTCGAACAAAAGGTAAATGAATATAAAAGGTGAACATATACATATATTACTTACAAAAAAAGTCTTTATTACAAAAAGTAACTTTGTTCAGGCTAGAGACTGAAAAAACAAGGAAAAATAAAGTGTTTAGTCAAGGGTGTAAATACAGTGATATAGATCCCATTCGCCTTTTTTGACAAATCCACAATGTTTTCTTTTTTAGTGTTAAATGCTTACGCGGAGTAATAGTCACACTTTAATTTCAAAAAACATATCTAGAAATATTTGCTTGTTCCCTGACCTCAGAACTGTGAAAAACCGTAGTGTATAAACAGCTGATTCAACTGAGAGTTTCACGATGAGCATAAAAAGAAAGGTTTCCAATATTTCGCCCTCTTTTTTGCGATTACTAACATAAGTTTTTAAAAACTCTGAAATATAATGTTTCGCGTCTTTGTAGGTTTGTTCTCCCTTTTTATCGTGGCTTGGGGTAAGTACACATTACAAGTTGTCAATGTTGCCAAGCTAAAAGCACTGTGCTGAAGAATTAAACAGTTTTATCAATGATTCCTGGTACCAACATCCTTTTCCGGTTTAACCAAGTTCTTTTTTTGTTTTAAATTTGTCTGAATTCCCTGCATGAACTCTGTTGAAACTGTTTATAATACTTTTTGTACTCTGTTTTCTTAGTTTCTCTTTGTTGTCATGTAGTCTTGGGGTGTATGGTACTTTTGGGGCGATATTCTTTCGAATAAACAGTATAGGATTCACGCACGTCTCAAAACTTGAAGCCTCTTTCGAACAAGTCTCAGCTGTGTCAAACCAGGACTATCCAGTCACTTTCATATACTGGTATTCTATAGCTTTAATACGCTGAGTACTATAAATATAAAAATGTACTCCAGTCACTAGTGGCCTAGAAGACCATCTGTCCTAAAAAGAGAAGTGTTGTAAATAAGCGAAAGGAATATGGCATTCTTCAAATTTCCTGCCTATTTCTTCCTTGTCCCTTTTTTATGTTGTTGGAACAGATGTCGGCTGAGACCGAACAGGAGTGGGCCATATTTTCTCAATCGTGATATTAATTGAAACTAATTATTGCTTTTAGGCTGTAAGGATGTTCTTGATTGCAAGCCATATGATCTTATGGGACTCTGTTACAATCCCAAGTACTTCAAGCCGTTGAAGAAATACTGTGAAAGAACATGCAATCTATGCAGTAAGGACTCATATTTTACTCATTTTTACCTGATTTCAAGTCAATCCAAAGTAAAACATGGCAGCAAATTCCTGCTCATAATAACATCAGTTGTTACGGTCAGAAACCTTAACGATGGATAGTTTTTAAATCACCTTCCGTTATGTTTCATTATCAGTTTGTGAGAATGGTTTAATCATAACTCAGTAGGCCGAATCCGTTTCATTCTTATTTCTACTCAAAAGAAATTAAGATGCAATCAGCACGTACTACACCTTTTTCTCTGCAATTAGCCCTGGCCGCAATGAGTTATTTCAATTTTCCTTTCTGCTTTGTTTGTTGTCCCCGCCTCGATTAGCTCTCTCTTTACGTTGGTAATGTATGTTTCTGACCAACGTGTCTAGTCGGTTCGAATTGATGCAGAAAGTGAACCAAACTTATAGGGAGAAAGCCTCTGAGACAAAGGTTCCATAAAACGAGTAAGAGCTAGAATGATGAAAGGAGGCTGCACGTTTTTCTCTCCTGTATGTGTGATACACCCGGTTTCAATTTATTTTGGTGTTTTGTATTAGATGCCACTGCACCTGAGCCACCTCCGATACCAGTGCAACCAGGATTAGCCCTGGGTAAGAAAATGCCTTATCTTGAATATTATTACAGTTTAATTTTAATCTTTAGAAATTAAAGTTTTACTGAAAGGTCGTGTTGACTTGAGTAAAATGCTAAAAGGATTGTATCCAGGTTCAAAAAAATAATATTGTTTGCGTTAACGTCCTGAACTAATATAGGAAGTTTCGCGTTGTAGTCGGGCAGTGACGGCAAGGCTATACACTATTGTTACTTGGACACATTTACCCCTTAAAGAGATGCTTAAGGTTTATAAAATTTTCGCTTCATCAGCTATTCGTTAGGCTCAAAATTCACCATATCGTTTTTATCGTTACGCGTAAGCACATTTCGACATGCGGGCCAATCAACATGCAGGATGTTCAGAGGCGGATCTAGGGGAATGGTGAAAAGGGGTGCGCACCCCCTCCCCTGAGATGACGACCAACACGACACATTACGTTTACAGCATTGTCTTAACACTGTGCAGCCCGCTTTACAGTTATACAAAATCTGCTGTGTGATTTGATATGTATTCTCAGCAGTTCACATTATGTTATTGCCTAGTCAAAAGCCTTCTTCTTCTTATTCGCTTTTAAAATTTGTTTTACGTCACCAGTCAGTTACATCATTCCTTAGTCAGTGCTGCACCCCCTCTTAAGAAAAATCCTGGATCCACCCGTGATGTTTGTTACATGGCCTTGGCTCCCACAAGTGTTCTGTAGCTTAGTTGCAGAGAATCTGGACTAGCAACCTTGATAAACGAGGCCACAGGTTGGTCTCCTATCAGGAGTACTAGGATTTATCTTCCTAGTCGCCTGTGTCACTGATTGAAAAACATCTTTTTGAACTTTTAACTGCTAAATTTTTTAGGTGAGTGTGGTAGAACTGTGGTTACTCAGGGCCGAGTTATCGGGGGCGTAGATGGGCAACATGGATCATGGCCCTGGCAAGTTGGTCTGTACGTTGGGGACTCTAAGTTCTCTTGCGGAGGCTCCCTCATTAAACCAGACTGGGTCTTAACAGCAGCGCATTGCATCGATCCAAAACTGCAAGTCAGCGATTATCGAGTTCGCTTGGGAGACTGGCATCGCTTCTATTATGATGGTACAGAGCAGATCCGCAACGCGTCCAAAGTCATTGTGCATTCACAGTACCATCGTCCATACCTTATCAACAACGACATTGCTCTCATCAAGCTCGATCGCCCAGCGTTGCTAAACAGTCACGTGAACACCATCTGTCTTCCTCAGCGTGGAATCAGTGCACCTTTAAATAGCACCTGTTATATTACAGGTAAGTTAATATTTCTTCCTTTTATGTGTGTTTATGTTCGTTATTATTGATTGATTGATTATTGACCAAGCGTAGGGATGGCTAGATATTGGCTACATTCTTTTTAGCGTTTTTCTGGATCGAGAGGATGTCGTGTTCTATATAAACGCAAAACAATAACGAGGCTAATATTCTGCCATATTGGCCAAAACAAGCTTGTTCAATAAAGGATTTATTACTATGGCCAAAAAGATATTTATTTTTGCGGGACCAACGCGGGAAATTCTGAGCGTGTCGCTTGGGTTGCCAATCAGAACACAGGGCTCGCTTCATCTTGCCCACTCAAACGCTGAGCACGCAGCAATCTAACAGTAGTATGTTTTGCTGGTTGGCAATTGACTGAGAATATATAGCTCAATGGAGAGGAAAGTTTTGATTTAAAGTCCCGAACCCAAAACTGCCCTCACTTATCTTGAAAAGGAGGAAGAATCCAAAGAAAGTTTAATTAAAATGGAACGTTCCTACCCATGTTTGCTTATGAGCCAAAGTTTAACTATTTGAGGGACGGTAGAGGAAGTAGAAACGTATGAATAAAGCCTCAAAACAATAGGATTAATATTAACCAAAGGAAAATAACTTCTGCGAATATTATGGAGGCAAAACAATTTACTAATCGAGCCCAACAATTCTCTCTTTCTCTCCAGGATGGGGTAAAGTTAAATTTCCAGGAGGCTCTTACCACAAACTTCAACAAACCCAGCTGCCCCTCGTATCCAACAGGGAATGCTCAGCGAAGATCCTCGCCTCTCCGGTGGCGGGAAAACTACACATAACTAAACAAATGGTCTGCGCAGGAGAGCTGAACCCCACTCGATTGCAGGGTGGTTGTCATGGTGATAGTGGAGGTCCATTTGTTTGTAAAGACACGCTATCTGGGAAGTTTATCTTGGAAGGAGCTGTTAGTTGGGGCTCTTCAAACTGCAATTTTATCCAAGAGAATAAACAATACACCGTTTTCGCTCGTGTCAGCGAGTTTCGTGATTGGATAGATCAACAAATTGCCAATAACTAAATGAAGTAATCGTTTTTATATGGAACGGACAGACAAAAATACCCGGCTTGACATTATAAAGATCTTTTATCTTCACCTTTTTTCATTCATGTCTTTGTTTCTCCGCAGACAACTGCACAAGAACTGTAATAATTTAAAAATGAAGAAAGAATAAACGGATTTGAACATCTTATCTAAGACCAGTGTTATGCATTGCAAACGCACACAAAACGCACGATCACTAGTTGATGAATTTTCTGTCTTGAATGCAATTTATGAAAACGCATTTTACTATAGCATGGGATCTTAGCTAGGGGTTGGAAAATTAGACACAGCGCGTCTTCCATAATGATCTCCTGACTCCATCTTCTTTCCCCTTAAAAGAACTGCCATTCCTGACATAAAATCAACGCTAGCAAAATTCTTCAACAGTTTTTTCAAACGTTTTGCGATATTCTCTACCTGTGCCTTTTTCTAGAAATTAATGGGAAGAATAAAGCATACTAGTTATCGGACAGTTGTTAACCAACCAAATTAGCTCCATATAAACAGAGTATCTCTACTACAATTTTCGACAAAACATGTAGTAGAGATACACCTAATTTCAATAACATTGTCATGGAAAAATGCTAAAAAGTGTAAAATATAAAAAGGAAACGCGCGTAATTAATTAGGCTTACTAGTCAGAGTTTAAAGCACTGTAGGTTCAGCTGTCGCATTTGTAATTTTTTTAATGGCTCGAAAAAAAAACCGCCCTCGCTGCAAATTATTGAACAGAGCCTTTTGTGGTTTATTAGTAGGCCAAGTTAGTTTTCCTGTTTTCTTTTTCCTTTTAGCATTTTTCTGTGGCAACATTATTGCAATTAAGCGTACATCAAGTGATTCAACAATTTCGAGAGTTGAACAGAAGGCTAAGTGGTCAGTGACAGATCCCCCACTCGTCTAAGTGGCGGCATTTAAACTTATCTGATTTCCAATAGTCAATTTTGTTGATGACTTACTTGATTTCCTTCTCTTAAACCCTGGTTCTATAGGGGTGAAGGAAGGGAGGGGGGGGGGGGGGGGGGGGACCCCTAAAAAGGGGCCCGGGGGGAAAGAGTTATTTTTGCTTCCCATTTAAAAATTGGATATTTGGGGGAAAAAAATTAAATGGTTTGAGCGGGGGCAGGAATGAGAGGTAGATGTTATAGGGGGGAAAACTTTAAGCAGAGAATTTATTAAAACCCATTTATAATATACATATATTTCATAATAAACAGATAATATTAAATATCAAAACATAAGCAGAAGAGAAGAACATGGTGAGTGGTCCCACCCACCTCCCCCTTTTTTGTTTTGGGCTAAATTTTTATTTTTTTTATTTCATATTTTTTTTTTTTTTTTTTTTTTTTTTTTTTTCTTTCTTAGAGGTGGGGGTGTGAGGGGGGGGGGGGGGGGGGGGGGGGGGGGGGGGTGACGCCTAATAACTGGTCCTGGGGGAAACAGTTAATTTTGCTTCCCAATTGAAACATTGAGATTTGAGGGAAACAAAATTAACTGCTTGTCGACGGACCAGTATTAAAGTGATTTGTTATATGGCTGGAAACTTTGAAGCTGGAAATTCATTAAACCTCGCTGTACGTATAAAGGGCGATAGTCAGTCAACATTCGCTGGACACAAGGCACCGTTTCCCTCTGGCGTCATAGACTTTGCACAATGTTCCCGCTCAGAGATTTCCAGCTATATAAGAATTATTGTTATTTGCTGTTAACCGGGAGATACTCCTCAAAGAATACCTACAGTTTGAAGTATGTGGAGGCGCGAACGGAGTCTGGCACTCTTGGCACTCTTCAAAGAAGAACAAAGAAAAATCGATAAGAAGTGAAACATTGTAAGGAATTTCATCGGGAATATTTGTTTGAAACAAAAACCGGGGATTTCTTGCCAAGGAGATCTGTTTATTCAGGCAAAACCTGATACAAAAGAAGCTAAAAAAAAAAAGGACATTTGTTGCCTCATGGCAAAACTCTTGATACAAAGGTTTCATCCATTTAGCATCCAGTCTGTTTACTTTGGACAATTCCTGTGTTTAAACAGTGAATTGTTTAAACCTTTTTTTGCACCTCTAAACCTCTATTAAACAAAGCTGCCTGAACAGCTGTTCACTTGAAATAAGTATTTCTGATGATAATACTTGTGAATTGTAGAGTAAGTAATCTTACCCTCTTCCCAACGTTGTCAGCGTTAGAAACCTGGAAATGTTTCGTGTGTATATATTGAAAGGTCTTCTGTCATTTTTTGTCGTTACTTGGGGTGAGTAGACGTAAATTTTAGTACTTTCTGAAACCTCTAAATCTTGCTAAGCCCATGCCCATGTATTTTCTCTTCCACCCAAGATCTTTTATCGGGTTCAAAACGGGACAATTGGTTGAGCTACCGAAAAAAACTTGATTACCGGCGACCATGTAATGATAATGTCAGTCTTTTTTGAACCATCTCAGGAACATTTCGTAATAGTCACATTTGGAATGGAAAAAAGAAAAAACGTCGTAGGCCAACAATTCTTATCATTTCACATCTTTGAAAACGTCTCCTCCTCCAAGTATGAAGAAAACCGGAAATTAAAGAGACGTCTTCAAGAAGTCTAATTTTATTGCTACTTTTTGATTTTATCATTTCATTAGGAAAGAACATTTAGTTAAATCAACATTATCGTTAACATTATAGTAACAAAGAAAAGAAAGTTGACATTACTAGAAAACTTAAAACTAAACATCACATTTATTTTAGTCTTTGGTCAGTTGTCGGCTGGAAAAGTCAGTGATAAGTGCAGCAAAGATGGCGTTGTTCTAACTGGTCTGTCAGGAAATATTTCCAGCCCAATTTTTCCGGATGTTTACCCACCCAGACAGACCTGCAGGTGGATTATTTCAGCCCCCCAAGGACACAGAGTGCAGCTCAGTTTCCACAGATTTCACCTGGAAACTTGTCTTATCCCCTTCTTTTGCACTTGTGACTACGTTAGAATACGAGATGGCAATAATGAAAAATCTCCCAGTTTGGGAAAATTTTGTGGCGGTAACAAGCCCCCGTTCATCCAATCTTCTGGGCGATTTCTCTGGGTCGAATTCGTCACCGATCGTACAAGAAACGAGAAAGGATTCCACGCAACTTACACTAATGTTGGTATGAAATTTGTTTTCACTCTGTTCAAACCTTCTTCAGACCTTCTTTTTTTTCTGCAGTCATATCTCGTTAGTCAAAACCCTAGTGACTAGGACACGAAAAATATACCCGGGGGTGGGGGGTGGGAGAATTGGAGAATATACGAAAGTGGCGATAAAGCTCGTCGTCTCGTGTAGTGGGTAAGCTTTTGTATATTTTGGTAACACTATTTTAGCCAGATACTATATCTGGATTTGTAAAAACAGGACATCGGAACCAATCTAGTGGGTTTTTAAAACAACTAACTTTTTTTGTGAAATAGAATCCAAAGCAACCCTTGATCTACCAAAAAAGTGGGACGTCCTCGTAAATATTCTTTAAATACTTTTTTCTCACTTACTTCAATCTTAAAATTATTGCAAAACTAGCTCTCTTACTCCTGACACCTGCAGCTAATTCCTTCAGTTTCTATCGATTTTTTCCAGTCTATGTTGAATGTAATTAGTTAGTCAATAATGCTACTCTGCTTTTTACGCGGCTTTTATAGATGTACTTTGATTGATTATGTATATTACATTTTTTTTGCACTAGGCACTATTTATTTTCTTTTATTTATTTATATTTTTTGTGTCTGATGTAATAAATTGTTAAAATAATAATAAAACACTTTCATATGGTGTTCAGGACTTGAACGCCAGTATTTTGAACCACAAACGCCTCCCTTAGGGTTGCGTCTGTTTAGTTGAGGAAATTAAAAGACGAAAACAAGAAAGAGAAAATCATTCAGTGACACTTGCTGACTGATTGGTGGGACTTAAAAGATAATAGCCACTAGTGAATGACATACACATAGTGGCGTCATTCAAAGGTTTCGAACACAAACATATCACCAAAATAATGAACTGTTCTATTTCCCACTCCTCCTGAACTCCATTGTTTTATAGTTTTCTGAGAAGAAAGCTCGATATCATGTGAAGATAAAGTTGAATTAAATACGACGATGAATGCATCGAATTTTTAACGTCCATTTTTCAATTCGTCATTGGCAATCTCTGTCATTTAATGTTTTGGAAAGCTTAAAATAATTTAGCTTTTTTTTTTAGCTTTTTGGGAACGCTTGTGAAAAAAGGGGACGGGGGTGGCAAAAAGCGGTATGAAGAAAAGAAACAAAGACATCTGAGCAAGCAAAATAAAACGCCAGGTTTCCCCAGCTTTCTTTTTCAGCTATAGTCAGACGTCATCAAGTGTCATAGTTCAGGCAGGATTATTGATTTAGCTGTCTTTCTCTTCTTTTATCCTTTCCTTACACTGACTAGCTTTCCCTCTTTTTTCTTTTGATTTTAAGGAAAATTGTATAATACAGTGAAACCTCGATATAACGAACCTATATAGTGGATATAATAGCCTGCGAACGGCAGACGTTTCTCCTCGCTCATCGCCGCTGAGGGACGTTTCGCGAGGAGGTAGTCATGGGGTTCCAAATGCAAATTTGTTTAATTTTACGTTTCTTCTGGTCGATTTTGGTAAAGTGTTGTGTTTATCTTCGAATGAGCTCCAGCAAAACTCAAATGCTTCTTCGAGAGAAGACTATATTCCACAAACATTGGCTGTTTTGTTAGAGATTCATCGCGTTTACATTTGACCTTTGCGGCCTTTTGTCTTTTGTCTGTCATTCGTAAACAATAGCTAAAACAATGAAACTGCTCCGTCGACCAATTAGCGCTTCTGACCGGATTCCAGACAGATTTTACGTCATAAGTATGGAATTTCTGTCGCTGAGTCGCAGACGTTCCTCCTCGTGAAACGTCCCCCAGCGGCGATGGGCGAGGAGAAAAGTCTGCCGTTCGCAGGCTATGGATATAACTAAGTTCTCAATATAACGAATGATTTTCTTTACCCACTGATAGCAAAATGTGTGGAAAAAGAACCTCGTTAACGAAATCTCGTTATAGCGAACACATTTTGCCAGTTCCTTGGCCCTATATTATATCCTTCGAGGTTCTACTGTAATGTAATTAACAGGCTGCTTTAGCAACAGAACGGGAACGTGATTTGACGACGGAAAAGCGCTCGTAAAGGACTTTACGCGACTTCCGGTGCCCAAAATTTGTCGCTCTGCCATTGGTCAAGCCAATTAATTGATTTGCGTACGCCGTCGTCAACTGACGTTCCCGTTGAGTTGCTAAATCAGCCTAATAATGGTAATAGGACTTAGTGAAGTCCGATTTGTTTAATCCGATTCTCTTACCAATTAATCAAACTATAACAAAATTTGTGATATTTTAAGCTTTTTAATTTAAAACACCAGAATTTCTGAGAGTTTTTTTCCCAGCAGTTAAAAAAAAAGCCATTTAATTAAGTGTGCGCGAGCGATGGCACGTACTGTCCAATTACAAGGCAATTGGTAGCAAGGGTCGCTGGCGCAGTGATGAGAGCGCTCGTCTCCCACCAATGTGGCCCGGGTTCAAATCCCGGGGTCGACGCCATATGTGGGTTGAGTTTGTTGTTAGTTCTATCGTTTGCTCCGAGAGGTTTTTCTCCGGGTACTCTGGTTTCCCCCTCTCCACAAAAACACACATTTCCAAATTCTAATTCGACCATGAATCAGGTAGACGAAGAACCTCTTTGTGGATGCGCTACCTCCAAATCATTATTTATTTATTTATTTTATTACAAGGCATGACGCGTACTGTCCTATTACACTGTCCTATTAGTGATGAAATCAGGACAGTTGATAGCCAATCAGATTTGAGAATTCTTTTATGGTTATGATTAATAGAGAAAGATATGCATATTAACCACTGTCTTCGAATTCTCTTGCGACGACTGTAATAGCCAGGAGAAATTGGAACTGAACAATGGTTGTGTAAAAGTTTTGAGGGTGAACAAGGTGCAATGTGGTCTCGCTGAAAAAGTGAATTTATCTTAATTCATGTTCATTAGTTCGCGGTGTACATTCAAAATTATTTTCGCGTAGTATATTGAAAACATTTTGATAAAAAAAACCTTATCTTTTACTTTGTAGATTGCTTTGACGACGACAAGGACTGTCCAAGATATGAACAGAAAGGATATTGCTATGACCCAAGCAAATTTGACTACTCGAAGAGCAAATGTGGGAAGACTTGCAATCTCTGCGGCAAGTTATTAATCAGAATAATTATTTAGCACTCTATTTTAGGGCGTATAATTCCGCAACATTAAGTTGCTAGAAAAGTTCCTGTTAGCTTTAAAGTTTTTGCTTATATACTTTTAGGTATCTCACATTTACCCGAATGGTTTTTTTTAACCAAAAGGTACCTGCCTGTGATACTTGCGATAATGCTTATAAGTCGCTCTTTAAAACAGGCCAAGCACCTGGCGGTGAAACGAATTCATCAGAGGCCAAACGAACGTTAATCGACCTATCACAGCGAGGTCACGTTCACGACTTAGGAGTTTGTCTTACTACGGTATTTCTTCAGCCAATCACAAACATGAGCGTTTCTTTATATTAGAGGCGTCCATCTGTTTATATTCGTTGCATTGCACACTTTTTAACTGATTATTATTTTTAACAGATACCACTGGCCCTGAGTCTCCACCTGTCCGTGTAACTCCTGGAGCTGCACTAGGTAATTTAACACTGATCATGCTCATTAAACATGTTAGGTAGTCAGATGGGTAAACGAACGCTGAAACGCACGGAGCAGCCTTGTCTACTGGTGTATTTCCAGCAGTTGTCTTTCTAGCGGCCTTTGGTTGGTGCGCTGCACGGATCGGAGAGGTCAGTTCTGATCCTGCAGCCCGAATTTTTTAGGCTTTCTGTTCGCAACTGCATAAGTTGCGTCTTGAACTGCGATGATCTTCTTTGTATTTAAGTAAGAAACGCTTTTTTTCTTAGGAGTGTTCAAACAATTTTGCGGTTTCAGAATGTGGTTTAAAAATCGATATTTGTGTTTCTTGCGCGTATGTTACTTCGTTTTTCAGGTGAATGTGGGGCGTCAGTCGTCACGCATGGTCGAGTTATTGGAGGTGAGGACTCTGTTCACGGTTCTTGGCCTTGGCAAGTGGGTCTGTACAATGGCGACGATAACAATAACTTTTTTTGCGGTGGTTCACTTATCAAACCTGACTGGGTCCTCACAGCTTCCCACTGTATCTCCTGGTTCATTAAACCTTCCGATTATCGTATTCGACTTGGTGACTGGCATCGCTTTTATGTTGATGGTACCGAGCAAGTCCGCAATGTCTCCAAAATTATCACACATCCAAACTACCACAGACCAGTCTTGGTTAATAATGACGTTGCTCTGATCAAGCTTGACCGGCCTGTGGTTCTGGACAGTCACGTGAATACGGTCTGCTTGCCTAAGATGGACGAACAGGTCTCTTTAAACAGCACTTGCTTTATAACTGGTAAGAAATCAACTTTAAAATTGTCTACTAGCTACGTACTCATAAAAACTCCTAACACAAAAGTGTGTAATTAGCTCGCAATTAAAATGACATAATTCGTCATCACTTTTCTTTCCTTGATTACCACACCGCTTCAAAATTATTGTAGCTCATGGTAGAGCTTTAATCTTCACCCCTGCAAGTCCAACGCTTGTCGGGGACATATTCTGCACTTATCATTAACTTTATGGTTGACTGAAATCAGCAGGATGTTATGATACAACTAAAAAATACAACTTGTGAGAAAAAGTAAGCGCCAACTTTTCACTACTTTTACAAATATTTTAGCGTTTTTAAACCGCTGGGAGAAAATGCTGTGAAAAAGTTCATCGCACCCTCTCTTGGTCATCGAGTTACTGAAGTGTTCCTTTGTGTTTATTGAGGGATATTTTTATTTCTAAGCATGTCAGATGTCAGTCAATTTTTTGGTCGTTCCGGTTTCAAAGTCCGATGGTATGTTAGTGGTTTCGCCCCCTACAAGTTCGCCCCCCTACTTTCCGAGTTCACCGCGTAGTGGTAAAACTCCAAATTCTCTTCATTCTAGTTAATTTGATATTCAACTACAACACAACTTGCGTTATTAAAGGAAATCTCTGTAAGACGGGATCGAAGTTCGGGAAATTTTGAATGGAACCCTGCTGAACAGGACGCTGGATCGAGGTTGTCATTTCAAAGTGTGTCAAGTATGGAACCATTCATTCACAACCAGATTGTTGAAATCGAAGCAGTACAGTAGTTAAAATCAAAACGGCTGATGGATCGTGGTGTTTATTGTGAATATTTTACTGACGGGCAAACTCTAACGAAGCTCATTCACTATGGGGCGAACTCGTTTTGTTATGGGGCTAACTAGTAAGGGGTAACTCACTACAGAGCAAAACCAATGGCTTCTTCTTTAATTGCCGCAGGCTGGGGCAAAGTGAAGCATCCCGGAGGTCCTTATCATCATCTTCAACAGGCAAAGCTTCCTCTGGTCTCTGATAAAGAGTGCTACGACAAACTGAAGCTCTCCCCAGTAGGAATTCTGCTCAATCTCACTAAGCAGATGATATGCGCCGGCGAGCCTTATGGCGACGTTTTGCGCGCAGGTTGCCATGGTGACAGTGGTGGACCATTTGTCTGCAAGGAATCATCATCCGGGAAGTTTGTTTTACAGGGCGTCGTGAGCTGGGGGTCTGGAAACTGTAATTTTGAGCAGGAGAACAAGCAATATACGGTATTTGCTCGAATTAGCGAGTTGCGTCAGTGGATAGACGATACCATTGAAATGTTTAGCTCCCAGTGATTTTCCTAACGAGTTTCTGTGAAAATATTAAGAGTTAATCTGGCAGCTCAATAAAAGTGTCACTATTGATGCAAGGATCCTTGAGTGTTAGGTTAATAGAAGACTTGGAAAAACAGTAAATGTGTAGAAAAAACGTATGGTGTGTCGAAGGAGAGAAAAATATTAGCCAGTGTTAACCCCTTTAAGCCCCTATAACCGGATACAAATTCTCAAAACAAGACATTTCCTTGAAGAATTCGTTGAGAGAATTTGACAAATGATCAAAGCATTTTCCTTTTGGTGATCATGGTAATAATTCTTATAACCTTTTGATTATTTATCGATGTCGTTAGAAGAAAATCGATGCTGCTGTCGAAGCTTCAAGCGCTAGCCCTTTGGGAATTTTCAACCAGTAGAAAATTTGTCCCGTGTCGTGGGAACGTAGCTACACTGCGAGCAGAGGTTTTCTCCTCTTGCAGGGCTTTTAGCGTTAACGAAGTCGTTCGCGTGGCTTGTCAGTCGAGTGGTTAGTTTGTCTTATACGCCCCAGGAGCGTAAACAAACCTACTACGCGACAGACGAGCCACGCGAACGACTTCGTTGACGCTAAAAGCCATGCACAAGAGGAACTTCTGCTCGCAGTGTAGAACATAGCCCCAGGAGACTGCCTTTATGATGATATGAGTACCACGGGCCGTCTTAGAGACCTTGTTTTTTTGGATTAGAAGAAATAGGTAGCTCTCAGGCATTCGCACATGTTGAAAAGATTATTTTCAAGGGGCAATTTATTAATAGTTTTAACAAAAGAATATAGAAGGAAACAATGACAGCATCAGCATTTGAACAAAACTGGTTTTTATTTTTTCCACCGTATAGTACTTTATACATTAATCAAGCTTATTCGGAATGAAACATTATTTATACATACCGGTTTGCACATGTGCAATTAAGCAATTTGCTCGATGGCGTCATTTTACTACCACGGTCAGAATCCTTTTCGTTTTTCCTTTACTATTCAATTTTGGTAATCCCAGTGAGGTTTAAATAACAAAAGCCCTTATTTGCACGAGAAACTAAGCCCCTCTAGGATTCTAGTCGTAGTAGTAAAATGACGTAGTAGTAAAATGACGTCATTTTGCAAATGGCCTATTAAGATGTTTACAGCTGAAGTCGAAATGGACATTAATCACCGCAAATCCATACCTTTCCTGCATCTTGTGCCTCAACTTAACAGCTGACCACATCTTATTCCGTTCATTTTTGATAGAACTAAAAACTACGTTATTTATTTCTTAACTTTAATATATGGCCATGTTCGGTTCGCAGACCATTAAAGTTATATACATTTAGTAAAATCCAACTAGTGGTCTATTATCAATGCTGTGTTCTGATTGGTTGAGCCACTACTAGACTATATCTTATAGCCCACTAGTAGCGAAAAGCACCGGCTTTGAAAACCAAAACAAAGGCGGCTGAATCGCGTTTTGCTAACTAAAGTTGTCTCGATATTTTGACCAACTAGTTAGATTTTACTAAAACAATTATTCCCCTCTCCCTCATGGCCTCTGAGTCAATAGCCCATTCGGCCTTCAGCCTCATGGGCTATTGACTCAGAGCCCATTCGGGCTCGAGGAATAACTGTTGATTAGCCTGTATATTCTTGCTCCCAGTCTGCTACTGGTTATCCGCCCTATTTACATGGTTTATTTCAAACCCTTTTTTTTATTTGTAACCCTTTGTAAGTTATTTACATAAATAGATAAATAATTTATGATTATGTGAATAAGGCCCTCGTCGGATTATCGGATGCAACCCTAAAACAACCAGAGAGAGATCCCATAATCAAACACAGTAGGTCTGCCAATTCTTAGGGTTTAAATTGTTAACTTTGAGATTTTATGGTGGCTTAAATTACGGAAAAATATGTTCTTAGTAAAAGGAAAATGTCACTGGACCGCTGAAAGAGTATCAGGGCTTCCTTAGGGGTTAGGGGAGAGGAGATATTAGAGGGCGAAGGGGGGAGGGGGAAGAGAGACAGGAAGTCTTACGTCGCTGTCTTAACCATTTCTTCCATTTCTTCCCACCTATCCTGAGTATCAGGCTAGGCCTTCCTAAGGGGCTAGAGCAGAGGAAATTTGAGATTTTGAGGGGGGAGGAAACAAAGGCGTTTCTCCTTCTTCACTGCCTTCCCTTTTCAATTCTGTCTTGTCCCTTCCCCCCAGAGGCGACTGATACTCAGACTACTGGACCGCACCTATTTCGGTCTAGAAACCTTTTCCATAAAAATCCTTATATTGACACATTCCAACATCCACAACATCGCTTGGTCTTTTGTGTCAGTCACTTCTAAATTTGCATTCTGGCTATTTCTGATGCTGTTTACATCACTGGTATTGCCTAAGTTGTAAACGATGGATATAGTAAGGTGAATTCATTTCACCATTCAAATGTCCTTTGAGGAACTCACTTATGAAAGGGGTAGGGATTTTCGTCTGATTTAGGGAAGTAAGGTGCAGATTTTGGTATCGACGGAACCCTATAGATAGCACAAAAAAAAAAGGAAGAACCACTCTAAGATGCATTCTGTATCGGAATTATAATTTGTACAGCGTGTATTTGGCTATTTTGTCTAGTGCCTTGTTGGGGTCAAGGAAAAGTTGATCCCCGTCCTGATTGGTCTCCTTCAGAAGGTTCCCGCCCTTTTCTCATTGGATTTCCCTTAGAGCAATTCATGGCTCGTCAAAGAGGTACTGTCGTAGTGCACTGAAACTACTGTATTAACAATCACTTTTCACTTCAAAAGACCAATATTGAACTGTCAAATACCCCCTCGTCCCCTCCATGGGCGACTCCCACATGAATGCGACGGGAATGCTAGTCAGAAAATTGGACTGCAACCAGGGGCACTCAACTACAGTGTCCTCATAAATACATTAAAAAAACCCCACTTTTTAATAGGCTATCTAGAGTACTTCTAGATCTCTAGAAATGCATTCTAAGCGGCGCTAAAATTTGTGACTGTTCTGTCATCCTAGGGGAACTCGAGCCTTTTCTAAAAAAAAATAGCCTAACTTGGGTATTGAAATGTGAAAAATTAAACTTCAGGAAATCGTAGGGAATTTATTAGATAAGCGTTGAAAATTCTACCTGCAGAAACGATCATCTAGAAATTTTTAGCCGTCCTCCAGTAATTCTAGGCAATATTGGCTTCTTCGAACAGATATTTTACAGAAAACCGTCGTTGGTGCCCCTGTGAAACTCCTGATAGATACCAGTGTGGGCTTGGCTAAGGCTTTATTTCACCCCTTAAGAAGAATGTGACAAGCAACGAAATAAAACTCTATAGTAGTACTTTTGTATAGTGATCCTCTACGCACAACCTCAGCGATATCTAAATGGGAAAAATACTCGGTCGGTCTCCTATCCTTATCACCCTAAGTAAGACCAAAATCTGCAACTAACACCCCTAAGAGAGATGACAAAATTTAGACCCCCGTCTTTTACACGTGCATACACGTGCATTGGGCTCGTACACGTATATGGCTTTCATGAGTGTAAATTAACTTCCAATCTATGGTAATCGAAATCATTGATGGCCCTTCATGGTTAAATTCCCTTAGAAAAGGAGACAAAAACGGCTGTTACACAGACCTACACTTGGATTGCGTCAGCAACGGCGTTATCCTTGGTTTCTTTCGCGTTATTGTTCTGGGACGTCTGAGTTGGACTATTTGGTGGCGAGCGATCACCTTTGACACTCATCAAAGATAGCGATAAGTTTGTATGCCCAGATTTGTTCTCCGTTGGGCTTTGTGGTAATGTATAAGCACTCGATTTACGACCGGCAACTGTCACAATCCTCCAAATACTTGTCCTAGTTTCGTTCCAATCGTTGTTTGAGGATCCAAATTGCCACGAACTTTTCCGGTACTTGCTTAGACCAGGGCAACAGCTTAGGGTTGCAAGAAACGCCTTGCGAAATTTTTCATTCAGCAGAATGTAAAGGCATGGATTTAAAGCGCTGTTGGCATGTGCTATCCAGCTGAATAGCAACTGAACTCCCATTGGCAACTTGTCAAATTGATCAGGTCGTACGTACCAGAAGTAATGATTCACATAGACTGGAAACCAGCAGACTGCAAATACCACGCATATGACGACCAGCAGTCGAACTACCTTACGTTTCGATTTTTCAGCAGCAGCGAGGTTGGTATCTGTTACATTCCCTGGAATCTTACGTAGCCACAATTTTCGGCAAATTAAGGAGTAAATGATTATTGTTATGGAGAGAGGTAACGCGTATACTATGACAAAAACGCAGATGTGGAAGCTCTTTAGCACTCTATATGTTTCGCTCAAGTCTGTGTCATTTAGTGGTGCCCATGGCCACTCCTGTAAACAATAGTATACGCCTGGTTGTATCTCTTTTGTTTGAAACATTAAAACATAAGGGGTCATTAACCCAAAAGATAAGATCCATATAATTGCTGACAAGACTTTTGGCTTTTGGAAGAATTTCTCTTTCAAAGGAAAAAATATGGCGTAGAATCTGTCAAACGAAATCAGCATCATCGTGAAAACAGACGCGGAAATAAAAACTGGCATGACATAAAACAACGCTTTGCAAGTAATGCTACCCAACGTTCCCCCGATCCAAAGAGTGTCACGGTACAAATAGGCGACCGAAAACGGCATAATCGTGATAGTTAGCAGCAGATCTGCAACGGTCATGTTGGCGATGAACAGGTTTGTCACGCTGCGAGATGAAGATTTCTTCAAGACCACGAACAGACCAAAAGAGTTACCAATCAGAGCTACGAGGAAAATGACCGCATATGCTGTCGTAAGGCCAATCTTTACATTAATATTTATTGGAATGCCGCCAGTGGACTGTTGTGGGTTGGGGCCCCCGCTTGATGCAGTGGTTATGTTTGTTCCTAAAACAGAAAGATAAGACAAGTAAAGGTCAGACCTACGGAATGAGTAATAGATCGCTCTATTTCAGCGGGAGAGAAGGAAAAGGTGCCTACAGATTGTTCACAGCCTCTCAATAGAGAAGAGAAGCGATGACGTCACAAAAACTAGATTTGTGAGTTTACGATTGGTTAGCCGTGAGGGTCTCAAAGGGGTGGCCGCTTTGACGGTCAATTTTTGACGGTTAAATTTTAGAGCTTTTGACGGTGAACGGTTTTTAAGTGGAAATTTACTCCGGCATAAATTAAAATAAACTGGTTCGGTTTTGGAGGTTGTCTTGGCCTTAGACTAATAAGTTTCGAAATATTTTCACGTATAAGCAAATTCTAAGGTTTTGTAATGTCTAGAGAGTGCGTTTTTGAGAACGTAGGAACTGGTTTTTTCAGTTTTGAGATTCTCCGTGAAGACCTCTGAAACAGTGAGATCTCAGGTGCCTTAAAACTTTTTGGCGGTTAATGTCAGTCTGCATTTTTGACGGTTGACGATTAAATTTTAGGCCCTTTTACGACTGATGGTTAAACCCCATTGAGACCCTCTAGCATATCCAGTAAGAAAAAGATGAAAGATGAAAAATGTTCACCTGCTAAAAATTAGCCTAATGGTGCAAATGGGTACGGAAACAGGGGGCCCCCCGGGCTGCAGAGATATAAGCAAAGTTATGCCCTGATGACTCAATATAAATCCTTCTTAAACATAGGCCTGGATCGTTGACGTTTCGATCAAAGCCAATTTTAGAAGCATTTATATGGATTCATCAGAGCAAACCGGTGCTTACCGTCTCCGCACCGCTCAAACAGGCTGATTTTTGGCAAGGAGGCTTTTTACATATTTTTCTTTCTGAATATTTTAACCAATCCCATAATTTCCCCAATTTGAATTTTTGTGACGTCACACTTCTCTTCGCTATTAAGTTTTCTCAACGCAAACTACCCAAAGGAAAAAAGCAAATAGCTAGCGAAACGCGCATGCGCGTCCATAAAGGTTCTTCTCTTATTAACCTAAAAACCCTTTAACTAGCGAATCAGAATCAGCAAATTTAAAAGTATACTCATATACAGCCGCTTCGTTATGTCTTCTCGTAAAGTATTCCGGCAGTGAAAAAAAATATCACCTGAGAGATCTTGCCTTTCAAAGTTTAGACGATGAAATTTTAACTCTTCCCAACTTGTCACAACGTAACAAAAGAGTTGCTAGGGTCAACATCGGCTCTGCCTTTTGTTAAGAGCCGATGTTGTTTGGGACCTATTGTCAGTAAGAGCATTCCAATGTTATATCACAATGCTCATTTGTAGCTGCGCCCCCGATAGAATGCTCCAGAGGGTCCATACCTACAATGTTATTTGGTGGTACATTGCGTACGACTTTAAGGGCTCGGTTGATATAGAAAATGCTGAATGTCATAGGTGATGGTGAACATTATGGCCTTTAACCAGCAGATGCCATACATTTTATCTCTGTGTTAACTACTTTATCGCTCTTTTCATTAAACGATAATGAAATAAAAAGTATTTCTTTTCACTTACATAAGCTGTGATGCTTGAAAAGTTTGGGTTTTGATTATTTGAAAAAAGAAAAACAAAAAACGAAAAGCAAAACCAAAAAGAAAAAAAATAAAACGAAACGTTTTGATTCCTTTCTGAATTGTACAAATTTCTCGTTCTTCCTCTAGCTAACTCTCCTCACGTACCATTTACTCCAGTAGAGTTCGTGCTCATTTTGCCCTTTCTCTTCTCTATAAAACAGGAAAAGAAGTAAAAGAAAATTAAGAATACTCCTATCTAACAAGTCTCACAATTCATATTGTGTTAAAGGGGGTAGAGCTGTTACTATATAAATTAGTTTATTAATATAAGCGTTTCCCTTACAAAAACGCCGATTCGCGGCTGTGAAAGAATGTCAAAGATAATTATTACAATCATGGAATCTCTCTGTTTTCTAGGACACAAACTGCCGGTAGTAATTTGTACTGTGTGATCTATCTATATTTCCGAATTATATTTACTGTTTGGAAATAATTTTTTGAAATTTTCTTGTACCAAATTATGTATTCATTGTATGATTACTGAACGAATGAATGCTCAAGGTTGGACGGGTAAATGGAGTTTTATTTACTAAAAAAAGCCCCTCGACAAACAGTCTTTCACCTTTTGTATAATTATTTCACACCCTTTTCAGTTTGCAATCCCAAGCTATAAATCAATGTCATAGCGCCCGATGCGCGAGACCGCCTCTTCGAGAAACCTGGCAAAATGATTTACGGTCTGACTAGTCAAGGGCGAGGCCAAATCTTTTTAGGAGACAAACAAAAAGAAAAAGTATATCAAAAGGACACACAACTTTTAGTTTGCATTTACAACAGACAAAAGCTAAGACTTGGACAGACTGGGATGTGGATAGGTCGGATAGATTTCAATGAATGTGAATGAGATTTCTGTTGATTTTTAGAAGAACATCTGCTTTTAAAATGAAAATAAGCTTTAAATGGGAAAAATGGCGAAAATCACCAGACACGGCAGTTTTACGTGGTTGTTTGATTTGTAGAAAACGCTGAAAAATTTCATAATTCAGCTTTTCATTCTCAATAGTGCCTTAAATCAAAATCAAGAAATTAAATAATTTCGCCTGTCGTAAATTACCAAAGGACTATGTGAAATTACTTTACTGCTGAAGAGGTTTTATTTGAACGAATGGCATTAACGTGAAAGGTAGAATGTATCTAAGTATGTAATACTGACATTTGAAAGTTTTGTTGAAGAGGCCGTTTCATTTAAATGACCACACACCCTGAATTTCGTCCGGACTCATTTAAATTTAGAATTACACAGAATTTTGTTTCTTTAAAAAGTTTTTTCTTGAAGACTTTAAGATCCAGCGACGCGACGCCAACGAGAACGTCAAAAAAAGCAATAGCGGTTTAATAAGCAATTAACAACTTTGTACGTGCATCACTCTTTTTGTGCATTTCTTTGCCATTTTTGCACGACTACGACGTAAGAATGCCTAATTTCGCCATTTATGGAGAACGTAAACAAGTAATGACGAAGTTTTATTTCTCTTTCTGAACTTGGATATGGTCCCTTGAAATTCAACTTGAGGCGGCTTCGCCTACATTTGAAAGAACGCAAATTCACTTTTTGAGCGACGTTCTCGTTGCCGTCGCTTCGTTGGACCTTAAAGTCCCTCGTGTCTTTTTACAGCGTTCTGAAGCCATATTAACGGAGCACTGGCGCCCAAAATCCCGGAAAACGTTTAAGAGTGATCTTATTTGAATAGCAAACTAGTTAGTCAGGGATGAAATAAAAGCTCAAAATAAAGCAACAGGCCAGATCACGATCACTGACCATCACTGAGAAAGTTGATGAAAGCAGAAAGTTGCTGAGGCATAATTAAGAATTATTCATTAAGGATTTTTCTTTGGAAAAAAAAACATCAACCAAAACTAACTGCATTCTCGTCTGTAACTATGATATGATAACAAAGAGATCAAAGACAACATCATGTAACGTAAGCTTAGGCAAAGAAATGTAACTTTGTGATTTGTGATATCTGAAGTGACATTCTCAAATATATTAGGACCAGAGGGGTCAAAAGGGAAGACATAATGTTATCTATAACCCAGCTCACTACTTTTTGCTTCCTGTATGCATGAACACACAAGTGAGAAATGGCTGAAATAAGTCCTACCTTCTGAATGTGTCAGTTGATCCCTTTTCTTGCTTGTGACGTGTTTTTCTATTCAAAATTGAAAAGTATTTTGTCATGTTTAGATTTGCGTCCTCGAATGCATTTATCACCACGCAATGTGATGATTAAAAAAAACATATAGAAATTACATTCATGCACTAGAAGATACAAAGATAACTCAAATTCCTTGAACTATGCTTGATAACGCCAAGGTAGTCAGTGTCAGACCGATTAAGTGCAGTATCACAAACCAACTTTTTCGTTAGCTCTTAATGCTGATCTATTTGTTTTGCTTGGTAAATGTGTTTGGTTTTTGCTATATGTTTGATTTAGGATTCAAATAGATTTATTTCCCAGCCTTTCTAAAATTTTGGAGCCATTTTTTTCTGGATATTAACAGGATGAGTTCTGTTGTTTTTAGTTGCAAGAATTACTTGTGATTCAGAGTGATTCAGAAATTACGTTTACTAACGGATAGGAAAGATTTACACTCTTCTCCGCCTTTGCCCCCGTCTGTAACGCAAAGATAACTGGATGATTTGAAAAAAAGTTAAAATCATTTTCAAAATTGCCAAAATTCAGTGGTGCCTGAGAAACAACTGCGTAGCACTTGGCGATTTTTATCACGCTACCGTACAGTAATTTAAAAATGTTCTCTCCGTAATTATATAGAACAATTTGACAATTTAGCCGATGTAAATTAGACTTACTACTTACTATATTTGCTGCCCGGAGACTAAAGAGATCACGCAATATTGGGCTTCTTAAAGAGATAACCAGCTATCAGTATCTGATATAAGGCGATAGTCTGACGGCGCCAATGCCCTATAGAGGCTTACGTTCAGAAGATAAAATACGTGCTGTAGAAATATAAGCGGTAAATTAGATCTCAATTCATTGCCTGACATGTGACAACGGTCCAATCAGAGTCATGTTGAAATCGAGAAGAGCCAATACCAGCCCGGAATTACCTTATTTATAAGTCTACAAGTCTTACTGAAATCTGTACGTTTTTGCATGAGCTTGAGCGATAAAATGCCATTTTTTGAGAAGAACATGTTAATCGCAACTACAGACGAGGAAGTAAATATATTAGGATATTTCTACCACAACGGAAATTAAGTGTCGGTTGTTAATCTAAAAGGAATGTTTTGAAACTAAACGAAAAATTCTTGTTTACCAGGGATGTTTACAATTGTAACTTTTGGCAGATTTTGTCAAGAATGAATTACACTACGTCGCGAAGTAAAAAAGATGAACATTCAACTATAATCACAAACCTTTCCAATCTGACAGATAGCAATGACAAGCGAAATAAACGAATAAGTCAAAAAAAACCTCTAAAGTGAAGAAATAAGTATGCTAAAAGACAATATTGAATTAATATCATAAACAGGAAATTTTATCTTTTAATACCTCAGGCAAAACATATTACAATAGTTTATTTCACTAGTTTCATGAAATAAAATAGCGTCATAATAGTTAGCGTTTGGCAAAAATAATTTTTTTGCTCAATGACGCCCATTTTTGTTCAGTAATTTTGAGAAAAGTTGAAATATTACTCATCTTGTTGGAAATTTTTTTGTGAGAAATAAAATTAGGGTAATTAAACGAGAACAGAGGAAATTTTTCTTAAAAAAACGCTAATGGAACTTGTAACGTGGCTGTACGTTCTATCTGAATTAGCGACACATGGCTTATGACACACTGCTGCAACTTAAGGCTAACATGTCTATTTCTGATAGTTAATTAATTCTGTGCATCAACGTGCGGTCAGTCAGCCAAAGCTAAAGAAAGAAAATGTAGTTAGAATGAACAAGTTGAAATTTCCTTGGATTCATCATCATTATCGACAACGACCTTGGAATTAACGCCATTATAGCTCGCAAAAAGTGTTTACATCCATCTGCATTACTACAATCATGGAGAAAAGTCGTAAAACAGAGGATATTTTTTCAAATGTCTTGCAGTCTCCCCACCCTATACAATGTTCAAACTCAGGAAAAAATTTTGGATACACGAGTTAAACGTCGTATGTGGGGTAGGGGAAGAGAGAGGGTTGTCATGTACGGTTTTAAACCACGCAACAAATGCAAATTTTACTCTCTGATTCGAGCATTCAGTTACGGTAGTGAACTTTAAAAAAAGAGAAGTGAATAAATAACAAAAACATACAGTGATAAATAAATAAAAAAATAAAAAATAATTAGTTAAATAAATAAAAGCATAAATAAAGACATACCGTAAACTTCCGATTATAATCCCCCCCCCCCATTTATAGGCTCATCTACTTGAATGTAAACAAAAAACTACATCTGGTTATAACCCCCCTTCCGAATGTAAGCCCCCCTCTAGCATGAAATGAAAAATGTATTTAAATGAATTCGACTTTTTACGACGATTTGAGGCTTAAAAATGCGATCAAATTCAAACAGTATTTTGACCAGCACCGTTATGTAGCTTGTTTTGAAACACCTTTTTAAGTCCGTTTATAAGCCTCTACAAACCCAGCCCAGGGCTGATTATCGGAAGTTTACGGTATTTGTTGTGGTTCAATTTTATCTTTGGTTTAATTTTAATTTCTTTTGTTTCAAACGCGTTATCATGCATTACCATACCCAAAAACAAAAGAAAAGAAAATTTAAACCAAGGATAAAAATTGAGCCACAACATATATATGGATTGGTGAAATGACGGTGAAGTTTCCAATCTTGTAATGTCAACTGAAAACCGATAAAAAATTTCTGCTTGTGAATATAAATCTATACATACATACATACATACACTTTATTGATGCTCCCTAAGTGGGCTTTTCAGCTCAATAGAATAAAATAAAAAAAATACAAATATATAAATTAATTGAGAATGTAAATACAATAATATTATAATTACAAAATATATATCAATAATATAATATATCAACTTAATAAAACATTTGCAAGATGACGTCTAAAATTCCTGGGGCATTTTAAGGACTTAATGTTATCATTCAAGGAGTTCCAGAGTTTGGCTCCTCTGAAAGCAAAGGAGCGCTGCCCTGTTGACAGGCGACATAAAGGTATATCCAAAGCACCAGATGATCGAGTTTGTCTATTATGGACTTGAGAACGTGATTTAAACATATCAGCAAGATAGTCTGGAACAAGCTTGTTAATACATTTGTGCATCATAGTAGCGTCATTTAGAATGAGTTTCTCTCTAATAGGAAGCCATTTCAATGATCGCAACCCATCCGAAATATGGTCATACTTTCTTAGTCCCAGAATAATTCGCCCAGCAAAGTTTTGGACTTTTTGTAACTTGTCAATATTGCTGCTGCTGGTATTACTCCAGACAGTTGAACAATATTGGAGTTTACTAAAGACAAATGAATTTATTACTAACAGAAGTGTTTTCCTATCCAGGAGGTGCTTGATTCTGTTAATTTGGTACAATTTAAAAAGGCATTTAGAGGCAATCTCAGTGATATGTTGGTTATAACTGAGGCGTGTGTCGAGAAGAACACCCAAGTCCTTAACGACAGGCACAGGTGTTATTTCCTTGTCAAAAAGTGTTATACTGAATGATGACAGTTTCTTTAAAAGTTGTGGTAATCCAACAGCTAGAACCTTAGTTTTGTCCGGATTAATCAAAAGAGAGTTTTTACAGCACCACTGAGATATTCTCGTAAGATCTTCGTTTAAGGCGAGGATGGACGTGGGTAATTCGGCAGGTGAAAAGGACAAATACAATTTACAATCATCAACATAGGAGGCAGATAGACAACGTTTAGGAACAGAAAGGAGGTCGTTAACATAGATTGTAAACAAAACCGGACCTAAAATAGAGCCTTGCGGAACTCCGAACTCAAGTGGGAGTACTTTAGAAACTGCGTCACCAATTCGAACGCACTGTTGTCGGTTAGAAAGGTAACTCTGAAACCAATCCAACGCACCCTGGGAAAAATCGAGATTTTGTAGCTTGGATAACAAGATGTCGTGTCGAATACTATCAAATGCTTTAGACATATCTAATAAGACCATGATGGAAACTTTCTTGTTATCCATAGCCTGGAGCAACTGATCTGTAACGTACAACAGAGCTGTTTCTGTCGAGTGAAGCTTTCTATTTCCGCTCTGATGTGCTGCCAGTTTATTATTTCTAATTAGATGCTCCATAAGTTGTCCATGTACCAACCTTTCAGTGACTTTTGAGACTATTGGTAATAATGAGATGGGGCGATAGTTGTTAGGGACATCTGGATTACCGCATTTGAGAATAGGTGTAACCTCTGCTGTTTTCCATGCACGTGCAAATGTGTTGGTAACAAAGGAGTTATTCACAATGTGGGTAATTGTTGTTAGCGTACTGGGTAAACTGTCTTTAAGAATTCTAGAAGATATCTTGTCCATTCCAGGAGCTTTGTTAGATGGTAGGCTTCTAATCACCCTTTCTACCTGATTTTCCGTGACTTGATGGAGAACGAATAATTCGGGGCTAACGTCGGTGGATATGTGTAAAGGAGTCGGCACATCCAAATTTACATTAAGTCCATGATGTAAAGATAAGTCCCTGGCTTTTTGAGCAGTAATACTGCCGACGGAAGTGAAGAAATCATTTAATTCGTTAGCTAACCCAGTGGGATCCTCAGAAGCCATAAAACTATCTTGTTGTTTACGTGGTAGACACCGGTTAATGATAATAATCATTTTTTTGGCGGG